TAGCTCAGTATTTACCTTCAGAACACTCTCCACGATTTGTCGAATTAGCAGTTTATAACAGTTCAGTTACTAGAGCAAGGTAATTAAACATTGCCGTACACAGACCACCGGGAAGCAAGCTATCGCGTAATATACTCGCCTCAAAGGTCTCGGCATATGGCCAGGTCACAAGTTAATCGTCTTTTCGGGTTTCTGGGCAAATCGTCTTATGTTTGGTAAGTATACCTAACAAATGCGTCAAAAGGAAAACAAAAGGCTTGTTTTCTTTACCTCTTTAGAGGAGGAATGCCACTCTGCACATGATTAGATAAATCAGAAATACTTCTTTGCTACACGGCACTAACTTGATACTACACGTGATAGGCTTGCATTCCAAAAGCTGCAGTGCCCAATATCATCTGAAATCACAAGTGACACTTTGTAGAAGCTTCGTGAAAGAGACAATAATCACTGAAACAGTAACAAATCAGTATCGCACAAGACAACAGCCGGGGTCTTTTTCGCCCACTAACAACCCGGCATCTAATATTGAGAAGTGCGGCGTGGAATTGTAGGGTCGTATAGAATCCTAAATGCAGTTGACCAAATTAGACTTGCAAATACCGTTAAGGGAGTCGACTTTCAAGTTTTCACTTTTAGTTTGATTTAATTTGTTTCAAATTGGCCTTTTTTCCACATAAAAAAAGTCAAATTTGCCAAATTCAGCACGAAACAGGTTTGTAACGTGAAAAAAGAATCAATTGCAGTGTTTTTTGTTAAAATTTACCAGTCTTATTTTTTACTTCCTCTTACAGTTTGCTCTTGTTTCTATGTGCAGCATGTGTATATGTCTAATATTACTTTGTTCTGGCGCAATTTAAGTTTTTTTTCCTGTTTCTAAAGATCGCTCCAGCTATATGGCAGCTAGCTGAATAGTCTGAATATATGTAGATGTTCCTTTGCACTAAGGGGTTGTATTAATTATTATAAACTACAGAAAAGAAAATGAATACGCGAGTGACATCGCTAATCTGTTAAGAAGCTTCATTTGAATGATCCTAATTATAACTTCAAGGTTTAGTCTTTCAAAGACAGATATTAGTCTCCACAGAAATAATGAAAAAAGATCGACAAGAAGGTACCGCTCTAGACCTACGCTTTTGAAGCCGAACGGCTTCATGTCGGCTTAAAATGTTGACTAGACCTGATTTGGTCAACCGAAACTCTCATCGGATTGTTTCAGTTGTTTCTGAAAAGCTAAAAAGTTAAGACTCTCTTTCTTCTCAAAACACGATATGTCGGTAGTGTTTTTATTACCGATGAAACACAAAGTCCATATCGGCAAAAGGCACGTTCGCGATATCAGAGGAAATCTCTTGTTTCAGGAATTATTTATGTTATTGGCGCCTCTTGGCTTTGGGGACAATATTTCTGACCAGTCAAAAGGAGTCGATCTTTCTTGGAATTGAGCGTTTCTTTTTGGTAAGAGCATTTGTACAATTAGGATGCCGTTTAATTTTGTTTTTTGAATAATTCCATTTACTTATAATTAGTGAACCCCGATCTTCCGATCAGGTGACTCGAGTGAGCTTTCAGGGTTAACTCAGTGACCTCAACGTTGATTGGGCCTGGCACGTAATTTTTGGTTCAAGTGTACACATGTAGCAATTAGGGGGCTTCAACAGCTCTTGAAAAACACGTTTCAAATATCAGTAAATTCTCGGCGTCTTCTGACAGACTTAAACAAAGCTATGAAAAATTATGAAATTTTGACGGCCGTTAGCTAATATGGAAACCTTATCAGCGTGTCCAAATCAAATGCTTGAGGTTCCTTAGCAACTGACAAAACGACGAAGCTAAAGAAGGACAGTTCGACACTTGTAGCTCTGCAATATTGGGCTCAATAAACAAACTGCATACAACTGTCACTGAAACTTGGGACACGAAATCATAATTACCTTCTGATTTTTCCAGCTCATGATGAGAGCCCTTCCAAATATGTTATATCGTTAAGCTGGTATTCAATTTTATCAGTGGATAAATACATACTTATTCAGTGAGCTTTGCCTGAAAAGCCAAGAGATTCATAATTTCACTTTTAAAAAAAAATGTAAGAAGATTTAGACAAAATGGAAAAAAAGGATTTCCTTTTTTTAATTGATCTGGCTCCTTACTTCTTTTCAATACAAGTTTATCAAATTTCGGGAAACCAATTGAAAAATTGACACCGCAATTTCATTCCAATTTTTGACTCGAATGCCTATTAGATTAAAGTAGCTATATGTCACGAGTTTTTCGTATTACCTTAAAATCCTAAAAAACACGTTGGAAGACATCCCTGAAATTGATGAAATGATCGGTCGGGATCATCTTTATTTATAACTTCTCTCCTACTAACCCTCAACCATAAATGTATGCCAGCTTTGGCTTTCGATAGCCAGGAGGGTGTAAAAAAGATTTCAACTTGAAAAATATCGCTAACTTTTTCAAGTTAAACTTCCGTGTTGTCGAAACTGCTCATATTGTTTTCCCTTTGATAGAAACATTTGATATCTTTCGTTCAGAATAACAAGTATGATTTCAATCCGGCTTAAATTTGTTAACTTTTGTTTTTGTTTGCGCAGTCTGCAGGTCGAAGCAAATTTGTCTAATATAGATATTTTTTCTTTTCCGAATACACCTGACTTTTTGCCATTGACGATTATTTCTATCACAGAAAAAAAATCACATTAGCTAACTTTCAGTGAAGTTCGCCTTGAACCAAAATAATATTGTTAAAAAAGGCATTCCTTGAAGCAAAGAGTCGGAAAGAGGAGGGTTTGTTCTCCAACAAGCAGAGTCTACCTCTTTCTCGTTTATTCTACTTATGTAGCCAGTCAACGGAACATGAGCGTACGCTCCGCTAGCGGGGAGAAAGTATTAAAGATCTACAACGCTAGAGCGTCCAGTGGCTTGAACATAAACAAAGACCTTTGTGTTTATTTTATACAGTGTTCATGCATATTATTTCCGCACAAAAAAATTGGCGATTCAAAAAGACGACGGATTTATCAGAAACTTCAGCTGTTGTAATTATAAGTTATGAATGGTCTGCCTGACAGTTCATCGCCTCTTCTCCGGCACTGCTGTAACCTTTTTCATGATGGATGATTAGGAGCCCACTAAAAGAAAAGCTGTTGTTAACCATCCGCATTCACATCTGCTGCCCATGGCAAAATTCTCATCTTAACCAAAAAGAAATTTACTTTGTTTAATTTTATAATGACCAATCAAAAGTTTTACAACAGCACAAAAAAGCTAAATAGTAATGTCACTAATGATATATTGCACATTGTATTTTTCTTTTACGGATCAACATTCGAAAGTATATTTGGCGGGTGCAAAGCAAAACGCCGTTTGGAGCTAAGATGTCTTTCTCTCCCTTTTTTCCCGCACGCTTTTTATGCTATTGTTGTTGTTAAATTAAAACCACAGCAAAGTCAAATATATGTTGTTTTGGGTCCCCTACTGCGCAGGTCTGTGGCAGTAAGTTGTACGTGCCTGAAATAATTAATATGTTCATCGCGTTTATAAAATTTTTTTCAGTCTATCCCTCGGTTCTTTCACAGCCTTTATCATTGATGGTGTCGCAAAGTGAGGAACATTCGAAATGTACCAGGTCACTTTTCAGCTTTAATTGAATTGTGGCGTGATTTGCTATGGTACATCAGTCATAACTTTGTATATGTTGCGAGGACGGATGAAAGAGATATTGGTTCATTTTTCCTTTGTAATTTGCATATTCATCCATGTGGTCCAATCTGGTTGATATTTGATTATCCTTCAATAAGTCTTTAATTTTCTGCCTGCCCTAAAAATGGTCCCCTCGCCCTTTTCCCTCTGATCCTGACCGCAATATTATTAATTGCCATCGGCCAAGCGTGACTACAGATGACTGGAAACCGAAACTGCTTCAAAGGCGTTTTCAATATCGAGGGTATTTTTGTTTTTGCCTTTGTGTACTTCCGAAAGTTTTGCATTGTTTTGTTTTGAAGGTTTGAGAATGAAAAGCTGTTTTGTAGGGGACCACAAGAGGACCTTGATCCACGTTTATGAAGTTGGATTTTCGACGCTGAAAACTGAAGTTTATAAAAAAAGAAAACAGAACAAAATCATGAACCATTTCATGATCTGAGTGCTTGCACTCAATCACAGTGGATAATGATGAATTATTCAACAAATGTGGTATTTCCTTTCAGGTTCAAAGTTTCACACGAAGTTGACGATCATGTCAAAATTCGGATTTTCTACAGTGCTTTCTTTCATTTTATGATAGATCTATCTGAAGTTTGAGCAGAAGGTTGATTTGCTAAGCTTTTTAAAGGTTAAATACAGCGATAATAGAACAATAAAACAATATGGCGTTCGCTGTAAGACCTTTAGATTATCTAAATCCTCATCTGTGTACGTCACGCATCAATTTCAATGGCTTTCAATAAGCTAGCTTGATCACGTTTCTTTTCACAATGAATAAATTCTTCTTCACTGAAGCACCATAAGCGAATTTAAACGACAAAATTACAAGCTCACTGTTTCATTGCCGCGAAACCAACGCATTCTCTAAAAAATGCCGACTTTTTTTGCGCGTTCTTGCGCGAAAACTGACTAGAAACAAAAGACTATTCACATTTCCACTTGTTCACCTGGCAACGTAAGGCAAGCCTTTGTAACAATTTTACTCGTGATTGGCCGCTGACGTGACGTCACTGACTGGGGTTTTTTACCAGCAGACGCAAGCTAATTATTTCCGCAAGTTTTTTGGCGAGAAAAGCTTTGAAGGAGAAAAGCTATAGAGAATCACTTTTCCCATATTTTTAAGGGAAAAGTCTCCATTCGGAGGTGACTGGTAGTCTATTTGAGTGAAGCAGTAGATAAAAGAGAACTTTACTGACAGAGAAGCTTTGAACTCGTTCCAGTTTCGAACAATAACAAGGACATCAACGATAAACAATCACGTTCGGAAGATAGAACCCGACAAAAAAATGAAAGCTGAAGTTGATATGGCGTGTAGATTCGTCACTAAGATGTTGAGAGGGAACGGCAAGATATCAGAGAAGCAACTGGATGCTTTTCATAAGAAAATGAAGGAGATTTTGTGTGCAAGATACAAGCACCATTGGCACCCTCAAAATCCTTTGTTGGGAAGCGGTTTTCGTTGCATCAGAATCAACCATTCTCTCGATCCAGTTATTGCTGAAGCGGCCAAAGCGTGTGGCTTACCTAACAGAGATCTAACTCTTCCACAGGAGTTAACGCTTTGGATCGATCCTAAATCCGTAGCTTTTAGAATTGGGGAGAACGGATCGATCTGCGACTTAGATGACTCGATGATTTCCCAAGAAAATACAACGACCTTGCAGTCAAAAGAGGCGCTGAATTCGAGGAATCAAGAATCAAGGAAAAGAAGTAGCTTTAATATCCTGAATTGCACAAAAGATGTGGTTAGTTTCCCAGTTTCATCTTATATTCCATGCTAGCATTTTCAGATAAAGAAGCTTTTAGAGCAAAACGATTGTGTGCATAGATGAATTTTCAGATATACAAAGATATGTAAATTTCACGTTCTATCGATTATTCACACCATCTGAAGTTTTGTTGTTAGTGTAAAAAGAAAAGCTCGGCTTTATTAATTTTCTTTGGCTGGGAAACTTTTGTAACATAAGAGCTATGAACCTGTATTTTTATCTGTATAGAATTTTGTAAAGTCTGTACAGGTTTGCTGTTCACGGCGATAATAAATTGGAGTCTATTAACATTGAAAACATTCAAATCGCCTCTATCATTGTTTTTTTTTAGCTTGTTATATTTGCGCTTTCCTCATAAAATGATAGCAATATAGCATATTATGGCCAAATTATTTAAATTCCCTTTTGATGCAGCAACGGAAATCTCTGTTATGTGTCGTAGCCTATATTTTCCTTGAAGCCATATTTGTTATTAGAAATGTCTTTGTTGAATTATTCAGCGTAAGGTTATATGCATGCATATCACCTGATTTGCGCCATGTGTTCCAACAAACGATGTAAAAAACACAAGCATAATAGTGTTGCTTAAAAAATGACTTCGTATATTTTACCCATGTAAAACCATAATATTTCCAGTGCTTTAAATTCTTCGATGACTCTGCGGCTTCCTATTTCCTTTTTTTTTTAATGTTTTTTTTTCGTTGAAAAGCGGAAACGAAACCTGTACAATGCACCCATGGTTTGTTTACCATCCGTTGGCGCCAGCGCGCGTTAAGAAACGTTTGAAATCGCTTTCGAGTTGGCCGTGTTTCTTCGATCTTTCTTCATTTTCAATACAAACATTTCGATTTCTGACATTTTCTTCATGTCTCCGTGGAAAGCCCCTCATGAGCTGTATCAAATTACTGTTAATCGATGTTGCTATTTTCGGAAAATTCGCCTTAGGTGTTAACAGTCAGGTGACACCCTGTGAGGCTTAAGTCACGTTCCAAAATATTGCTTCACCCTTCACCGTGGCATACAAAAGTTCAAAATGCGATGATTGCTCCATTTTTGCACTGCAATGAGTAGCTCAAAATAGCCCAAGCTGCCGAGATCGAGGCGATAATTGAACTGCTCAGCTGCATTTCAATTTCAATGTCCAATGTTAAAAATCCCTAGTTTTCATATTCGGAGCATATATTTTGATAAATATTCTCCAACAGAAAGTTACTGTATAAATAGACATTTATATTAAAAAGACCCCTAAAATCCAATATATCTCATCAAGCCCATTATATTGGTTCAGTTTTTGTTTAGAAGGCGTAAAATAATAACCTCATATTGGTCGCGGAAATGCACAAACTTACTAAAAAAATTCCAGGGCATTTACTTTTGGTCTTCGGGGAAAAAAATATCAGCTAACCTCTCTGGTCTTTAAAATTGCTTTTAACCATTCTCTGAAAATAGGCTTTGTTGTGAAGGCTTTGGTTGTTATTGAAACATATTTGAAATTTCGGTAGGTAAATTTCAATATACACATATATTGGTTTTTTGGAACGGACTCCTTTTTAACTATTTTAATGTTTCTAGTACGTACAATCGCGAAAATAATCATGGCCTAGCAGTGAAAAGTCTGAAAAATCCTACGAAATTTTAGTTTCTATCTACCTTTGCTTGCAAGGGTAATTTTCTTTAAATTTTCTTCTTTGCTAATAAACAAAAATGATTTCGAACTGAATTTTGCACTGGGGTTTGCAGCCGCCCAGAGCCTGTTCAGGCCCCGAGATAGTCAGGTCAGGTCCCTGCGGGGCGTGGGGAGGGAGGTATTCAACAAATGTTTATACGTGAAGGTTCCGCCCCAAAGTCCAACCCCTTACCTTTTATATTCCTTTCTTTTTTACGAAAAAGTTACCCCTTTCGTATACCTTCTGTTGACAAATGGTACCTGGCCTTTCACATACCTTGTTTAGAACTTTGCGTCCCTTTTAACTGCTGGAAATCACCGTCTTTTAAATAGGAATCAATCACAAAAATACAACGTTTTCTCGCTCTAAAAAGCAATAAAATTCATCTGTTAGCCCTTTTGGGTCCTTTTCACAGACCCAAATGACAGATTTCCCTACCCTTATATATGCTTGGGCTAGTGGAATCCCACCCCATTCATATAACTGACGCCTGAAAATGATACCCCTTTCGGACGGAGCCTCCCCTAAAGGCCATCATGGGGAGTACCCTCCCCGGGGTCAGGCCCCTTTCTCCAGATAACGAGCTTATCGAAGCTTATATTTTCGCGTACCTTACACTTAAGCTTCATAACAATCTGAGCCTGGAAAAGTCTAAAATATTTGCAAATAGGGCACCTCCAATTGCATAGGCTAGGAGTCCGCATAGGATACGCTCTGGATTGCTGCTGAACCGGTAGGCTTGCCAAAAGGGTCTACCTCACGGACGAAGGACTTTTTTCAAGTCTCCTGAACCGAGTATGCAGTGGTTTTCACCTTTTTTAGTCCTGAACAGGGTATACTATTTTACTGTTTAGAGCGGAACGTTGCGGCGATGAGCGGCAATTTTTTCCAATGCAAAACGAAATGAATCAGGGTCACTTGAAATGAGGTCTTTCGTCTTTAACAAGCTGGTGTGTTTGAAAGGCAACTTCCCGTGAATGAGTTTCTCTTCCCTCCTCCCCCCTCCTCCTCCTGCTCTCCCCGCTTCTCTCCCGTCCCCCCATGTGTGGAACTGACAAAGAAAATATTGACAAAAAACGGCTCCGTAGAGTACAAAAGCTCCCGCTGGTACTGGTATTCCAAAAATATAATTGATATATAATCCACACAGTGGCGTAAAATTTAAAGAGGCCTCTGAGGAGACCAGTTCAGAGATATGGAGCCTTCTGAAGATAAAACAACTGCCTGAAGGCCTTTTGTTAGCCTGCGAACCGCAGACGACGTATTTCCGGTCGTCGCTTCTGTCGCTCCGAAAGAAAGCGACCAAGAGAAGCGTGGACAGGAAACACGTCTGCTGTTCGGCTAGCCTAATGTAGACTGCGTGCAATCTCTTATTTTTCTTTGCAAGCTACTGCAAGAGAAACCCAAGCACGCGAGCCGGTTCCCTTATTGTAACATAACTTCGTGGTTTGCAATCGTGCTAGCTGAGAATTGAACTAGACGGATTTTAAGAGAAAGGGCGGATTGCAAGCAGTCTAAGTCTAATGTGGTAGTATTTTTGTTCTTTTTCCGTCATCCTGCCACACCTATCATTTTTACAGGGATAAATTTAGACACCAACCACTTGGGTGATGTCGAAAGAAAAATGGATATAAGACCATCAGGGAACAATATTATGAGAAGAGTCTTGCCTACATCTATTCTTAACTTTTGTTAATGGTTAGACTTTGCTAATGATGTGCTAAAAATTATATGACATACTGTAGCCTGCGTAAAACGGTTAAATTGGAGTGTTCTTCTTGCGTGCATGCCCGGTGGGGGAAGGGGGGGGGGTACTCCCTTATATGGCCTATACAGGGATGTGCAGCTGGACAGGGTATGGTTTTCGTCCTCTCTGTCCTACACAGGGTATATAATTTTGCACAAGTCTGTCCTAAACAGGGTCAATTTCCCTTAAGTCTGTTCAAAACAGTTTGCATGATTTGTGCGAGTGCGTTTGTACCTTCAAGAAGCAATGACTGTAACATGATTTTCTCAATTGCAATTGCAATAAATGACTTTAAAACAACACGGCGTGCATTTTGTCCTTTGTCCTAAACAGGGTAATAAAACTGAGGGAGTTGTAGGAGACATCTGCACGCTTGCAAGGGTTTTTGGAACTCGGAAATGGCGTGTTTTCTTCCCATTTTTCTTTAACCACCTTCTTTTATTTTAATACTGCCTTCAGAGACACAGAAACTGGCTAAAACCAAACAAAGTAAGATAAATTTTCCTCCAAGTATACGATTTTTATTCACAAGAACAAAGAGCCAACGTCCTTCTAAAAAAAAACCATGAAAAATACATGCATGCCTGCGTACCGTATTTATTCGAATAAGCGCCCAACCTCGAATAAGCGCCAATCCTAAAGGCAGAAAAAGTTAATAAGCGCTCAGCCTCGAATAAGCGCCCACCCCTCCTCCTCCCAGTCAAACTCAAATAAGCACTGACCCCCACCCCACCCACTTGAGTAATTCTAATAAGAGACTTCCCCGTAGGCTCGATTTCCGCCGTCTCCCGGGTCCGGGATGAGTGTGGGCTCATTTTCCCGAACAGCGGCTGGTAATCGAGCCTAACTTCCCCGAGGACGGAGTTTTCTTCAGAGTATTTAACAGAAACCTTGCTTTGTTACATCTTCGCGTTTTGTTATTAGCATTTATTGTTTTTAATAAGCGCCCAGCCTCGAATAGGCGCCCACTCTCAAGGACCAAAAATTTAATAAGCGCCCAGAGTGATTAATCGCATAAATACGGTAAGAATTCACGTGGGAAAAAAAAAGCAAACCAGAGTGAAAAAGAACAGCTTTATTTAAAACACTTACAAACAGAGATGTACAAACTAAAAAGGCTTTTCGAGGATAGTTTACAAACAAGGCCAACAAAATCAGTGAAAATAACCCCTTGCTACCAATCAACAACACAATTTTATTGCTAGCTTACAACAAGATCCCGTTATTAAACTACCTTTGAGGGATACTGTGGTTTCTCTCACCCCTGTAACTGAGATATTCATAGTTTCCTCAGCTCTAGGAGCTCAAAGGAAAACTAAAGGCACCTTAATTTACCACAAGAAACTATGCAGAAATCAACTTCTACTAGTTACGGTTCGGTTGTGTGTAATTTATATAGGTCATAATATACTACACTTGATCTTAACCTTAAGGCCAATAAGCCAAAGACTAAAAAGTCTTCGACTTGCTCAAAGTGTTGATTAAAATCAATTATCTCCTTATTCTATTAATACCTAAAAGGTTAGGAGAATTAGGAACATGATCACCTGCGATGAATTCAATACATATATCAACAAATTCAACTTCTCCCTGCCAAGTACCATTGTACAAGATCTGTGGGGACAGAATTGATTTTGTTTTCTGATATCGAAGATTCAAGGGTTAACCTGTACAAACAACTCCAGAAGCTGAATAAAACTTACATTTCACAGTATTTATAAGCCGATTATTGACAACTTACCACAGGAGTGTTATGTATGGGAATATAAAGAAAAGAACTTCACAATTTTGCTCGTGTACTGTTGATCAAAGAGGTCATTTACTTCTTATGTTCCAAAACTTAATTTTGTTGGATTGTTCTAAACACAGTAATATGGTTTAATTAACTTAAGCTGACCTAACTAAATCATAATAAAATTAATACACACAGCTACTTGGACAATTGTACAAATTCAATAACGACATATTTTTTCACACTAAAAGCAAACTGGGGTGGAGGGGAGATGGTGGTGGTGGTGATGGAGGAAACCTTTAAGGCCGCACACAACTTTCAAAGAATGACGTCGCATATCATATAATGTCTTGTAAGTCTAGACTGATTCAAAAATGCGAGCAAAGACAACTAAAGCCCTTGTTACAGTCTTTCTGCAGAGAACTAGTGCTAAGACGTATCCTGCATGTTTAAAAATTGCTGCATGAAAAACTCTTGGAAAGTGCTTTTGCAGCAAGATTGTACAAAGTTGTAGGATCTAATTTTAACTCTTGCAACTATTACGGCAAAGCTGCAACAAATGGGCATGTTGCACTAAACAGCATCTTCTGCATTTTTTCTCACAACAATGCAGCAAACTGTGTGAAAAGTTGCAAAAAAAATCATATTGCTTAGTGTAACAGGTCCTTACATGTAAAACTTAAATTGTTAGTAGTCATCAATTCAGATGAAAGATGAGGTCTTTGAATGCAAATAACCTGAATAAAGTATGGAATAGAATGAACTATTTAGTAGCATGGAAAGAAAGAAGTGAAGACAAAATTAAACAAAAGAAAAAAGTTACGAATTATCTACATAACAGGAATAGTTTAGAAGAGACTAAAAAATTAATATCATAGCACAATAATTTTGGCAAGAAGGATGTTTGTTCATTCAGGTCTCATTTTCGCTTGAGCAAAAGGTAATTAATTAGCAGCATGTTCCTACAAAACTGTTGGCATGTATGACAGTTTCAGTTCTGTACTATTTCAATGTAAACAAGGCCTTTAAAAACTCTTGATGTAATGTAAGGCTCTAAAAAATTTCAATAACTACTGCTTTCTGTTATCCATAAGAACAAAATTAAGTCAAGTTGAAAATAACTCAAACTATGCCTGAGTAGGAAAAAAAATTGAATTACATGTATTGCTGTTGAAACAAACAAGCAACGCCAGTCCAAAAACTGGACTTAGAAGAGAAAACTGGTTAACCTTTTTTCAAAAAGAAAAAAAAAGTGCCAATCTAACCACTGATGGTGCTTATTTGATGTAATCAAATTTGGCCAGTAAACAACTATGTTACATAGTCTTACTTGAAACTTGTTGGGAAATATACTCTTTGAGTTTAGCAGCCTGTTTAAGGCTTTCAGATGGTGGGAAGTAAAAGATAGGAAATGTGTTGTAACTGCTGATGTAGGCGATGCAGGATTCCTTTCTGTTGCTTGCCACCATCAGAATACCAGAGAAAGGCTAGAAGTTCAGGAAAAAAAAAAAAAAAGAAAACACTAAAAACCTCACGAATGAAAGTAAACAATTATGGCTCTCTTTGAGACAAATGCAAGGGTATCCCTTCTTTTACTCATCGTCATCATCATCATCATCATCGTCATCGTCCTCATCGTCATCATCGTCTCCTCCTGAAAAATCAAAAGACGAGTTTATGGGTGTTCCCTGCACCTCATAGCAACATTGCACTTATTTGACTAGCATTCCAGACGTGATTTACCCTTGTAAAAACGGGCAGGTACAAAACTCAGGCCTGACTGGACTCATTTACCCAAAGGGAATAGAATGGGTATTACTATCAGCCCTAATAATGAAATCAATAACATGATCAAGTCTGATATTTTTAGTTGCCTAGTATATACTTTGTGGTCAGTAGCCCACAAATCCTTTTTTTAGATTCCCAGACCAGGATTTTAGTACAGTGTAGCTGTCCGTGACTAGCCTTTTTCAGGTGTCAGTTAACAAAAACTTCGATCCTAACAACTCCAGTAAGTCACTAAAGGCTGGGGATAGGTTATAGGGTTACAGGGCTGATCTGATCCAGGTTTTGTAAACACTGTTTCTTTTTTTTTTTTAAGGTAATAAGGTCAACTCGCTGATAATGGACACCATGCTAAGATGAACACCTAGAGTTGGTCCCTGCCTTTCTTCACTCCTTTTAGTTTGGACTCTCTTTAAAACAGACATCTCTATCTCAAGACAGACATTCAAAGTGCTTTTAGGCCTTTGTTTGGTATTGTGTGACGTTTTCACTTCAATCAAGACCATGCCATTTCAGGATTATTTACTTCACTCTAGCTTTTGAATCCATGAATGAAATCCAATGGTTTTATCCTTCAAATGATGGAAACCCTTACAGGAAATTTTTCTCTTGTGTGACAAGCACCTATGCAAATAATTGATTGGCACAAAATGCCGTTTTAACATCTCAAAAAAGGTTCACCTCCAACTAGTTTGGAACACCAACGTGGCTGCTGTTTCATTGTTTTAGGACACCGATATGGAGGAATATAGTGGACATGACGTTATGTGAAAATGCTCTATAGTACTAGAACTACAAGAATTGCAGGACCTCGTGAAGCACTTTGTGGGAATGGCATGATGTAGGAAGAAAAGGAATCTAGAAAAGGAAATAAAGCAATAGGGAAGAAAATTTATTCAGTAAAAAAAAATGCTATATAAAGAAACAAAACAAAACTACATTAACTAAAAAAAAAAAAAATGAAAAGGAAAAAACAGAAAAGAAGAGAAAAAGAAGAGTAAGTTCCACCCAGATTCGAACTCGGGATCTGGTGGTACTCGTTTCTGTGTGGACTACCGCAAGCTGAATGATGTGATCAGGAAGGATGCCTACCCACTTCCCCAAATAGATGAGACCCTAGACGCCCTAGCAGGTGCAAAACTGTTCAGTATGTGGGATCTGGCCAGCGGTTATCTTCTACCAGCTTGCCCTGTATAAAGCTGATCAAGCCCATATCAAACCCAAATTCAAAGATATTTTTCAGAAGAATTACTGTCCAGAACAGATTCCCAACTAAGCGAAGTGGGACCCAAAACATGTGTTTTGTCATGATTTTCATTCATATCTTAAAGGCTAATGATCCAAATCGCTTCCATTTTCTCTTAAAAGTACTTCTGCCCTCGAAATTCATCACAAAAAGCACTTTCGGACTCCTAAAACGGCTGCAAAAAAACCAAACTGATAGATATTAAATCAAGCCTCGTCGGATTCCCTTGCAAGGTCGCAAAATCGGTTGCCTGGAGCCCCCCAATGCACCTTGACGTCACCGGCTGGATGACGTCTGGTGGACACCAATCACCAAACTCAATAGACTGATAGCGAAGAAACTATCACACTTGGTTTTGTGATCCTCGTGGGAGTCATGGGTGTCACAAATTCAGACAAAATCATAAACTCGCTTTTGCGAGGAATTATTTGTTCTTAAAAAGTTTAATTTTAATTTTTTTTGCTAGACTGCTATTAAGAGTGAAGGACGGTGGCAAATAACAAGCAATAGAGTCTTACTTTGCAGAGATGAGAGGTTACTTAAAATCACCAACTTACCATCATCATCAACATCATCAGCATCTTCTTCCTCTTCTTCCTCGTCGTCATCATCATCATCATCCTCCTCCTCAGATTCAGATGGTTTGGGTACCTCCTTTTTCGGTGGGGCTTTTTTACTCTGCGTTTTAGGTTTTGAAGGCTGGGCAGCTTCTTTGCCTGCATTCTGTGAGAGAAACATAAGAGTATGCCAAGGTTTTTTTTTGTTTCCTTGTTTTTGCAATGCTAACATGTGTACTTTTTATTTTTGCAGCCCTAATAGGCTAGAGGTGGGGAAGAAGGTCGTGTCTGATTGCCTGGGGCTTGTGGATTTTGCAATTGGGCTAGTAAATTCTGTTCTTAACTTGCCCAATGGGTAGGTAAAAGTTTTGGGGGTGGAATTCAAAATAAGGAAATACTGTAACTTAAAGACAAATTAATATTATAGGTTAAATTCCTAATAAAATAAATTTAAGTAGATCAAAAGCTCTTTTTCAAGTTGATCTGACAAAGTGAAATTGATATCTTTATTAATACAATGATTTAGTAAAGCAGGTACTGTAATATTAACTGATGTCATTAATAAATAATAAGCTCTTAATACTGCACTTAAAAAAAATCTTTTTCAGGTTAGTTGAAATGACTCTCGGGCTAGTACCTGTACGTCCTAGTTACAGCTTGCCAAAATTAAGGGACAAGCTTTAAAACTGACTTTCTTTGCACCCTGGCAAGAATTTTTGTTCATAAAATTGTGTTACACCTTAATTTTAATTTTTATGAATGAAGAATATTTAAGTGTCTTTGATCAAACTAACCTTCTTTTTCCATTCTTCCATTGCAGCCTCATGCTTCTTTTTCGCTTCTGCCTCTAACTTTTTGTACTTCTCCTTATCCTTGTCGCTCATGCTTCGCCATTTTTCACCGGCAAGGGCTGGAATCTTTTGGTCACCATCTGTACTCTTACCTTTCATTTGCTCTCGGAATTCAGCCAGGAAGATGAAGTAGGCAGTGGGAGCACGCTTTGGCTTGTCTGATTCTTTCTTGGCTAGCTTTCCACTCTGTATAGACAGAGAAAAACAGTTACTTCAGGATTAAGGGCTGTAACTAGGACAAGGTTAGCTGAGGAAATTGTCTTCATGGCAAACGTTTTGACTTTTCATCTTTTACACGCCTTAAGGAATAAAAATTTTCTAGATAAGAGGCTTTTCATTAAAAGACAGAATTACACAAAAAGAGAGCCTTCATTCTTTTGCTTTTTTTGGATTGTCTGACGACTGGCCATCCATCTTGCCATGGCCCTGGCATGGGTTGCTTGTATCAGTAACAACAACTATAGTTTGGCAAGGTCTTCATCCTCACAGGAAGAAGCAAGATCTGTCATCAACAAAGGAGCAAAGTGGGTTCTGGTGATGTCCCCCCCCCCCAAAAAAAAGATTTGAAATCTAGAAGCTCTGAGATGCTATTTTAAGGTATGTCTTCAAAAATATCAATCTTCTTCAACTAGGATTGGTTTTTCCAATTAAACAGGTGTTCTTTTAATTGCAACGTTAAATCTACAGAAGGCAAGTACCTTGCCTCTTGCTAGCAATGGCCTGGTCTTGAAGCCACTTTGATACGAAAATTGGAACAGACTGATTAACAACTTAACATATCTGGTAAATTCTTACATATTAATTCCGGTCTAAATCTCAAATACAAATCTATACTTAACAAACCTTTTTTTGTCACAATTAAAGTAATACAATGCTTCAAGTTCATTTTCTTCAAAAAAGTCAAAAATATAAAATGGTGGCCAGAAAAATTTTTTTTCAAACTTTGTGCAAACATAACATCAAGGGTTTGAAATAACCAAAACGGCTGCGCTTACCAACTGCTGCCATCAAATTTGAAGCTTAATACAGTACATCAAGTCTGTAAAATGGCCATGTGACCAACACGATCAGATAGTAAAGAAAATAACATTTCACATTTTTTTTTTACCTCATTTTGTAACCAAACATTCAGATAGCTCTCTTGAAAGTCTACCACGACTGATTAATTTCAAAGATCTGAAATGATATGTGAACCTGAGGAGGCACTTGAACAAATTTATCCTCTAAAACTAACACAATTTGTTTATTTTCCTGGCAGAAATTTTCCAGTAAGAAAAATGAAAGTGATTTCAAATACTATTCAAAGTTGAAGAATATGCAAAAAAGACAAGAATTTTCAGCATTTGAACATATTTTGGAAAAATAACAGTTTTCATTACATTGCATTTCTTGCTCTTTGAAAGTTAATTGGAAAAAGTTCTGAAATAGGAATTAACTATTTTTTCAGTACCAAGAAGATATTTGTCGCGTGAAAGAAAAAAACTATCACGTGACACATCAGTTGCGCTTAACACGGACGAGGATGTGGCGGCCATGTTGGAGTTCCGAGAGATGAGTAATTTAACTCCGTGTCCTCGCCTTGTTTTGTTCAAAATCGTTCCTTACCTCTTTCAAGTAGCGCTCTTTATCCGCCTGAGCCTTTAAATCGTAAGGCTTTTTCTCCTCGGCTGTAAGTTTTTTCCACTGCTCGCCCGCCATCTTCGCAACTTCGTTTGCCTTAGGTAGAGGGTCGCCACTCTTCTCGCATTTCTCTTTCAGCGTTTTTCGGAAATCCGTCGTAAAGTGAATGTACGCCGAGGAAGCTCTTTTCACCTGAGGTCCATCGCCTTTGGACTTTTTTCTGCTTTTCTTTACATCCTTCACAATCTTAGGTTTCTTTGGCGACTTGGACTTCTGTACTTCAGCGGCCCGCTTCTTAGACTTGGTTCCTTCGTGAAAACAAGAACAACATCATGTCCACGAAGCTTCGATGCCAAAACGACATTAACTACATCATTTACGGGGAAATTTGAGCTCTTCGTTGCGATATTTTGGCCAAAAAAATAGAAATTCTCACTTGGTCCGAGCGATGGTGATTCCCTCAGGCATAATTTATATTCCTCTGTGATTTCCTACGAGTTCGTTCGATTGAAGAAAGCCCGAGCAAACGGCGTCGAAATAACTCGCAGCAGACATTTTTTGTCGTTTACTACACGTAACAAGATTTAAATGACAATTCTAGAGCATTTTTGAGTGTAAATTGTCCGTAGAACCGAAAAATTTTGCGAGTTGACTTCGGTGGTTCACACTTCCATACGTCCTATGGCCTTCATAAGGCCTCGTATGAGGCTAGTAAGAAATATAAGACTACAAGGGGAGAACAATTCATGGAGTCGCTCATAAGAGTTTGACTGAGATTTGGAAACAAAAGTACCGTATTGCATTGAGATTTTTGAATTACCTTCCATATCTCCGGATCTGCGCTTTTCAGCAATTGTCTAGCTCAGATGTGTAATCTCGTCTAAATTGCTCCGCTGTAAAGCTAGATCGGCTAAGGTCTTTTTCTCAAGCTAAAGGTTCTCTCAGTATAAGAGCACAAGGGAAGAGACGCTTTGTAAGAGTCAAGACAAACACGATGCAGTGAGCGAGACGCGACACTACTGCGCGTGCGCGAGCGATGTAAATTGCATGGGAATGCACGGTCATTGGTCGGCTTCTTGTCTATCAAAGATTTTTTTTTATTTCCTAAGCTGTTTTTGTTCGGAAAAATTTATTCCAACCGGCATTCCCGCCATTTCTTCATGCGTTTATTCGTTATTCTCTTTGCTTTGTTATGTTAGAAAGCAAACCACTGCATTCACCATCTTATATATTCGGTTTTTCACGCAACCCAAACTATGGCATTTTAAGGGCGCAGGCCAAATAAAGCGACATTTTTTATTTAGAAGAACGTTTTGGGCCGTCAGTAATGAGTTTCGTGTTTCCTTTCTTTACCTCCTTCAAGAGGAGGGTCACAAATTTCTCTCCATCTTTTTTCTCTAAAACCTAGAATCATGGCATAATTTCAAATGAACGCACCCTGCGGAAGATCGAAGGGCCTCTGCTCGCAGGGTAAAATAAACGATATCCCGGATCCCGAACGGCCAACTGGGGGACCCTCGAACAAGAAGTATGCAAAAAATAAAGACGGACAAACAGGACTGTCAACCCCCCACGTCATCAAATATTGAGAACTGATAGGGAAGAAATGATAGATGACGTCAAATCACACGTCAAATGACGTCATTTGTGCTAAAAATTCTCGTTGATTCCGATCGCCGCATATCGCACATAAACAGTTCATACTTAGCTACATTATTGCTTAAATTACAGTGGCATACCGGAATTTATGGGGAAACGTTCCCACAGTAGCTCAAACAACGCAAAATATTTGAAATTTTGTGGTCAGAAAGTCGTGTCTACAAGAAATAGCAATTTTGGCGATTATCCGGGAGATATCAGACTCTAATCTGGAGACCGGGGGATACGGTCCAAAATCTGGAGTCTCCTGGATTATCCGGGAGAGTTGTCAGCACAGAAATACTCTTATTTCAGTCGGCAAGATGTGATTACGCGCGCGTGGAACCTCGCGCGGGTGGCACGCGCAGAAAGGGTTGCCTTGCGTTTCTGGGAGAAGCGAACTGGGGGAGACAGTTTCGCCTTTTAAGGTTTCTTCTTCCCTTACCCCTAATCTTGCTTGCTAAGAAAACACGGAGAAACGGTAAGAGGTTCTGATTTTTTATCGCTACTATTGACCCCTAAATAGTGAACACTAAAATTCCAACTCAAACCATTATAATATTTTTGTCACTCAACAACAATATCTCCCTCGTGAGAATGGGGTTCCTGTGTTGTACGGACGAACGTGTGCATGAACCCGGTTCCGAGTGGCGCATTATGCACATAGAGCACGGCAAAAAAAAAAAAACAAAATACGTGAAAAAAGCGACAATGATAGCACGACCATGGGATTTTGATGTTGTCTTTTGGCAGGGGAGTTCCAACTTTCAGCTGAAGTTATTTTACTCAGCTAGGAAACTTCATGATCAATTAATTCTATAACAACCCAGAAGGCATACAAATTGTCACGTTTACGTAAAGGAACAATTTCCAAAGATTCACCGACGGAACTGACTTAGCCAAACAACAGGAGTCACGGTTTTTTAAAGGTAACCTCAGGGTGTATATTCTGATTATATTGCGGACACTCATAAGAGCAAGGAAAGACTCTCGCTCGCAAGGCACAATCTCCAGGACGCAAATTCTTATCCAAAGGGATACAGGGAAGAGGAATGGGGTTCATCAACTTCATGAACCCCCTCTGCTGGCTAAACTCCTACCTCATGAGAGCTCGCGTCGCGTAATTTATGCCGGATGTTTTCGTTTTTTTTTTTATAAGGAAATTTGCAGTAAGAGAAACTGGAAAACATTTCTTCTCATTCTTAAATTACCGTCCATGTATATGACGTAAAATAGGCCTTATGCTACATTTCTGAAGTCGAACCGTCTGCACTTGTTAATTGGTGATAGGCTGTAGATGGTTAGGCTATACAGGAGACTTATCCTTTGGTTAAAAGGAGCTTGGCAGGAGGAAGGGGTGATGTTATCTGGAATTTTAGGGCTTTAAATCTGTCAAGAAATCTCTTCTGCTCCCAGTTAGTTTAAATGTTGGATAGCGCTATCCACCGGATATTATTAAATCACTATCCAGCGGGTAAGTATTAGGAAAAATAGTTGTGCCATCCAGTGGGATATCTGTCTAGTGGATTTCGTTACCCAGCTTTAATTTTGAACAACTGAGGCCGGTGTTCCCTGTCGTTTTATTGGTTATTTTGTGCTTTTCTTTTTTCATTTTCGAGAAATATAGTAAAAGATTATGTACTAGATGCAAACCGTCGTCAATAGGTTAAGGACATGCTTGGCGCTTTATTAAATCCCCACTGCACTGCTTGCCAATATCAACAAAAACTTGCCTTACACGGCTGACATGCGTGCATTTCGTATGATACTACATGTAATTAGGTGATATGTATATCCATCCGGTGCCAATCCTCAGTTTATTGACTTTACCTCACAATGGCGTGGGGAAAGGAGTGGAGGTGTCGGGAATAGAGGGAGTGTAGGTGTTGGGTAAAATAGCTTCGCATACCAATTAGCAGAATGGAGGAATACGGTTAAAGGGATGGTCAGGTATACAGTCGAACCTTCACGTGCGGCCACCTTCCCAAAACATCAAAACTGTTCCCAGTCAAAAGCCTTATACTGGAACCTCTAGTAAACGACCACCTTCCGTAAGCGACCGCGACCGCTATTTTGGCCGACAGTTTTAGAATTTTCTATTGTTATAAACCTCTGGTAAGCGACCACTTGACACTTGGTATTAATAGAGAGAGAATTACATTTTAAAAATGGACGAAAAGGAATTTATTCTTTGGCTATCATTTTTGTCTACACATCTATTACTGTGTTTCGATCTATAACTACAATATTAACCATTACCCTTCAGAAAAAGATTCATATTTCCAGGTTTCAGTTTAAGAAGCTTTAAACTTAAAAGTTTTTGTTCGTCAGAAGTTTCAGAGCTAGACATTTTTCGTACTTCCATAAATGAACTGCCACATAGAATAGCTAATGATTTTATCAATAAAAGTACCAGTAAAATTAGCAGGGGAAAGCAAACTTTCATTATTTTTCTTAGAATAAATATACCACTCCATTCTAGGTTGCCTAAAAAATAAAGCAAACTTTCATTTTTTTTTAGAATAAATATACAACTCCATTCTAGGTTGCATGCCTAAAAATAATTTCACCCTTGCGGTCCGACTCTCGTAAGCGACCACCTCCAGTAAGCGACCACCAAACCTTTGCATTTTGGGTGGTCGCTTATGGGAGAGGTTCAACTATAAAAAATGGTATCAGAACGCCAGTCTCCAAGGGCCTTGATCATTTCGAACCCTTAGTTCTCCAGCCGGTTAAGTGGGTTTCCGATAGGGGTCTGGGGAGAATATGCTTACTTACTTAGGCCGGGAATCATCCCGAGCCAAAGAAGAACCACACTTCATCGCAGCTTAGAGCCAAGGGTGACAAAGGGTGACTAATCTCTATGCTCTGGTCACCTAACTCCCGAATAACTGGTGAGATCATACTGGCTGTGACGTTGTCGCAGTTCAGATGATCGGACTGATCGCGTCATTGGTGACTATAAGCCGTTGGCCTCGTCTCCTTCATCCTTCTTTGTTCTTCTTTCATTAGTCAAATCGAAACCCACATTACTGTTCAAAAAGAGTAGGGTAAGTTTCCGCGGTGGTGCTGGCATCACACATCATTCCCCTCAGCTATGGGTGGGATACAGTTAGCTCATAAATGGACTGATAGCGGCTACCACTGGCGCCCTTGGATGTTGACGTCCGAGCTTGCTGCAAGAATGTTAACCCTCGGTCGTACAAGGAGGGGGAGGGGGGCCTTTGGTTGCCACCCCCTTCTGAGGTTTTTTTGAGTTTTTCACAAGACGATAAAACAACAGCATTTGAAGCTTTCAGTAGCTTTTCGTTTATCCCTAGAGCGCATTTTGAGATAAGTTTAGTGGTGGCCAGTTACTATCGTTACGAGATATGACGCCTTTGAAAAATTTAGAGAGGGGGATATTCGTAGAAGATGTCCCTCTAAGACCACAGATTTCAAAGCCATTTCAGAACGATTATGCAAATGCTATGCTCCTTTTGACGTGTTAACGTGACTGTGCAACACGGTTGTTAAGTTAGCCCACAAATAACTTGGAGGAGGTCAATTCCTATCTGGAACTCATAATTTTTTTCTGAGTTCTTCTTTCTACGCTATTTCATTCTAATTATAATGGATAGGTCTTTGAACATGGATATCCTTCTTGCTCAGTTGCAGCCTCTCCACGCCTTAGGTCTCGTTTATATAGAGAAAACCTGTCCAGAGTAGAAGAACGTCTGGATGGGGTGTTTTACGAATGTCTGTCTGTCACAAATTTTTTAATGAGCTGTCAGATTCCCGCCAATCAGCTGAAGCGGAAACGACTGCAAATGGAAACAAAGATTGAAAAACACGTGCGAAGGGTAATGACGTCATTACTAATGTCATTTCCGCCAATCAGCATCTCGCATCGACTTTAGTTGCAAGCTCTCCTTCCTATTCCCGCCACGCCGCCAGAGCGCCCCTGAGAGCTTGCTCGCAGGCTAACTCGGAACTTACCTCTAATAGGTAGTTTGTGGGGTTGTAGTGGAAGTCACACTCAAGAAAGCTTTGACTGAGGGAGGTGTGGGGCACTTACACTAGGCGCCTACGGAAATCCATGAAAGTGTTAGCAGCAAGAGCTGGTCGTTTACGAGAATGGGGCCTTGTGATAAGAGGACCTTTAGCAAAAAGCTTAGGATATCTTGCCATGGTAACTGCTACTGACAAAAGAACAGTTTTTTCAAGTCAAGCACTCCTTGTTTAATCCAACTGAACGAAAGTGTTGCTACGGCTTAGGCTTTCTACTTTTTGCTGTCATTTCAACTTTCAACGCCCCCCCCCGCAAAGAAGTGAAAAGTGGTACTAGCCACCTTAACTATCTCTGAGGTAAATGAGAGACTACTACAGTCAACTTCCTTTATAGCGGACACTATAGGGAACTTGAGTTAGTGTTTTCAATCGTGAGAGTCCATAACAGCGGGAATTTATAGCGGTCGAACATCGGCTATTTATTTTTGGCTGGGATTTAGCTGCTGTCCGTATTATTGGGGCGTCCGTTATAGCGAGGTGTGCGCTGTACAATGCTGGTGGTAACTGTAACTGATCGCTTTCGAGACTGGTTGCAAGGAGAACGTGGACTGTATCCCTTCCGTTTCTCCCTTTCTAGCATCTTCAGTTACCCCTGGCATCATTCGAAAAACTTTACAAATGAGGTCTACTTGTGGAAATTACTTCTCAATTTCCTTAAATATTAAATGTGTCTTTTTGGAGGTCTAGACAAAAACGACTCAACCACGGAAAATGGTAACTGAAAATTCTAAATCGCACAAGTTAAAGATGTGACAGAGACAGACACTTCTTACAAAAAAATTTCAAACAAGAACATTTTAATCGTCTTGCACCGAGTATTTACAAATTTACAACAAGTTACAAGTCTTACAATATACAAACAATTAAAATAAATATACCAACACTGATAAGACAACAGCGTTATGACTTTGATTCAACTACAAGATTACAGGCCGGTTTGTGCTTGCTCCAGTGTTTCACCTGGCATTCTCTGAAAGAGATCACAATAAAACAAATCCAGTCTCTTTGTTGCTTATTGGAACGAAAAGTCTCTCAAACATTTCCATTTCGGAGCTGACGTTCCTTCACTTAAAGTCTTAGGAGTGAAACATTGGTAAAGAGAAAACTAAGCAACGCAAATTCAAAATCCCTATCAACCCTATCTCCCGAGCAATCCTTGAAATACTTGTTCACCTTTTCTAGATGCAAGACTTTCTTTTCTAAAGTGAGCTATTCTAGTTGTTAGTGCACTCCTCAAGATAAATTGGAACTACTCGTTCAAAGGACGATTTATACGTGTCTCGGACAGAGTGGTTGTTAATAGAGAAAATTTGTTACCTTTTACAATACCATTCAGTTTGACATCTAGAGCATCGTTTCGTGGCTGGCTGGCCACACGTGGCGCATTTGGGGGGATCACTGACCAGCTCTTCAAGCATATCCAGGTTGTACGTGTCCGCCCACCTACAAACACAACCAAACAAATGAACAAATAGTGCATGTAAATGGTAGGAAAGAAATTGAGAAGTAGAGCATTGGTCCCATCAGAGAGGATCGTAGCAAGAAGGAAGGATGAGTTTGATAGGCGTGGCAGGGCCACGCTCGCTCGCCCTCAACAAAAATGTAACCTGTGGCAGGCTCTCGGTCAGTGCAGACGAGCAACCGGGCGAGCAGCAAAAAAGGAAGCGAGCGAAAAACTGCGGGAAGGAAGGGGAGAGGCGGTGTAAAGAGGGTTTCACATGCCGCTCGCCATGTTTGTTTGACTCTGCGCCCGCGAGAGCGAGAGCTTGACATAAGGTTTGACGTAAACCGTTAAAATTGACCAATCGTAGTGCATACAAGGAGCTGGTATTTCCGAATGAGGTATCGAATACAATGCTTACTACACTTCCCAGTCTCTCCCCAGCCCCCCCGCGGTTTTCGCGTAACGATTCTCGATGCTCTCTCCGTACTATCGCTTCTTTTTGACTATACTGGAGCCTGAAAGAGCCTAGCCAAAATGGTACTATGCAAGATGATAAATGATAATAATTTCCAAACTGCATATTCTGCATAGAAGCTGCTAGACGGGAACTACCAAGGGCGTAGGAGGCGCAAGGAGAACGTAGCCCCTTCTCCTTCTTTGCGCCCCTGTCGCGTTAGCGCGCCCGATTCTCCTTCCTTCGCGTTTCCCGCTGCGACACTACACAGGAAAGAAACTGCCATACATTATGATGTAAAAACCACATGTGCCACTTACATTTTTGCTTGTCTTTTAATATCCTCTGCTGTCGGTGAGAAGAAAGCCCTCTTCTGATATTTTGCGATTTTTTCCCATTTACCCTGGTTTTCTTTTACCAGTTTTTCTCTTATCTCGGGGACCTGGTGGTCATTTTCCGAAAACGAAATTAACAACAGAATGACCGTCATCCCTACATTTAAAACTAAGTTAGTTATTCAAAAAGACGGGAGAGGAAAGACGACGGCAAACCTTGTGTGACAAGCGTGACACAAAAAAACCTTCCGCCAAACTTCACATTCCTTTAAACAGATCTTTTTGTAGAAGAGCAAAAAAGATCAATTTTAAGTGAATTCCTGACAAAACACGTCAGTAATCGACCTGTCACGTTTGTCACACTGCGTCCTCTCCTTTCTGCCGTCCTGTTGCGTAAACTCACTAATGTCATTTCGTGACGCTAAGTTCATCTCTTAAAATCCAGGACACCCTTAAGTTTTGAAAAAAACTTCTTACCACCGACGTTACTCCTGCAGTATCCTATCTTGAAATATATCATTTATTGCTTGATGAAAAAAAAAAAAACAGAAAAAAACAAACAAAACAACAACAACAACAAAACAAACAAACAAACAAAAAAACTCTGGTCGTTTATTTCATTGTTCCTGTTCCTGACAGTAATCATGGACTGTTACTATGGTAACCTCGATCCCAGGTCTATCTCTTTCCATTCTATTCTCCTGAAGTAAGAATGGGAAGAAGAGAAGAGAGAAACTGGGAAGGAGATGGTTGCTATGGTAGCAATACCACAAGCAGATCTTAAGGAGGCAGGCAGATAGAAGTTCGACTGTATTAAAAAAAAAAACATGTTGACCAGTTTTGAGCGAGAACTGTTGTCCAAAAGAATTTTTTCATTATCACTACAATGCATTCACCTGTTCTAGAATAATGTCTTTTTTAATAGCTGGCGGTTCCATTATGGATAATTGTTCAAGGTATCGTTGAAGATCTATTAAACTTGGAATCTGGTCCAACAGTACTTCATTCATAAATCCTCGTAGCTGAAGAAAAACATGAAAAAAATTAAATCAAATGAGTGTTTTTGGAACTGAAAAAACAGGGCTAGGTTGTTAGCTCCAGTTTTCTTGGAAAAATAATTAAAAAAACCCAACGATTTGTCATAATGAGCAAATCTTAAGGAAAGACTGTAATAGGCCATTTCGAAGTCGCCCAAGCCTCTGTTTCTAAGAGAAGCTAAGTGTGAAGCCATTGATATGAAAATGATTTTTTCTTCTCACACCAAAAAAAACTCATTTTAACAAAAAAAAAAAAAGGTTTTACACTAAGCCTCATTTTGAAAGTGAAAATTTTTGGAACTCCGAATCGGCCTATTACTGTAATTCTACGTGTTTGCTATTTGTCTTGCCACTATAGTTAAAAGGTGAAAAACCATACTAGCGGTCAGACTTTCCAACCGGTTGTCTAGTTTATGCTACAACACGTTGTGAAAATTTCCTTCCTAGCTATCTCTTTTGAGCTGGGATGCGTTACGGATGCGTCCGTACCGACGCATTTCAATCTGTTCGCTAAACCAGTCAAATTCTCATACTCTTGTTCGTTTTTTGCTTTAGTGGTGGTAGCAGCAGCAGAAGCAGCGGCGACAGTGGTAGTTATAGTGGTAGTGGTAGCGGTAGCGGTAGTGGTGAAGTAGTGGTAGTGGTAGTGGTAGTGGTAGTGGTAGTAGGAGTAGTAGTACTAGTAGTAATAAAAGTCGTTGCGGGCTCCTCTTGTCTCCCGCAATCCTCATCTCCAGGTTGTTATTACGCATGCGTCGCATGTATTTCGCCTGCATCGGTTCATCCTCGGAGACCCAGGGGCAGTCAGTCGGGTCGGGAGAAAAGGCGGGACGAAAGTTTTTATTACGGGCGAAAGAGCCCCTGGGTACCGACTCTCAACGGACCATTTCCAAAAATTCAAGCGGATGCCGGCTCCTGATTGGGCACAAAAAATGCTTTGTATTATTGTGCCCAATCGGCGAACACATCTCAATAAGTTCTCTTCGTGTGTTCTTACATGACGGCTATTGTCTCGATAAATGCACGCAGTCAGGAAACTTTCAGTTTGATATAAAATCCCCATCTGATCCAACTCGCTTACTTTGACAAATGCAAGCGAACTCTTCTGAACCATATCAAAGTTCATGAAGAGAGAATGAATTTTGTTATTGCTTGTTTACGTCCTTCACAAAACGTGAAATTTGGCATTTTCACGAGTAGTCGTGCAGTTGACAGCAAAGAAATGTACAAAAAAGCGTGATGCACGTGCAAAGTTGTTGTTGTGCCTTGTCAAGCTGTTACTCATTTGAATTTCTCATCGCCGCTGCCTCTTAATTGTGATCCGTCAAAAACAGAATATTCTCGGGGCAAATTCAATTGCTCTTGCTGATAGTAACCCAAACGTTTATTCAACTCATCGGTAGTTCCTTTGTTTCTGGTTAGGAAAGTAGAAAATAAAAGTTTCCCTTGTACGCACAAGCTTGCATTGGTGAACGAACCGGGCAAGTGTGGCGAGACAATAGCCGTCGTGTACAAACTCACGAAAAGAACTCAGGAGAAACTGTTCGCCGATTGGGCACAATAATACAAAGCATTTTTTGTGCCCAATCAGGAGCCGGCATCCGCTCGAATTTTTGGAAATAGTTCGGTGAGAGTCGGTACCCAGGGGCTCTTTCGCCCGTAATAAAAACTTTCGTCCCGCCTTTTTTCCCGACCCGACTGACTGCCCCTGGGTCTCCGAGGATGGCATCGGTTTGGACTTCCACTAAGAATGAATGGAATGAACAGAACGCAATTTGATCACGTGCGTCTCGACCTTCTATCCCTCGCAATGTGATCACATGCGTTCTGACTATCTGTTTCGTGAAACCTACACATAACACGACGTTTTGACCTTCGATCGTTGTCGCCCGCACTCCGTTACCTTTGGTTATTATCAGTAGTAGTATCCCAACAGAATATAGGAAACCTTGCACGAACTGAATCATTACCAAGTTCAGCTGGGGATAGCACTTCCGAACAATTTTCTTCCACTCGTGATTGGGATTCTTCAATCTTCTTAATTCTTTTGCGAAGGTCATGCCATTATTGTTGTATTGAGTTTATAGCAATGATGGCATCATGCTGCTCTTTCAAAAGGTGGATGACGTTATCCAACGTTTGAAAAACCAGGGCGTGAACTGTTTATAAAAGAGGCTTAAGTTACCTTTAATATTTGTTCCTTGCTGTAAGAATTAAATTCATATTTCCTTTGGCAGTCCTCGTTCATGAACAGTTGATAGACAGCAAGCCAAACCTGAAAGATTTCAATCATAATATAGACCGACATGATTGAGTGTTTTCCTGGTTTCAAGGGTGTTTTGGGAGTTGCAGTTCCCTAAAAATACCAATATGGGTAATTGTCGCCCAATGAGATTGTGATTATAGTACGCCGGACACATTCAAGTCAGTTAGTAATAGCAAAATGATCTGCTTAGCGTTTTGTACAGATGACCCACCCAAGCTAAGCTCTGTGAAAACAACATTTTCTGGCAACTTCCATGCCCGTGGGCATCTCAAGGAAGTCTTAAAAAGCTTATGAAGGTCTATAGCAGTTGACCCTACGTACCTGGCCTTCTGTTTTACTAAGTTGTAGTCTCTCATTCTCAGCTATCACTCTCCATGTGTTATCAATAAATTTCATCAGCTTACCTAGAAACAACAAGTATGAGTTGAGGTCACTCAGACTGTGGAGAAAGCAAACTCTTTTTTTCATCAGTGGTACTTACATACGAAGGTAACGGCGGTCATACGCAAGCTTGTTTCCCACGGTGATTGCCTGAGTAGGGGTACTCAACAAAGTTTTATTCATGCAGGAAGGCTCCGCGCGCCCCCAAGTACAGCCCCTTACCCTTTTAAACGATATTTTTGAAACGTACCCCTTTCTTATACCTTGAGAAATGGTACCTCTCTCAAATACCTGGTTTTTACGTCCCCTTAAAATGCTTTAAACGCAACGTCTTTGAAATAATTATGAATAAATCACTAAGGGTTGATTTCCACTATCGCATAATTTTTCCGTGCGAACGCAAGTAAAATTTACGTGCGTAAATGAAATAGAGCAATGCCACGCGTAAAAATTATAGTTGAGCGAGTTTCAACTTTAAACGTCTACCCGTGACCTTCCATACAATGTCTCTATTTCATTTACGCGCTTAAAATTTACGTGCGTAAAACAAAATTACGCGACAGTGGAAATCCACCTTAAACCAGGAAGTTTTCTTATCTTTTTTCACAGCCACAAAACCCGTCTATTAGCTCTTTTAGGTCTTTTTACGGAACGAAATGACAAATTTCTCCACCCTTTGATATAGTTCAACTCGTGAAATTCCTACAGGGAATGAGGCATCCTCGGAGACCCAGGGGCAGTTAGTCGGGTCGATAAAATGTTCGTGGTGAAAGTTTACTGTAAGATCGAGACGAGCCCCTGGGCACTTACTCTTACCGAACCAGTTCCAGAGGCGTTTGAATTGCCTGCTTCTGATTGGCCAGAAAAAAATTTTTCTGGCCAATCAGCGAAGAGAAGCTGCCGGGTGACTCTCGTGTTTTCTTACACGACGTAGTTTTCCTCATCGATCGCCATAGTTGCGTAGCGCGTTCAACGCGGAAAATTTCTCGAGGAAAGTTTCAGAACAAAATGTTAACAACCCGCAAAAATTACAATCCTTCGCACGGCTACAAGAAACAAACACTCTTCGATGAATTTTTAGGGCGGATCTTTCCAAGGTATCGTAAATTTTTATTGCTGATACGATACGCGATGCATGACTTTCACTTTCCAGACCGGCTTAATTTGCTCACACTGTCTAGTATACAACGCCAAGCTTAATACAGTTCGTTGCACGACTTCTGAAACTTTCTACAGCGTGAAAATTTCCGTTGCACGGGCCACGCAACTACGTCGATTGATCGTGGGAAATGCCGGCTAGCTGCAGTGCCTTCTTCGTGCTTTCGCTCCAAACTCCTTTCGTAACTTTTAAGATTAAAAGCTTACAGCAGTTGACCGTACGAATTTTGCCGAAGTTGATAATAGTGTTAACTTGAGATTCGAGGGAGACCTCCAGCAAGCGCTTGAAGGAGGCTTGTCATTAATTGTTTCCTGACGTACAGTTCAAAGCGAAGCAAAGATTTATGACTGAGAAGATTGTGAAAAGAAGAGATGTTTTTGGGCAATTGATAGAAGAGTCTAACCTTCCAAATGTTGCCTATAAGCTAGGGGGTTTAAAAATCGTTAGATGCTAAAGGTTATGAGTTCCTTAGTAATCCATTGGTCATAGTGATTTCACCTCTCATGTCAATTGTTGAGGACCAGGTGAAGTATTCAAGGTCACTAGGAATTCAGGCCGCCTACTTAGGGGAAAGCAAAACGAAAGATTGAGAAATATTGAATGGATAGGGAGCATTTTCATTGTTGTACGGAAGCCCAGAATCATTAACTGTGGGACAAGAAATTCAGGGCAATGTTCTCTAAGGAGTTTTACCACAAGAATCCCGTTGCAGGTAAATACAGCTGTTCATTGATAAGTATGCTGATTTGTTTACTAGGAAGGGTGCTACACTAAATTCATTGTGGGGAGTTCCGTTGCTCTGGGAAAATGCGATTTAAGTCACTGGCAGGGGGATTCTATCACTGAGAATGGGAAAAATGTAAAAAATGGGAATCGAGGGTTAAACAGTTTCAATGTCCCTTCAGGACTCTCATTATACTTAACAGTAGATCTGGCTTTTATTCAAGGATGCTCAGTAATCTTATGTCTAAAAGCTGACAGACACTTCACAAGAATTATCATCACCATTTATTGACAATTAAAAGCTGATGAAGTAAGCCTTGTGACTGCTTAAGATAATAGTGTAATCGAACATTGACATATAAATGGAAAAACATACCATAATACAGAACTACAGATGCCATTACAATAATTTTTTTTTTACGCTGTTGCGATTTTTTTTTACTTTATCATTATTGGAGTTCACATGTCTACTTATAATACTGCTTGACTTATGTAAATACTAGGGAACTGTAATATTTTATTTTAATTTGTTAGTAAACGTTTACTCTGGGGTATTTTTTGATAATTCTTTCTGTCCCAAAGGGTTTGTTTTACTAGGTGGCCAACAAGTGTACTTGAGTATATTATTTGAAAACTGTGTAGAAAAATGGGGTGTGCATTATATTTGGGTGCACATTATACACAAGTAAATATGGTATACCTACATACAACATACACTTTTCCAACACTCTCTGGAAAAAAGGGAACTGTGGTGAAATTGTCACTTACTGTTTTCAATAATTCTAAAAGTCTTTCTTCTTTTAGATTTTTTTAAGTCTACAACCTGCAGAAAAGAAAAAAATCCTTCCTTTTTTGAAGACAGTAATGAAAACAGGAGAATCATTCCAAGCCACTTATGTTGCCACATCAGTGCCAAAGACTGTTAGTCTGCTTAAAGAAAATCAAGATGATCTGAGACAGGAATTTCAAGAATCAAATCTTCACTGCTTCTATTCTAGAATTTGTATTATCTGATTGTCTTCTACAGGAAACAATAATTGTTTTAAATTATGTTCTGTGGAAAGTATTTTAGAGACACTGTGTGGAATGGTGACCATGCAATGAAGATTCACCTTTCTGAAGAGGGTGTTTAAAGATTTAAAAATAATTATCAGTGAAGAATATTATTGTCAGATGAGGAGAATTATGATAGGGAAGTTATGAAATATCAAACAAATGCACCAAAAGAAAAATTGTTAATATTGCAGCATTATTCTTTCAAAGTAAGTCCAATCTTGTACCATCAATTGTAAGGGAGTTAAAACAATGGCACTGTGGATGTGTTTGAGGGGGTCGGTAAGGGGAAACATCAAGCCAATCATATGTGAAATTAGTTTTATACATGTATTTGCTAAAAGATATCTTATAATAAAAATTCATTTCTACTATATTAGCCATAATTCTAATCACAGTGAAGATTAACCCAGGTTCTCTTTATGCGGTTTAGTAAGACAGAGACCCAGGTCCTTGAAATCAAGAGCTGACGTTGGATCTTTGGAAAGTGTCCCTATTCCTTGGTCTCTTCTCCCTGGAATTTCCTTAAGAGCGTTCACTTCTTGTAAAGTTTTAGTGACTACAAAAATATCTATATAGACATCCCACCCTTCCACGATTTCTCAACTCTATATCTACACGTGTCACACACTGCGCGTTTATAGCTCTCCAAGACTTTCACACCAACCACTTTCAAACATTTTCGCAAACTCACCTTTATTTTTTTTCCTTCGCTTATCCGTAAAAACAAACCCACACAGCCCTCAAAAATCGACCTCTTAACAAGTCAGGATTCAGCACATAACCGGACCGAGATTTCGAACTAAACACAACGGCTGTATTTAAAATACGGTAAGGGAGTTTGGCGCGAAAGCAAGAAGGTGCATGCCCTGCAGCAAGCCAGCAATTCCCACGATCAATCGACGTTTTTGCGTGGCCCGTGCAACGGAAATTTTCACGCTGTAGAAAGTTTCAGAAGTCGTGCAACGAACTGTATTAAGCTTGGCGTTGTATACTAGACAGTGTGAGCAAATTAAGCCGGTCTGGAAAGTGAAAGTCATGCATCGCGTATCGTATCAGCAATAAAAATTTACGATACCTTGGAAAGATCCGCCCTAAAAATTCATCGGAGAGTGTTTGTTTCTTGTAGCCGTGCGAAGGGTTGTAATTTTTGCGGGTTGTTAACATTTTGTTCTGAAACTTTCCTCGAGAAATTTTCCGCGTTGAACGCGCTACGCAACTATGGCGATCGATGAGGAAAACTACGTCGTGTAAGAAAACACGAGAGTCACCCGGCAGCTTCTCTTCGCTGATTGGCCAGAAAAATTTTTTTCTGGCCAATCAGAAGCAGGCAATTCAAACGCCTCTGGAACTGGTTCGGTAAGAGTAAGTGTATGGCGTTCCATTTCCGCCAAAATTCAATGTTTCATTTTACATTGTACTTTGCACAATCTATCCTACACATTGTGTTTGTCATTTGAGTTTGCACTCGCGATTCAACTTTTTTGCATTCAACATTCAACTTTGATTTATGCAACATTCACGTTTTCGCTTTCGACATTCAACTTTTCATAAGCAACAGTCAGGTTTTGGAATTCTACCTTCAAGTTCAGTGGAATGTACATTCATTTTTTCTCATCCAACATTTAGCATTTGTCCTTTAAGTTTTCGCTTCCGACATCCGACTTTGAGCATTGTACTTGCAAGTTTCCGCATTCGACATTCAACTTTTCGACTTTGACTTTTACCCGCTGGTCAGCGACCGATTAAGATCGTGGGCTCAATTCACCTGACCTACCCCCGCTCAAATGGTGGTCGAGAGACTTCCCAGTCGAGTGGACTCGGGAGACCTTCTCCACTCCCGACAAACCAGACGTCGACAACAACATGGCCGATCGCCGGGATGCGGAACCGTCAGCTGCTAGCTTAAGTGAAGTGAGAGCCACCCTGTTGAGGGTGGCTGACCGTCTATCCTCGTTGGAAGAGACACCATCTCCAAGTAAGTATCGGGCAATCTTTGTCAAGTATGAAGAAGTTATGTGTTCAATAAAGTTCGCGCGTAAGCGCCGACACAAGCTTACATGTACGCATAAATAGCGGCAGCATCATTTTGATCACTTCACGCGCGCTGCGTAATGGACGGCATCGATCGTAGAATGAAATATTTCCGAAAGGTTTTGCTTGCAATACTCTTGTCTTTGTGTTTTTACTCATTTCTTTATTGTGTGAGAATTAAGGAATGAATTTTGATTTGTTGCCCAGCAATCAAGAATCGGTCTGCATAAAACGCCACAGGCACCCCAATCTCTGGCCTCCCATGCAGACTACACAAGCTCTTGTGTCTGAGCAATTCAAGTAATGTAAGCAATGGGTAATACAGAAAAAGCTACAGTGCTCGCACACCGTACATGTATTTATTTAATAATTATGTCAGAGCTCTCTGTTGTTAAATTTGTTTAGATTGGCTGTTGAGAAGGTTCTGCTTGAATATATTTATTATTATAATTTTTTTTATTTTTAGACAGCACCAGAAAGGTACAACAGAATACAAATCCTTCTCCAGTTGCTTGTCTGTCTGCTTCTGTTGCTGCTGAACAGCGCAGGCTGTTTAGCCATGGAAACAATGCAAAACGAGCACGTTCTTCTGGCAGCTCTCTTCCAAAGTCCAAACGAAATGCTACATGTACTTTAAAGTTTGTGTGTCTAGCTGCCAAGGAAGAGGCAGACAAATCCACCAATGTCTGTGAAAGAAAGAACGGCACTGGCAAATGCTGGCTTGGGTGATGCTAGTATTACCTTTGGGTATAACAAGAGCTCTGTGTACAATGGAATCATCCAACGATTTCCTCAATTGAGTGAGGTTGGGGGTTTTGACCTGCTGTTGTTTCAGAGAGGTAATGGGGAGGGTGCAGGGTTCCACAGAATTCTTCCCCCACACACACCTCAAAGACTGAAGGAGTTATGTGGCCAAGCAAAAATTTTCATACGACCTCTCCAAAAGGACATTGAACTTGATGACAAAGGTGGAGAAGATAAAGAAGATGTAAGTTGGATAGCAGAAATTAACAAGCTACAATAGTAGTGTCAGTGACTCTTTTCGCTTTATTTCTTGTTCAATTGGTTTTGTATTGTAATTAGCTGTGTTTTGGATTAATTAGGAGGAGAGCATTGTTGGTAATATTTATAATAAAACAAATTATTTGTTGAATTTACTGATGAGAGTATGTGTACATGTATGCTTATTTAAGTTAAATTTATAACCTTGTTCTTTTAACCTGCCCATGGGTTTGTTATATATATGTATAGTATATTAAATTCAGTCTGGAATATACATTATATCAAGCTTCATTATTTTCTTACTGTGAAAGTAGTGGATTTTTTGTAATATCAAATGGAAATGATGTTAAAGTTTAAGATGTAGACGCTATAAGTTAAAATGAAATTCAGATTTCAGTGGTTTCAGTCTTTGTATTTCTTTTCTTTTTTAATTTTATTTGCCTCATGTTCATAAACATTTTTCAGAACAAAGGAAATCCTAAAACAAACTGTAGCTGAAGAACATTTTGACATGATTTACATTGTTTATACGCTTCAATTATGTGTGTATTTTTAACTACTGCTTACATGTATGTTTGTTGATTTGCCTACCCTTCTAAATGATTATTTAGGTTGACAGTGATGTTCCTATGATTAACTGTTTTACCTGTGGTGCTGCTATTATCATGACGGATATGCAGGAGCACCAGGAGACTCACCAGCAAGGAGAGACCAAGCAGCCTGAAGATGACTTTGAATTCAGTGCTGGTCAGTACATTAAGCTTGCTGAGTATCATGATCCATACTCTTTTGTATCTTATTTATGTCATAAATAATGTGCAAATGTAACTAGGGCTTGAAAGTACAATTCAGTGAATACTTGAACAGCTGAAGAACTTTCTTCTTTGTGATATGACGTTATGACGTTATGTTTAACTGAGGAGAAAGCCTCTTCAAATCTAACATCACAAAGTTCACCTCCTTCCTGGGGGGAGGGGAGGATACTTTAGGAATTTCTGGGTAGGGATGTGCTACTGGGACCCTGGGACCCTTAGCCTATACCAGAGCTAGTTCAGCTGAATTTTGCTACTCTATTCTAGACTACTATCCTATAGTAGTTTTGTAGGCTGAGTTTTGTAAAGTTAAACGTGCTGATTTGATTTTTTTATATATTTTTGAGTGTCAATTCCCAGTTTCTCTATTGTAGACTAAAACTTTCAACCAATTCCTGGAAAATAATACCCTATTCTAGACCCAAACTCTCTGATTGATATACCCTATCCCAGAGTAAACTGCTTAAAAACCATTACCTTTTACAGTGGCACATACTTATTTGTGGCAAACATACATGCCAGTACCACCCCCAGGACCTCCTCCCTTAGTGGATATATTTTCTGTTATCTTATATTTGAAGTAGAGTGCTGTAAATCAAAGGAACTCAAAACCCACTCAGTAACATTATGTTTTTTATAGACAATGACAGTAACTGGGAACCTCCCCCAATGCTCCAGCCTTCTCAGTCACAGAAGCAGCAGCAGGATGAAGGTGTGTATTGCAAGGGGACAAGATCCAGCAGAGTAGTATTCATCATAACTTCATAAGGCGTGTCATAATAAAGCTTTCCCTGTATTGGAAGTAAATTACAAGGATCATATGGCATGCCATTGGTGCCAAAATTATGATGCAAATTTTCATATAAAATTTGTTTTTTCACATTTTTTTCCCTATTTTGGGGTACACATTGTCTTTTAGTTTGCACAGACTTCCTTTTTGGGTTGATTTTTCTTTATTAGACTTGACATTGGGTTGGTATAGTTTTCAGTTTTGGTCAGCTTTTTATAATGTGTAGACTTTTCATTCGGGTGGACTTTTCATTGTCATTGCATCAATTCAAGTCACGCAATACTGGTGACATCTCCTAAGGGATCATGGGAAATGCATTTCCTGTGCTGCCAGTCTGTTGTTTATGCACTGCCATAAAAAAATAGCAGGGCAGACTGTGCATACCTACCCTCCCAACCGTGGGGTAAAACATTGACAGCCACCACATTTTTGGGGATCATTTAAATCAATCTAGAAAAGGGTGAAATTCAACTCCCTGCAGAAAAATGAAGAATGAACATCTTTCAGCTGAAACCAACAAGTAAAAACAGCCAAAGGTATATTAAATATACCTTTGGCTATTACTAACCTTGTCTGTTAGATGTTAAATTATGCAACACACAAATTTTCATTACGTAACATTACTTTACTTGTGACTGTCTCTGCATAGCTGTTCAGTCTTCAATAAAATTGCCTTTATTGAGTTATTTTTATTACTTTGTGAAAAGGCAAAGAAATAAGCATTACATGATATATTCAGTTTATTCAGCAGCAGCCTGACTTCAAGGTCGTGAATACTTTGAGCCACAAAAGAGAGGCGGGTTGTGCATTGGCTAATAACAATTTACATGTATTATTGTGGTTGTGACATAACCTGCATTTGCACTGCTATTTAAAATAATGCTAGTACATATTAAGATTTCGTTTGTTATTGCAGGTGAAGTACCATTACACATAGATGACAATGGAGAAGAACCACAGCCTGGTCCATCTAGACAAACAACAGAGGAGGAAACCCTGCAACAACTAATGGAGATGTTTCCGGACAAAAGTCGAGATGACTTGGTGCGAGCCCTCAGTCTACACGGGACTGTTGGTGCTGTGGCTCTTTCTCTTTCCAGTAATTTACCTGAAGATGATTTTAGCAGTGATGATGACAGCCTGTTACAGCCTTCTTTTCCCCCTTCAAAAGAGAAAATAGATTCCTTGCAGTCATTGTTAAAGGAGCTTGGGAAGAATATGAGTGACGAGAGAGTAAAAGTAAAAATTGAGGAGGAGGACATACTGAACGATGCATTAGCCCATTACAAAAGTCCTGAGTTTGATGTTAAGAAGAAGCTAAGAATCCAGTTTAAAGGCCAACCAGCAGTGGACACAGGTGGTGTTACAAGAGAATTTTACACAAAGTTGTTCCAAGTCATTTGCAAGATGTTCTTTCAAGGCGGCAAATACAAGAGTCCTGTGTACAGTGCAGATATTGTAGCCTCCGGATTAATGCGATACTTTGGCACCATGATTGTTCACAGTATTTTACAAGGTGGCCCAGGCTTCCCAGTGTTGAGTCCTTCAGTATACTGTTACATTGCTTCTGGTAATATTGATGCAGCAATGGCCAAGATGAATTATGGAGATTGTTCAGAGCCTGTTAAGCATTTCATTGACAAGGTACAAACTGGACATTTGAGTGCATTCTAAAATTACTGACTGAAAGGGAGCTTGTAATCAATTGAGTAGAATACAGTACTTTGATTCTGACTCGAACATGTTTCAATTCACCTATGAGTATACAATCACTACAATGTCAAGTAACATCATAATCATGACCATGGCATTACAGTTCTGTTTGTAAAAATTATCTCAAATTTGTGCCTACTTCTTACTATTGCTTCTAATAACATATGCAAATAATATGCAGTACAGATGAAATATACATGTAATGATGATATTGCCAACAATCAGCACACAATAGCAATAAAATTACTATGTTTATTTACAGAACAAAGTTTACAGTCAACTTAATTGAAAACCACTCACATCAGATTTTATTTTTTTATCAATACTACGTAGGTTGCACAAGCTGAAGATGTGTGTAGTCTTGACAAAGAAGAATGCTCAAGTATGTTGTCTGAGTGTGGCCTTGCTGTTGCATTAACAGTAAGTTTGAATTGACTAGCATTGTTGCTTACTGTGAGAACGACCATTTAACTAGAATACACTGAAGGTGTCATTCATCTGTTCAGTAGTTTGCTTGGTCAGTCAGTCAGTCAGTCAGTCACACTCCTACAGTCAGTCATTCACTCACTCATTTGCTGACTCACGTATTCATTCATTCTAGAACGACAACAAGATGAGGGTTATTCAGGGGATCATTATACATGATGTAATTGGCCGCCCTAAGATTATTCTTGACCAGTTGGCGGAGGGTTTAAACACACTTGGATTTCGAGCTGCTATGAAAGAATACCCTGAGTTCCTTGAGGCTCTCTTTATCCCCAGCAAGGAAGAGTTGAATGCAGATTCTGTCATTGGCGTGCTTCAGTTCCCTAAAGATATGGATGACAATGAAAGTGTAGTAGCAGGTTACATTCACATGTTTATACAGAATGCAAAGGTTGACACACTGGAAAAATTTCTCTCTTTTGCCACGGGTTCAAAGGCTCTTCCCGATTTTGGCCTGGGAAAAATTCAAGTAAAGTTTGATAGGGTACCGGCTATCTTTGCATCAACATGTTTGTTTCACATTACATTTCCAAATCAATTCGAAGACCAAGATAGCTTAAGTTTGTCACTAGAGGCAGTCATAAATACTACCACAGGACAGTCATTTAACTGTGTGTAACTACAAAGTTCAGAAGTTATTAGACTTCCTTGTTATCATGCATTTTCTCTATACTCTCAAATTGTATTTTGCTCTGACTACAAGTTGAGTTAACTTTTTTGGACATCAATTTACAACTCCCTGTAAGTGATGAGTTTACATTGTTAAAGTTACATCTTGTTGTATACATTGTTGACATTTCGAGTTTCTTGTTAGTAACAAGTCAAGGCTATTTGCTCATTAATATTTTCTGCTGTTACTGTTGCTGTTGCTAAGGAGAGTTTCTAAACATCCATACAGAAAACCATCAAATCCACAAAATGGACTTGCACACAGCTACACATGAAGGAAGATCAATACATGGTTATATTTGCACAAACAATTCATGTTTTTCTTTTCATGTCTTTTAGAAGCCTAAAATGATTATTTCACAATCCAGGGTCAAGCATGGTTTTAATGCAAAGCACAATGTAATAAATATTTTACCTCATACATGTATGAAAACCCCTTAGCAACAACTCCAGATCGGTATCTGTAGTGACGTTTGTCCCCCTATAACAATGAAGTGTTCCTTAAAATGAAAGATGGATCCTTTAATGACAACTTGTTCCAACAAAGGATAGTCCTCATACACTGTAATTACGTTAAAGATTCGAAAGGTTGAAACCAAAAGACCTATTTGGAAGGTATGTGTTTTTATTTGAACAACACAGTCACTGTAGTATTTCTGGACAAATAATAATTATCACAGTTAGTTGCAATTTATTGTTCCAGTTCTGAACATGTAAGATTACATGTCAAAAGATTAAAAGTAGGTTGAAAAAATTATTGTTAGTTTAAATAAACATATGACTTGTTTGTTTTTTGTTTGTCCTTTAGCGTTACTTGACTGACTCTTGAGGGTGTTTCTTATTACAGTAAGTTGGTGATTTGGTTGAATACTTCAACCCCCTCTAAATATGTTAAATTGTCTGTTACAGGTAGGAGATGCATTTCCTCCTCAGTGAATGGGCAGTTTGTGTCCGGAACTTCAACATAATCAGGGCATTGTTCTGGGACGGGACCTTGCCAATCAATCCCATAGTTGCTATAATCGCCCTAAAAAAAAAAAGGATTATTGTGAGCAATTTGTTACATATGTGCTGCCAAAGCATTAACCCCCAATTTCTTGCAATGCAGGCCTGAGGATAGAGATTGGTGATCATAATTTTTAGTTATTACATTTGACACAAGTAATGCTGATTAAATGAAACCAAACATGTTACATACCTGGAACACTTCACCTTCAGGACCAAGAAATCCCCATGCCTCTTGCAGTCCACTAATCCATAACTGCATGGGCGTTCTGTTTCTTTCTGTACGTAATGGATGGTGAACCCATGCGTCTTTCCAATTACTCAGATGTCTGTTGATGATAGGCACGAACACGTAATGTAGGCACCAGAGGTGACAATCATCATCTGCATTTAACACATCCTGGTTTTCTAGGGTATAGAAGAGTTCATAGAAGAGGCTAAGGCAGCCCCCATATAAGTCTCTCCAAAGTCGTTCAATCCTTTGATTGTGTGTGCTCTTTCCTAGTGATTGCAAAGAATATAATTTTATAGATTAATAAAATTTTAGTTTACTTAATTATCTGTTAAACATTATCTAACAATTGGTGTCAAATACTCCCCCCGCCCCCGCTTAAAAAAAAAGGAAAGAAAAGGAGAAAAGAAAGAATTGTTTAATAGTCTCTTGATTCCTTCCGGGCTTAATAGTTTCTTCAATTACCATCATACTTAAAACAAGTCACAACCGGATTTGGAAGCATGACAAACACCATGCTGATTTTTAACAACACACACAAGCATTCATGAAAACAGTTCCCCTTAAACTAATTTAATGAAACTTGTGAGTTATTAATAGTAATATAATACTATTCATACAGCATCATTTCTCCTTGCCTAGAAATCCTCAAGATTAGTTCATGATCCCATAAGTATCTATTTCATTATATAAAATGTAGCATCCTTTGTTAAAACCTATTCAGGATCTTAAAGTATAGCCTGAATTCAAGATCCCATCTATTACAAACCCAGGAAAGGTCATCTAGCTAAGGAAAGATAGATTACAAGTAGTCCCCATTTTTCTTAACGGATAGTAGATTAAGTGAAACCGTGCATCATAAAAATCATCCCACGCGAGAAAGGAGAGACGCGGCGGGGAGATGCGCTCTACTATCCCTGAGGAAAAATGGGGACTGCTCATAGTCTAACCTAAGTAATAATGATGCAGTACTCTGTACCTGTTATCATACTTCCCCTTCCTGGCCCTCGCTGGATGTGAGTAAGCATATAGGTTGCTACATCTACGTTCTCCCCTCCTTTGTCAGAGCGGACCCGAGATGGAAGGCCGTACTCTGACACAGCTTCACGAAAACATGAAAGAACAGTGCTTGCCTTGTTGTCATTTGAGGCCTTCAAATAGACTGGGATTCGAGAAAAGCCATCGATTCCTCCATGTATAACAATTCTCCATCTGTTAAAAAAACCCCTTAATTTACATACAAGAGTGACAAACAAAAAATAAAAGCTCCTGTTAGGGCAACCTTATCATGTTTGGTGTTACCTGCAAGGGGTTAAAAAAGATGGGGACAGGGAAACAGTTATCAATCATGATCAATGTCTTCAACTGTAGCTAAAACACAGTTTAAAAAGTCTTGCATTAGCTGGTGTTGTGGCCACAGTTTAGTGTTTTCTTTTTGGTTCATTCAAGGTGTGTATGTTTACAGGAGGTATCCAGTAGCAGAATTTTGATTGTGTTTAACTTGGACCCACGCACAAGATCACGAGGGGAAACTATGACAATGTACACTGTACAACAGGTATCTTTATCAGTACCTTATCAGCTTATGGTTCCCATCTATGTGCCATAGTGAGAGTGGATACCTAACATTGTAATGTCGCCTCCTAGTGGTACTTCTCCATCTCTCCATAATACCAATGGGATCTGTTCGCAACAGGGATAATCTTATTCTTTCCCGCTGAATGCGAAACCCTTTGCTTTGTAAATAACCTTTGAGCATTCTTATACCCATTCCAGGATGCTGGCTTGAAGCAGTTTGAACGAGCTCATCCAGTTGGTTGTCTTCTATATCACTGAACATACCTGAACCAAAGCAATATAATGGAGTAAAAAATTTTCATTGTAGGTGTTGGGTAATGAATAGTAATAATGATGATGGTGATGATGATGATGATGATAATAATAATAATAACAATAATAATAATAACTTTACTTTAGCATGATTTTGTCATAAATCTCAAGCTAGGTAGAATGGTGAACAAAATTTTAGTTCAAACACTTCTGTGTGTTTTACTAATACTGGGCATCCAGATATGTAAAACTGCCATAATAATTATTTAATAACATTCTTCAGGCCTGAGGCTACACTTGACATTGTAACTTTTTCTCAGTCAAGCTACCCTGAAGTGTGAAAGGTCAACAACAATAAAGATAATGATGGTATAAGGAAAAATCTATCATTTATGGGAGTGGATCCCTAGGTAAAAGTAAGTGGAAGTCAACATTTTAATTTGCAAAATCTTAATCACCACTGCTTGGTGCAACAACTATCAACATTACTTTTTTATAGCCTTAATCCTGTACTAAATATTATCACTTTGTTATAAAAATTGTCCTTGTAGTAGTTTATCATCTCATTAGACAAAAATAAAAGATTCATGTTACTTTATACCTGATACACTCAACCCAAATGTTGACATCCTCCTCTCAACTGTCCTGGCACTCACCCCAAGGATTTTACTTATGTCACATACTTTAAACCCTTGCTCAAGTAAAAAATGAAGCTGTTCCTCGCTGATTTCATATGAAGGTCTCCCTCGTTGCCCTCTACTATTCAATGGAGCTTGATATGCATAGTTAACAAGGTTTCTTTGATCAATTTCAACCAACATCCTGTAAGCATGTCCAATCAATTCTGTGACTAGTTCATCCACATCGAGGCCGACAGCTATTCTTTGCAGAAAATCCAACTTGAAAACTATTGGTTGGAAATCTACTGATGGATCTGCAGACCCTGTAAATCTGTCTATAGCACTGATGATATCCAAGACAGCTAAATTTAAATAGGCTTTGTCATCAGACATCTGCGGGATCAAATATTTGAGTAATCTCAAGATGAAACAAATTGATCAATTAACAGCGCTTATCGCATGAGAATACAATTTCTGGGGGAATATTTAAGCTACTTCTACATGAGAAATTTCTGCAATTTGATTGGCTTAGAGCAGTGGTATTTCAGCTTAAGCTTAATTTGAAATACATATGAAAATTACAAAACCCTTGCAGGTAGTAGTATAAACAAATAATAGCATGATGTGTACGTGATTTTTGGTATAAATACTACTTGTGACATTTCAAAATTGTCTTAAATTTCACTCGTGAAATTTCAAATATCACTCGTGGTATTTATGCTAAATATCACTACAAAACATGCTTTACCTTTTCAAATTAAGCTGAAGAGATGCAAACAGGTAGCGCGATGCCTCCCTGTTTGTGTCACGTATAGTGTCCCACTAAAGAAGGCAGAAGTCGGTTGGACAACACTCACCTCCCTCGAAGACCTTGCAGCATACTGGCGATCGGCCATGTTGTTGTCGACGTCTGGTTTGTCGGGAGTGGAGAAGGTCTCCCGAGTCCACTCGACTGGGAAGTCTCTCGACCACCATTTGAGCGGAGGTAGGTCAGGTGAATTGAGCCCACGATCTTAATCGGTCGCTGACCAGCGGGTAAAAGTCAAAGTCGAAAAGTTGAATGTCGAATGCGGAAACTTGCAAGTACAATGCTCAAAGTCGGATGTCGGAAGCGAAAACTTAAAGGACAAATGCTAAATGTTGGATGAGAAAAAATGAATGTACATTCCACTGAACTTGAAGGTAGAATTCCAAAACCTGACTGTTGCTTATGAAAAGTTGAATGTCGAAAGCGAAAACGTGAATGTTGCATAAATCAAAGTTGAATGTTGAATGCAAAAAAGTTGAATCGCGAGTGCAAACTCAAATGACAAACACAAAGTGTAGGATAGATTGTGCAAAGTAGAATGTAAAATGGAACATTGAATTTTGGCGGAAATGGAACGCCATATAAGTGCCCAGGGGCTCGTCTCGATCTTACAGTAAACTTTCACCACGAACATTTTATCGACCCGACTAACTGCCCCTGGGTCTCCGAGGATGACGAAGCAGTTGAACAGTTTTGGTTTTATTTTTTTTTCCAGAAATGGGAATGAGATTTAAACAACCTAAATCCAGTAACCTACCTTTGTCTCGTTTAATCCAAGGAGGATTCTCAACTAACTGTACAAGTACTACAGGAGTGTCTGAAAAAAAAAATGTGGGGAGGAAAAACGATAAAAACTTTTAACTTGTCAATGACGGACAATGATATACGGCTTTTAACAAGTTTTGCAATCAGTCATTAACCATTATACCACGTCACGGCAAGATTATCTGTTCAGTGATTTTGTTACAAATAGTTATATGGTGAGTCCTGGAACTCATCTTGCGAAAAATTATGAGTCCCAGCTCAATTGAAAATGCTTGGGCCTTTATGTAACCAGACAGTTAATCTGGAAACAGACTTCAAAACTATTTATTACAGTTTACTGTAATGAAAATATAGCCCTTCTATATATTTAAAGAACAAACAAGACTACAGTAAATATATGCATCTTTAAACAACAGCCACAGAAATCAGACGAACAGGATATTCTACCAAAAAATCTTCAAATCATTTGATTGTTCTTTGCGTCCTACAGGACGCATGCCATGATTTATTTGTGTCTTTAGGCATTTTTATGCGTCAGAAATGCTGGACGCAGAGGTAACAAAATCACTGCTCATAGGATTGAGTGGGTTAAAATGAGTACGGAAACCTGTGGTGTTTCATAGCTGGGGAGTGAAATAAGATCAACAAAGTTGATAAAGTAAATTGGCCACCATTAAGAGATTCAAAAGCTGACATTTGAAGCACTAGGCCTTTGCCACAGTGAATCTAAAAGAATGAACAAATGTTAGGGCTGGTGCTTGAACTTCAGCTTTCAAAACTCTTAACACTGGCCAATGAACTTTTAGTTATCAACCCAGTTGATACAGTAAGACCAAATTACTGTGATAAAAATGGACTACATCAGCTTCTGAAGGGTTAAAAGTATCTGTTGGAAAAAGTATCTAGCACATTAAATATACATAAATTGAGGAGGACTGGTACCAAGCTCCTAAGATCCAATCTCTCAGAAAGGCATCAGGGACACCGTGTTTCACATTATAAACTATGTGCGCTTTCCATTCAACAAAAATTCAGCTTTGAAATTTCAGAAATTCCACATGCCCAATGGAACGGTACATTCTGGTAGCACAGACCCGACCCAAGCCACTGCGCATTTGGTTATTGTTCTTGTAAGCAGGATACAGAAAATTGGTACTGGGGTAAACAATTTTATCAAAATGGAAGGGGACATTTTGGTCCCACCCACTGAAATGAGCGGACTAATCAAAGTGAACTTCCCTCAAAAGTACAGGTGTGGGACTACTTCCCAAATATTTCAGTCAGACCGAACCGAACCATAATGGTCTGTTCTATTTGATTTCTAACCGAAATTTCCTAAATTTTGGGCTGAATGGAAAGCACCGTATGTAAATTAACAGAGAAAACTCTTGTTCCATTAGCTACAAACAAAACAGATACATTTAACATAGTTACATTTTACACACAGCGAATACTTACTGTGTGTGTTAAGAAGTCGTGTCATTACACTCAGTGGTAAACTAGAATAGGAGAAATAAGTACATTAATATTAATCACTGAATCAGATATATTTATTATTGCATGAGGTGAAGATGGTTGGATGCTGGCAAAGTTCTTTTTGTGTGTTTTCTAAAATAGACTTTTAGAAAAAGATGCGGAAGCTTGTTCAATAAAAGATGTAACATATGGCAGGAAAAAGTTCAGCATTTCTTACCTTGTTAAAGAATCTATGATGTATCTAAGAATGGAAACAGTCTTTACACAAACAGTAAAGAAAATTGTCCTTTCCTGTGTCTTCAGTTCCTAACAGAAATCATGAAAAAATTAATCTTCATGAATAACATTATTTTATTAAAAGCCAGCTGAACTAGTTTATGTTAGAGGCATTAGCATAGCTACACTTGGCAACAAAATTGGTTGACACACCTTGCCCTGACATTTTGCCAACTTCAAAGGGGAAAATGAAGCCATCCCCCCCTCCATGCAATGTTGTGCCACTGTTTGAGCTACATGTATGTGTTGCAATGGAAACAACAAACACCTCAACTTTGAAAGGAGGGAGGGGGAGGGAGTGGTTTTGATCTCTGAAGTTTAATTACCCCATAGTTTACCTCCACACTTGAGGAATCCTTAGTTTCTACAGTCTCTTCTGTAGCTTCTTCTTGCCTGAAAATCAAGTAATGTTTAAGGCAAAAATGGACTTGGACAGAGTAACGCTGAGGGAATAGCTTCTAGCATGAACGATGACAATCATTATGTACCAATCATTAACAACCCTGATGATCTTGTACAGCTAACTGACATCGTTGTGGCCTAAAGAAGGCCAGCATATAGGCACTCAAACATGATTCACTTTCTTTATGATATTTAGGGAAGAAGTCAAAACTTCACGTATTAAATTGTATTCAGAAAGGAGCCATAGACACTGTACAAAACTGGTGGAGGTGTCTTTATCCCCCCCCCTCCTGTCACCCCCGCTCTAGCAAGAAGATGAAAAGATGGTACTGGCCTCATGAATAAGATTTTAATTAAATGTACCCATGTTGTTTGTCCAAATAATGTTAGTCTTATATGCATAAACCTTTTAGGTCTACTAACACATGTAGAAGTCTCATCTGTCATTGATTTACAGGCCAACAATGTTTGTCAAACAGACTCATCAGGGAGTGGAAGGTGCCCCCCAAGCTCCCCAAGTCTTTTTTCTTTTTTCGAAATCAAAATACAAGTATCAAGAACAATACACTACTATGAAGAAGAATGAAAAAAATGAATAACAGTAACTTACTGTGCGATAAGCAGTGTTATTCTTCTGAGGCAATAATCAGCAAGATCAATAATACTATCACCAGCAGCCTCGCATGCTTCCTGACAATCAAAATGCAATCAAGAGTTTCGTTATGGAAATTACGTAAAACTTGAAAAAAATTGAGTTATGTAAACTCACACCACAACCTGATTACCATAACTTTCACCTTATCACTAGTATTAGTTTGATGATATAAATTTCCATACACTGTAGCTGAATTATTTGGGACTTTTTTTGCCAGGGATTTTTGTAATAAAAAGACTGTGAATTCTCCAAGAGTTAAATAAATCGACCATGTGGTTCCAAAACTTACCTATAATACCTCGTGGAACTAATAAAAAAAACAACCAACGACTAAGTATTTTTTTGCAATTGGTTCCAAAAACAAAAAAAACATTTCACGTAAAAATCTAAGACTACCGAAAGATTTATAGTTTTTCATTTTTGGCACTGTCTTGGAAGTAAGGACATGAAACACAATAACTTACTTATGTTTACCTTATGATATAGAATAGTTTCCAGCAGACTGACTACTGTTGCTTCATGAAACAGCTGTTTAAAAAAACAATATTATTTTAGCAGTGCATCAAGTGAAAGTACTAAATATAGATGAAAATGTGCTAGCTTTTACCATGAAATTCTTACTTTTAATTAACACATTAATAAGCAGATAACCGATGGTATTCCTACCACAACCATAAGTACACTCTAGGGTTGGTCCATACTGTAGGCAAATTTCAATAATGGAGATACCATGCACTACATAACAATTCATTTTTCTTCATTTTTTTTTCTCAATATAAAAAAGGATCTACAAAATTTCTTGGATGCAAAGATAACCAAATTTTCTTACCTATGGTGCTCCACTATGCATGGTTCCCACCCACGAGAGCTCCACTAACAATCATTCAAATTCTCTTTATAAGTTAGAGTACAAGGTTGCAGCAAATAAAATTAAATAACAATAAATTAAGTTACACCTACCACAAAATATACAGGTAAAGTTGTATGAGGGTTATAGCCTGACTCTAAAAGTTTGGGAAACACCTTTTCTTTCCAAAGCTCAACAGCTAACAATTCATGGATCAGGGTGGGAATCTGAAGAATGCAGTCAAAATATAAAAAAAGAACCCAGTAATAAATATTTGGAAATGAATGTTATGTGCAACATATTCTAATATTATGATTTTAACTACAGGTATTCCCTTGGTACATTTGAAACCAAGATGGCCTAGCATTTACAGCAAGCACTTTACCATCTTATTCTACTCACCACTTAACAAGCTTTGTTGACCTTTTCCAAAGAAAATAATCTTTCTCATATTTCATATACATATAATGATAAATAATCCTTTATACAAATAATCTTTTATACCAAAAATATTACTTGCACGGTCACACACCTTCTCTAAAGTTATTAGCAGTTCCTTGACAAATTCATCTGTCTGTGATGAAGCACTGACAATAGCCTAATAAAGACATACATACATAAACTTTTTATTTATTTATTTATTTTAATTAATTAATTTATTTGCATCACTGATTTACATTACTTACATATTAACCATATAGATACAGGATTATATTTCTGCTATACGGTAATTACTTAATAGTCGAAATATATAATACAGATTAGCCAAAGTAACTGAGGTAGTTCAACATACATAAACTTTATTTACACTCGAATTGTTGAAAACCTTGCAGAGATATAATATCTTACAGAAAGCAATACACAAAAATTTTGGATGGCTTTTTGCTTTGTTCTTACTAGCCTGTTTGACTGAGTCATACATGTATGCATTTGGATATGGTTCAAAAGATCTTTTGCCCCTGCACAAGTTTGGTGTCAGAGGCATGCATTATAGTTGTTTCTGTGACCCACTCAGAAAACTAGGAACAACAGAAATATTTCGGGAATGTTGTTGTGTTGTAAGGAAAAAAGCCAATCAGGAATGAGAAAACTAAACTACAGGTAACAATGGGTATAATTACTTTGGGGTTTGTGGCTTGCATGTCCATAGCATTGATGCGATTGGTAACAACACAAGAAACATGCCTTACAGTAAATTATTTCAAGTGTTCACAGTTTTCTTGATTTGATAGTAGAACTGATGATGTCGTCACAAGTGATACAAGGGACGAGGATCCACACAGGCAGTTATGGGCAATTCAGGTGTGAATGGGTTAATGGTACCATGTTGACTGGTTAGGCTAATGCACCTATCAATGTAAATCCCACAAGGGGCGGGGATTTGATGCCTGAGACTATCCCCCTGTCCAGCTTTTGATCGCGCGATGCAACCCCAGGGTCGGGACATTTGACTTTGACCGACAGAAGCCTGGTATCAATTCAGAAGCAGTTACCAAGTCTGTCCCACGAGGCTTTAAGGTATGAAGTTTTCATTTGTTTTAATCGCCATAATCCGATACTTTAAACTGTCATCTAAACAGATAATGTCTATTTTGAGAAACTTTTTATCTTCAAGTTCCCATCTGCCTGTAAAACTGGATTGAAATCGAATTCCACCATGAAAGTCAGAGGATTTTTTACAGGTCACTGATCCGACCTGTTCTGACATGTTGAGCAGATGTTATAAAGCATTGTATGTTTCATTAATACTATATAGCACGGTCAATCTTCCCGGAGGGATTATGTTGTTCAAAATGAGAGATGCTAGTGGAGAGAGAAAATACCTTTTTTTTTTTTTTTTTTTTTTTACTTAATTACAGCTTACGTTAACCTTAAATAAAAGCAGTAAGAACGTACTTTTGAAATGTTCTTTTATTCGTTTTATGTAGTATTATAGTATTGTTTGTTTAGATTTTTTTCCCTTGGGTGGGGCTGTTTCGTTTCCCCCCCTGGGGAATCTGATCAAAAATTTTTTCAAATCCCCGCCCCTTGCCCGCACTCCCCCCCCCCCCAACCCGCGGGAAATACATTGATCGGTGCATAAGATTTGTTTCAAAATTAAGATATTTACCTGCATATTTAGTTTCTCTATGAATTCATGTTGGTTCATCCATCTGCAGAATTAAAATTTACTACCGATAAAATAACATTTTTTCTGATTGGCAGGAGGAAGACTATTAATTTTGCTTATTTAAACGCATATATACATGGCCAGACGTACTGTGTGTCCAGCTTGTGGTCAGTCCACAGTCTGGTTCATACCATGGCGTGAGAGTTTAAGTCCGACCGCTCGATCACGCTCCTTTCTACGTAAATACTTACTTTGCACTTCCTATTTCTTTTAGAGGGTAAGTTTTAAGCTGTTCAATGTACAGTTCAGCTTCTGTAGCAAACAAAACTTGCTTTCCTTCGCCACCAGATTCACCCGCCATTTTGTTTGAAGGCTGCAGTCAAGGAGATACCGCTGATTACGTTTTTGCACCTAACGCGGGCACTGTACAATGTTTCAACATGGCGGACCAAACGAAGAAAATCTGTTGTGAAAATAAGGACAGTTCTACAAAGGTAGATCTCATAAAATGCTTCTATTCGCTGAAAAAGCTATTCTTAACATTTCGTAATTTCTATAAATAATGATTAGAACGTAAAATAGTACTGATTTACGACATATTTTATAGTCATCTTAGTATCCTTATCAAAATCTGTGTAAGAAACCTTAAGTTTCCCATTTATATACCACAAATTAAGGATTTTGATATTGTAATATTTAGCGTGGCAACTGACTTTAATGTGCTGTATGATGTTCGTGATAGTCTTAAGATATTGATGGCTGTGTGCTGCGTCCACATATTTTTTGAGGTTCGGGTTTTTTAAAACATGAATTTTGTTTCTTGCGATTCACGTACGATTGTGATATCCGACACGTTTTCGTGACGCAGCGCGTTACTGATCGGAAATTATATTTCTTCGCTATTTATGGCAGTATTTCCTCTAACGGAAAGTTCAGAATTTTAAACCTTACAAGATTTCAATTTCATTTAATACGTATTTATTGCTCAACGACTGTGATTTACACTATATGTTACTATTTTCCTAACTCAAAAAATAATACTTATATCGTACAAAACTGCTCCTCCTCCATATGCGTACGGGCTAGGGCTGTTTGAATTTCGGCTAGGGTCGCTCAGGTCTATGTTGTGGTTCAATTTTATCCTACATTAAAAATTTATTAATTTTTGTTTTTTTGGATATGGTTTAGCTTAAATGTATAATAATGAGTTTGAAAACAAATAAAATAAAATCTAAACCATGGATAAAATTGAACCAAAACATCTATATTGTGCTAACAGAAACCAGCTCAGCTCCCACCCATTCAAATCTATATAGATCTATTAACATGTAAATGTGTTTGAAAATATTAGGAAAAAAAAATGTATCCCAAAACATGGGTACATTAGGGCTGAAGATAAGACAGTGTAGTAGGTTATAAATTCAGGATGACATGTTTGTCATGCATGCCACCTATCAACATTCCATTCCTAGCAGTAATGAATGCAGGATGTCAAGGTTTGTAATATGAAGATAGTGCTATGGGTTTAGTGGTAGAGAATTTGTATACATGCAGGTTTTGTTTCTGTTGGCTGAACTCATAATATATTTTTCCCAAGTCACCATGTGACTGACTGAACAAACAAAATTCTCATATTGGGAGGTTATTGATGACTTGTCCTAAGTTTTTCTATCACTGACTGATGTTTTGTTTTCTTCTTTGCATTCAGACACGTGAGCTTCTTACACGTTTCTCTAGCACTGTATTTGCTTGTGACATCTCTGGGGATACGAGGTACATCAGATGTGACTTTCCACAATGTAGGGAACATGCAGAAGCTTTGCAAGGTAGACTGATTCAGATCTCAAAATTATAGCTTAAGATTACTGGTATTAATGTTGCGCAGATAATCGTGCATATTACCTCTGAAACATGGTTTATGTAAACATGTGTTACAGGTCAAATTTGATTTCAGGTTGATCTTGATTTAACCCAGGTTGATTTTTTTACCAAGGGTAAAAGTAAGGTGCCAGTGGTCACTGGTAGTGATAAAACAGGACCTTGTTTACACATGCTGATTGTATTGTCAAAATCTTTGTATGGTAGCATTAGCTAGCCATTGTTACTATTACTAATATTATTGCTAGATTAGAGTGTATTTTGATGTTAAAGTTGATTAATCTTCAAGGAAAACCATGCTGGATTCTCAATACTCTGAAGAATGTCAGAGTACTGGACAACCATGTTGGAAGAGAGGTGAATTATTACATGAAAGAAATTGATTCTGGAATGCATGATCAGTTGTCCAATCCTCACTATGCAGAAAGTCAGCATTGGATTGAAGCTCAAGCTTTGCCTGAAGGAACTAGAAAGGTATTGATTGTTTGAGGCAGTGTAGGGTAAACCCAGAGACTTGCTAAAATTGAGATACTCAGACCACTGATTGAAAATCCAAGACCTTGCCGGAAGATGTTTGAAAATGAATAATCTGAGATGGAAAGAAGCACACAGGAATGACACCTTGATATCTTTTACTAATGATTCTATAAATTTGAGAGTAGTTGAGATTTTTTAGGGACCTGTGGCATCCTGGGAACCATTCCTTTCAACCCGTCTTGTACGTAATATGTGTACTGTGAGGACAAATGACTAGAGGTTGGCAGGATTGTAGAGTTCTCATAGTTTTTTGTTTTTAACCAACCTTAACCCAAAGGATATAGTGATGTAATGTTGGTATATAACATAAGAGTGAAAAATAAAAATAAATAATAAAAAATACAAGATCATCATCATCATCGTCATCATCATCGTCATCATCACCATCATCATCATCATCATCATCATCATCATCACCATCATAATCATTATCATCATTCAATTCAAAGTAGACAGACTGCAAATTATAGTACCGGTAGTTGCTAATAAAAAAATGTATCTACATGTCCCAACTGTTCATCAGTAGGATGCCTAAAATGAGTTCAATTCCACAATTGGTTTCGACTCCATTACATCCTATACCAATTGCAGAACATTTTAGGAGGAGCCACCCACCGTGTGAGCACAGTCGCGGACAACACATATAAGTGAGGAAAATAATGCAAAGCAAAACTAAGATGTTATTAAATGAACTAAATGTACACAAAACTTAAACAAATAAATAATGCACACGCCCAAAATTAAATTACGCGTGCACATGTACCAAGTTACAACTGAAATAAAAATCCAAGTAATACATAAGCAATGTAAGGATACGATGGTGCAATTTAAGCCTGGATTGCTAATCTCATCTCCCGCACGGCTGCACCATACTTCTCGATGATAAGACCATGGTGATTGACGAATTTGTTAAATGAGTTCTGAAGTCGATTGGTTTCGAAGCCTTGTTGTCATCATCATCATCATCATCATCACCATCATCATCAGTCAACATCATCATCATCATCATCATCACCATTATCATAACCATCACCATTGTCGTCATCATTATATCTAAATCGAAATCCCCACATTTAGCTGACATTTGCCAGTTACTGCTCTTGATGCATAATGAACACCTCGGTGTAGATACTTTTTAACCATGTCACTGTTAACTGCATTGGACAAGATCCCGATACAATGTACCTCTGCTTTAATGAACAATTTTTTCCTGTTGCTGGGCACTAATGTTGCATTAGGTTTTCAATGCATATGCATTACTTTGGGGTATCTAGATTTTTAGACTTTATATCTGTGCTTTGATACTCCATCCAGGTTCTTGCTGTGTTTAACCTCAAAGACCCACAGTCACAGTTTGGTGATTGGATTTCACTGTTTCTAAAAGCTGCTTTTATGGCTGAAGGTAAACAGGCACATATGTGTACATGTGGTTGGTAAATAGTTAGAGGCCACATGCCATTTTACAGTTGTTCACTGGGTGTCCCAGCTTGAGTGAAAGCATTGCAGAGGGGCCCTAAAGCTTAAGGCTCACTCAGTCACTCAGCATGCAACTGTATAATGGCCCATTAGATATTAAATAGAAGTGCTAAATATGTGTCAGAATTATAAATTTTCTCAGTGTTATTCTGAATTACAAAATGTATATATGAGAACCAAAACTTGAGTACCTTAGAAACTTGTTTGTAACCTGCATTAATTTTATGGATTCTTTGTATGGTTAGTACAAGTAGTATTGTAAGCTTTCTGATAAGTTAACATCAAGTTTTTGTCACATCAAACTTAAAACTGTGTACAGTGTATTGGGATTGTTTTAAGTAGCATTTTGAACTTAAAGCTGGGCAATTTAAAAGATTCAACAAGAAGAAATACTAATGAAGTACTATTGTATGTACCTCTTCTTTTCAATAGTCTTTTATTATTGATTTTCAATTTGGACCTTGTCAAGTTAGCAAATCAACAACAATTTTCCACGATCTGTACTCTTATTGACCATAAAAATGACGTCAAAATGTTCACAACTCAAGAGGAACCATGAGCAGCAGGCGAGTGGTTTCGCTGCGAAGGTTTGAACATTTCACATCATTTCTATGGTTGATGAGAGTACAAACCATGGAAATTCATTGACAGTTTGTTTTTTTTACAATGATAACATTGATAGTTCTGGCCCCAGTTGTTCAAATGCTGGACAGCACTATCCACCAGACAAATCACTATCCAGTGGATTAGTATAAGGAAAAGCAATTGTGCTATCCGTTAGATAGAGAATTATCCGGTGGATAGCTTTATCCACCTTTTGAACCATGTCATTTCCATTTTCTGTACTCCTATCAAACATAGCTCTCATCCAATCAGCGCATAAGAAATCGCTAAGTTATTGTTAAATTTGTGTGTGGCAGCAGTTGGCGATGATTTCCCAAGGGTGCCTGATTACTGTACTCTTTTTCATGCTTCCTTCATCGTGTTTTTTTTACATTGTATGTTGTCTTTTAATTGACAGAGATACAAGAACATGGCTGTGTTGTAATCACCCAGAACTTTGTGAGTCGTTATGAGTTAATGGAGTGCATTGCAAAGCTAAGTTTCTTGAGCAGTCATCTGCCAACAGGTTTGTATTATTCCTTTTTGGTAGATTTAGCTTTTGACTCAGGCCCACTATCCAAATCCAAATTCTTTAGACTAATTTTCTTACACAAGATGTACCTTTCCTTAAAGAATTATTTGACTGAGAATTTGATTTAAGATCAAAGCACTTTTCCCTTTGGTTTATAGTCTGCGTCACAGCCGTTCTGGTGTGGTCACATAATTACTGTGAATTAATTATTGGTTGGAGAAAATGTTATTGATGTTGGGCTTTCTTGGGACTTATATTGACTCCAGGTCCTGGAATAAATATAAAAATGCAACTCTCTTTAAGGGGTCTTTTAGGTAATTTATCTCTTGTTAACACAACACACGATAACAGAGGTTTCACTGCCTCATCTTCTTTCTTAGTTGAAGTTGTTGCAGCATTGAGCTGTCACTCAAGTTGTCAGGGCCAAGTGTTTTCTTGCACACCATTTGCTATGGGGAAGCAGTGTGGATTTGAAGAATTTTGCTCCTTGCATGACTTTGTGATGGCTTGTCAAAATGTTTTAAACAACGTTCTGGTGGCTGTACACATCTCATCATGTTTTACGTTGAAGCTGGATTGCTCTCATGTGGTGAGTTTTCTTTCATGAGAGACCCTTTCACGAGTTTTTTCAATTTTTGACATGGACAAGTAAGGGGAAATCCTTCAACACCACTGGAAAGAGCGTCCTAAAATTGATAAAATCGCCAAGGTTGAAAGTGATTTGTTGAAAAATAACGAAGACAAAGCTCCTTAAAGGCAGGAAATTTTACAGACATTTGTATGGTGAGGAGGACAAACTTGCCCCTCACCATCCAAACGTTTGTAAATTTTCGCAACTGTGTGGAGCTATATCTTTGCTCGCTTAAGATGCATGTATCACTTTCAAAGTTGGCAATTCTGCTAATTTTAAGAGACGCTCTTTCCACTGGTGTCGACGGATGTTCCCTAACTTGTACATGTCAAAAGTTGAAAAAAACCGTGGAAGGGTCTATTGTAATCATTCATGATCAACATCATCACCATCATCATCATCACTTTTATTAATACACGGTAAAAACATCAGGAAAATATACAATATCCTAAAAAAGTTACAAACTATTGAATTAATAGTAATAGCACTTACAAAGATGAACGTTGAAATAAATAAATAAATAAAATTGATTTTAAAATTAAAGCCTGTTTTCTATGAATGTTAACGGTTTACGAAAGCAAGTCAAAGATTATGCTTGTCTAACGTCAGAGGGCGAATTGTTCCACAGCCCCGTTTTAGCAGAAGCTATTTCTATAGTAATTGGTTCGTGGCAAGGCAATAACAAGCTTGTTTTCAGAATCTCTAAGGTTATAAAAATTAAACAAATCGCTGCGTATGATCCGATGTAATCATCAAAAGGCAGGAAAGTACCCTCTCACTAACTTACATCTGAATAATCGCAATTGAAATTTCGGTTTTAGACTTGAAAGCTCGAACAACCTTATACAGCGTTAGAAAACAAAGAGTACCGTTTCTGGAATAGTACTAGTCTTCGAATACAGCCGTTTCTGCTCGTTCATCGCCTGCTAGGGACGTTTTGCCAGGAGGGACGTCTGCGCCTCAGCATCAGAAATTCCAAACTAATTCCGTAAAATCTATCTGGAATCTGGTCAGGAGCTCTGATTGGTCGACGTAGTAGTCATATTGTTTTAGCTATTGCTTATGAATGACAGACAAAAGACAAAAGGTCACAAAGGTCAAATGTAAACGCAATTAATCTATTACACAACAGTCAATATTCGTTGAATGTATTCTTCTTTATAAGAAGCATTTGGGTTTTGCTGGAGCTCCATCTCAGAAGAAAATAAAACTTCACCATAATCGACCAGGAGAAACCATAGCTACCCCAAGCTCACGAATGTCCTACTCTTTTTGACAATACTGAACTTTTTTCAAGTATCAGATACTTTAGCTATATAAGCTTATTGGGGACACAGATCAGTCGAGTGGGTTCTTTTACATCCCTTCAAACTGACTGATGAAGGAAGGATGAATTAGGATTAAAGGTCAATGTTTTAACGTCACTGCCCAATGACGCGAACATCTGAACTGAGACAAAGCCTTAAATCACAGCCAGCAAGATCTCCCCAGGTTTTAAAGACCCTAGTTGTATGTCCGAGCTAAGTGAGCGGCGGTCGTGCTTTACGATTTATGCTGATTTACATTTGCTTTACGAGTCAAAAGTTTGAAACAACTTGCAAAGCGTAATATGCAGCACCATGAGAAAGACTAGGAACCAGTTGTTCAAAGGCCGGGTTTCTTTTTCTTTTGTTCGAAAGCATTTTCTCAGATTATTTTCTCTTTCCTTTTCAGAGCATCTGATCATCGAATTGTTGACGAAAGGAACTAAACTGAACTGCTTGTTAAGCTTTCATGTCTGAATTCAAATTTCGCATTAACCTTGGGTTATCTTAACCCAGTGTTGAACAACCCGACCCTGCTCAGTAGCTCTGGCTTGAATGAGCACACTTCATAGCGGATGTAGTTTATTTCCTTCATCTGTGTAAATGTGTTACGGCAGTTGCATTAATCTTGAAATGTCCGAAAACTGAACACACTTTTGCCATCTTTCTTTGTATCACAGGATTGGCCGGTAGATGCAGATTGGCTAAAAAACAAACTGCAATGTATTCTCAGCGGCAGCACCAGAGAAGTGTATGAAACTGGCTCCCAGGTGGCTGATGTACATTTGATGCTCTCCACGATGCTTCCCAGCTCTGACGCTGAAACTTGTGGTACGCGTTTAAGGAGTGCAGTGCTGAGAGCGTGCTTGGAAGGATTTCCTGATCTTGCAAGGGAGATGGGCCTGGAGGTTTTGGACCCTGATTCTGTAAGGGAGAGACTTTCAAGGGAGGGCAGAGAAGATGAGGTGAGGGTTTTTGGATCAATTATGGTTTCTGGGAATCTGTTCGCCTACCCCTCCCGTAAGCCAACATTCTGCCCTAAGAGAGAAGTAAGTGTTAATGCAAGGGAGATGGGCCTGGAGGTTTTGGACCCTGATTCTGTGAGGGAGAGACTTTCAAGGGAGGGCAGAGAAGATGAGGTGAGGGTTTTTGGATGTATTAAGGTTTCTGGGAAACTGCCCACCTACCCCTCCCCTGAGCCAACATTTTGTCCTAAGTGAGAAATAATGTTGATGTTGGCTAAGGGGAGGGGTAGGTGGACAGTTTCCAAACACCTAAATCGATCCGCGACATGTCCATTATGAGGTCATTTTTACTTCTACTGCCAAAATCAATTTCGTGTATCCTTTCGTATTTCAAAATAACTAAACTGGAAATTTGCACAAGGAAGCATAACTCTGAAGGATTCTGGGACTAGTGGTAAAAAGGCGTCATCGTGCATATGGGCTATTTTGGCTTTAAAAACTAGCAGTAAATATTCACCTAAATCGTAATGGACTGAATTCCACGGATAAACCCAAAAGCTAGGCCAGTGCTGTTCGTTTCGGATGGAGAGGTAGTCTGTTTTAGATTTTTGTTGTTGGAGTCTGTTTTTAAGTCACCAAAATATTAATGGTTGTAAAGGGTCTGGCGAATGTTTTTGAAAAGTTCGTATGTCCAGTAAACAGAGGAGGTTCCACAGGAATTCCACAATGCAGCACAATGCGGTGATGGACTAACATCTCATCCGGGAGAGAGAAGCAAGACTCCTGGGGGTTTCATGCTTAGAAACTGAAAATACAGTCAAATCTCCATTAAACGGCCACTCTCTATTAAGCGACTAGTGATCAGAATCCCGAAATAATTCTAGAAAAGAATGTGAAATTAAACCTCTATTACACGGCCGCGGTCTCCTTTTTGCTGTCCCATCAAGCGCCGGATACTCTTAATTTGGTTTAATTCTTAAAATATGATGAACCAAAATACAATCCGAGATAGAAGGTGATGACCGATTGTGGACTAGATACGCTGTTCCTGTGGCGCGTTTGTTTCAAAATAAAGTGATGTTTCTGCTTACGGTTATGCTAATTTATGACGAACCTCTATTGAGGGGCCAACCTCCATTAAGCGGCCATTTGCCGGTACCCCTGAGGGTGGCCTCGTAATAGAGGTTCAACTGTAAACGCCGGTCGTGTCAGTGAGGCTCATGGCTAGTGTGCGCCTCTATCCTTATTATCATTCTTCACTCAATTAAATAATTCCTTTTTTTGTTAATTTTTCCTGAACTTGTTAAGGTTACTCCACCTGGCCTGGTAATGTCGTCAGTTCGAGTTGTCTTCCTCGTTCAAGTAGAAGATCCTGGTTCATCATCCAAGGCCTCTTATCACGCTAAGCATTGTGGGCCATACACTGCCCTTGCAGAAGCAATTACAGCAAATCTTCGAATACGAAAAGCTTCAGACGTGAGGTTTGAGTATACGATTGTCCAAGTAAAACACATCGAAACCCTTCTTCTTAAAGAGTCGTTGAATAAAGAGTTAAGCGTTCTCCCTATTGATAATTTGAAAGTTCTGTTCATTGCGATAGGACCCATGTTTTCTAGACCCAGCGTAGAACTGATAGATATCATCAAAGACTGGAGTAGTCAAAAGACTGAAGGTATCTGTTACGGCGTTCATTTTCAACATATTACGGCAATGCAGGCCTATGCCATCAAGAACCGGCTCAAGCAAATTCAAGATCGCGACAGCATTGCAGGAAGCGCCGAAGCAGCACCTTCGAGAAAGCGCCTTTCTGTTACTGGACTCGTTGACAATGGAGATAAAAACTGCTCTTCGTCATTCCCTGTTTTGCTGTACATGATTCATTTGGCTGTTGGAGAGAATGGGAACAGACTAGCTGGAAAAGGAATTCCGTCAGGTATATTGTAGGATTGATATTTTTCTGGTTTGTCAATCCTAGTAAAGCTGCAATCTTGGGTCCCCTCTGTAGTTACCAAGGCACAGATTACGCACAACAAGAGAAACAACACAACCAAACAATAAAGCACCCCTCGGGGTTCGTACAGAGTCTTGAATTCTTGACAAAGCCAGCCCAGCAATTTTCCAGACCTGGAAAACGTCTGGAAAATAGAGATAGAGTGTGAAAAAAATGATGGAAAGTCTTGAGTTTAGCTTGAATGCTTTATAAGTGATTTTATCCAATCTCGCCCAAACGTTTGCATTGAATCGTGAAAAAACCTTTGTTCCTGCATTTTTAAGGTCTGTATTGATCACTGACCTATTTGATAACCTTTTGTTTTGGAAAAAAGTGTGGAAAATGTCTTCAATTTTGGATCCAAAAATCCGGCGAACCCTTCACCTGAAGAACTCTATTGTTTGGTTCCTTTGTTTCTTTTGTGATGGCGGTACTCTTGGACAGAATAAAATGGAATGACAGTCTCCCCTTCCTCCCTAATTTAAGGATAAAGCCGTGGAAAGGTAAAAACGGGCAGTCTTCCCATCCTTGTTTTGTTTGGGGGAGGTCGAAATTTCCTTTTTATTTTGACCAAGATTGTAGCTTGTGACCCATAGCGAAGTATTTTTTTTTGTTCAATTCACAGTTCTTTTCTCTCATTTTTAACCGATCAACTCCCGAAGTAAATGGCCAGAAGACAGTGAAGCTAATGTTAATAATTTTATGTTTAAAAGTCGTGACCACTCTTGAAAATATGTAAACCCTCGCTTGGTTTGCTTAATTTGGGGTTTGGTCTTCAAATGTGTTGATTGCTGTAAAGGGAAAGATAGAAACCTTTCTCGTTGAGCGGCAGGCGGAATAAAAGCTCGTTATTTACCACTCCACTAGTTGCCACTCAGAAAGACACCGAAGGAAAATTCAGTTGATCAATGCTGTGCTGTGAAACCTGCCACGCCCTTTGAGAGATTTTGCTGGTTTTGTTTTAAAGGTAACTTTAAAACATTTGCGTATTCTTACTTTTGTAGCTGTCTATAGCAACAAGCCAGTCGGTCATGGTGTGTCATCTTGGACACTGGAAGAAGTGTATATGGAGACTTGCCACGTGCTTTCAGGCTTAAGCAGGAAGTGTGGATTACATCTACTTTCGCCAGCGTCGAGTCCCGAGAGGCCTGCTGTGGTGCAAAGTTCCAGTCTTTCAAGTGCGTATAGAACTTTCAGTGAAAAAACTGCACCAGTAACTCAGGAACAGGCCTCTACGTCCAGTTCTGATTTTAAACGAGGAGCATTTAGTGGGGAAATGGATTCCTCGGTCGTTAACACCCCAAGTCCCTTGAATCAGGATGGAACCATAAGTGAAAATAAACCTTGTTGTGTTGGAGTTTTGACGGAAAAAAGTTCTCAAGAAAGGGACAGACACAGTGGTTTGTCTTCCTGTGACGGTTGTCCGAGAGCATCTTCCACGACAACCCCGGTTTTAGACGATTCGACAGAAGATGAAAATGCCTGTCGTTCAGAAGGTAATGAAGGAGAGAATATAGAAAAATTAGCTGGTTTTGAAGGCCTCGAAAAGGACTCAATAAACATTGGATCATTTCTCGAGGCTGGAAGTTCAGCAGAGATGAAGGCAAGTACAAAGAGTCTTGACCAGAATGACCTTGAGCGTGACGAAGAACCCTTCAGTGGAATGTGTGACACGAAGCCGTCTTCAACAATCAAAGAAGATGTCTCTGAGGGCATCGGAAGCAGCTGCACTGTTACGGATACTGAGCAAAAAGGGTGGCCAACAAGGGAATGTGATACTCAAAATAGTAACGCATCTCAGAGTTGTACAGGGGCAAAGGTTTCATTACAAGTTTGGCTTCAGGACTTTAAAGGTTTCTGCAAGGGAAAGGAAAGTATTGGGGCAAAGGAAAGCTCACAAGGTCCCCCTGGTAAAAAGAGAAAGAAAAATCCCCCGAAAGGATCTTCTAAAAGGGAGTTTATATCTGTGAACTTAGAAAGTAAAAACAAATGCCTTGGAGTCAGTAAAGGCAGCGCTTGTTTGTCAGAAGTGTCTGCTACAACTGCGCGCTCATCGGCATTAGCTTTAAATCTTCAAAGTGAATCTAACGAACAGATCATCACATCTATGGTCACATCTAACAACGTTGAAATGAGAACTGAATCGGTTTCTGTTAGTCATACACAAGGTGATTTAGACAAGAATACAAATTATTCTAATAGTGCAGATAATGCCTCTGAAAAGAGGGCTTTGTCGCTTGATTATCCCAATGATGTAAATGAACGAATTCCAGACAAAAAGCCGAGGCATGAGCTCGAATGTGAGTCTAAATCTGATGCAATCGAAGAGTCGAGATGTTCGACCAGCAGTGATTGGGACAAGAGCGAGGATTTGCCTTTGATGGCTAACGTTGACGAAGTTCGTGTGAACCACTACATCTTAGACTTGACTGTCAAATTTCGTGAGCAAATCATGAAAGGTAGTATTGTACTATTTATTGAACCTACAACTGAAGAAGTTACAGGAAGGCAGTTTCAAATGTCGTTGGACAGCACCTTGGTGAACATTGAATCAGTGAGTGAGGTAGTTCTTCCTGACGACTTCAAATTGACATTTAATCGTCAAGAACAGAGCACAGCTTTTGCTGATAAAACATCCAGATTTCTTGGTGATATCCTGGGTCACAACACTCAGACCCCCTTGCCTTTCAAGGGACTGTCCTACTCCGTGTATGGGTGGTGTGTTCAGATTTGGAAACCTAAAGCGACTGGGAAGGCTTGGCCCCGTTGCATATGGATTAATTATCATACCAGCCCTGAAGGAAAGTCACTGACTTGGGCCACTGATCAAGATGGCAAGTAAGTCCACAAGCAAATGGCCAATTTACATGGCACAAATTTGTCACATGTGATGCGCTAACGATAAATCTACCCCGGTGTGGTATCTCGTAAATCAAACTTACGACGATCGCAAGTCAGTGGTGGGCTTGATTTACATGATGAAAGCTCCTGTTTTAGGCTCATCGTAAGAATATCACATGCGACAGAGTTATACCGTGCTAATAGATCCATTCTTCTGCCAGTTGTTAAAATAAATGATGGGTAATGTGGATCAGTATTTGGGCCTCTCTATTGGCACCTTTGGACGTCGTTTTCGTCGCGCGTTTTCCATCAGCATGTATTTTTTCCATTAGCGCGTTTTCCAGCAGAATAGTTTTTCAGTTTTCACGGCTTAACTTTGTCAGTTAATTTAATTTGCAGACGTCACGGTTCGATTTTTGTCAGAAACGTTGTTAAATCATTTGAAACTTTGTGACCTCGTCGTGTCTGGTTGATTTTTCTGATATAGCGGTCGTCGAATGTTCGATTTTGTCAAATAAATAGAGCCCCTAGTTTCATTTCTTGATATAGAGTTTCATAAATTTGAAAGCTCTTTGAGTACTGTAAATGGATTGTGAAGGAGTTCTCTATAAAAACCAAAGGCAACAACATGCGAATAGTTAGTTTCATTTCTTGACAGCCTGCGTGCTGGAAATAGAACACGTCTGCAGGCAGGCTAATTTCTTGATCGATACTATCGTTCTCTCGTGCCAGACCATGTGTGTACTCTCCTGGTGCCTACATCAACAACCGATCACTGATGCCGTGTCAAGAGCCTCCGCTTGCCATGTCAACGTGGCAGGCGTCCATTCACGTCCCTGAAGGTTGTGTTGTGTTGATGAGTGGTAACGAACTCGTCGGCATAACTGCTGCAAAAGACGGTCAAGGTAAGGGAATTGGTCACCCACGCTTTTCTGTATTTATGAATTGATCACTACATACGCTACTGCATTATGAATTGATCGGCACACACGCTTCTGTGATTATATTTCTCCAATAAATGATCGACGTTTCAGATTTTGTTAACGTATTAAAGGGGCTTTGTCACGAGGATATCGCTGTTTAGGTCAATTAGAGCGATTTTCGTATGACCTTGAAATAAAAACGCGCGAACAATATAGAAACAACAAACAAACAGAAATAGAGCGATCTGATTGGTTTATCGAACACATACAAACGCGGGTGGCTTTTTATTGGTTAAGCGAACACTCGGGTGAAAAAACTAGATGCCCGAGAACTTTCTAGAAACCAACCCATACTTTGCTTTGACGTCATACTACAACGCGATTGGCCAATCGAACAATGCCTACTCCATATTAGGGTTTTCTTTGGCGAGAAAACGAAGAGGCCATGTTTTGATCTTTTCATCCATTGGCTGATAACACAAATAACGAACACTTACAGAAACCATTTTCAAGGTCATACGAAAATCGCTCCAACCGACTATAGGAAACAGTTTCAATGTCTAAATGTAGTATTTAATAAATAACAAATCTGGATCACTATTTTTGTAATGTAATTTAAGCAAAGACACATTTTAGCTTTTCAAAAACAAAGCAAATAGTTTGACATCGTTCCTTTATCACAACGTGATTTGTTGCAAGACAGGATTGGACGTAAGTAGTAAAACGCGCAACATTTCTTTTCAGCTCGTTTTGCAGTAATGTTGCAAACAAATTGCAAGGTTTTTGCCACTTTTACGCTCATGTTCTTGACTTGCTTGTTTGTTTGTTTTTGGCTTCACAGTAACCTATTTGTATGAGATGGAAACTCCGCTGCCCTGTTCAACACTGGCTGTGGCAGCAGGATGGTGGGAATGTCGACCGTCCAGACTTGCTGTCACCAAAAATGGCGACAATCCTAGCTTACCGGTCACGTGTCGTATGTTTGCGCCTCCCAGCGTGATTGAGAGGGCAGCTGACGAGTTGCTAGGTTACGCACCCAAGTTTGTGGAAGCTGCTTGCGAACTGTTGGGGCCCTATCCGTTTAGACGCTTGGACATGTTAATTTTACCCAAGTGCTTTGCCTGCATGGGTTTAAAAAGGTAGTTTTAGTTACTAGTGCAAAACTGCTTATCATAATTCCCTAAGGTTATGTTCACAATATCCGGTATAGAATGAAGAGCAACGGCACAGAACTGGAACAAGTCGTTCACTCACATCGAAGATCGTTCCGGAGCGGTTGCAGTGGCGGATCCAGGGAAGGGGCCCCGGGGGGCCCGGCTCCCCCTTATCTTTTAGAGCAAACTGAGGTCCGAAGGGCCGACAAAAATTTTTGGAAGACCGGTCCCCCCCCCCTATCTGAAGAGCTGGATCCGCCACTGGGGTTGGGTGGGAGGGTTTGATGATCCAAATCCCAGTCTTCAATCCTGAATATTTACGTCCGTCTTAGCTGGTTGTAAATTGTAATAAGGAAAATACGTTTTTGAATAGTCCTAGAAAGAACGACGTTCAAAGTTATGGCAAGGGGTGTGAACAGAAGCCCTATCTGGTATGGTTTCCATGCCCGCTATCCGGTGCTTCTGAAATCCGGTGCCCGCTATCCGTGCCCGCTATCAGGTATAGTGACCCTCTATTAGGGATCGTCGAGTGCGCGTATAAGAATTAAAACCGCGGGAGATTTAGTGAGTCAAGAGTCATGCCAGGCAACGATAATGCTTTGTATTTTAGGGAGAGTTTAGTGAAGGCCTATTCCTCTTTTGTCTCATGTAATTACGTTGTCGTTCGCCATTTGTGAAATTACAGCCCCAACCTGACATTTCTGTCCCAGTCCCTTCTCTCCGAAGATGCTAGCATGAGGGTACGTTTGGCTCACGAGATCTCGCATGCCTGGTTTGGTCTGCTGGTTGGCGCGAAGGACTGGAGCGAAGAATGGCTCTCTGAGGGTTTCGCGACATTCATAGAGGAAAAGATCCAATCCAGAGCCGAGAGGGTGAGTGCGTGTTTTCTATATTGATATATTAATTGGGATCATTGGCAACGTTAGGCCAACTGGCTTGTTGCCTGCGAGCAAGCTCTTTATATGGAAGTCGCGAGAATCGAAGGTTACGTGCTGGCCAACAGCACTGTGGTAATCCTTGGTCAGTTACTGCGTGAGGTTCCGAGTTGTGACCTCCCATCCGTGTTTTGACTTCTGTCCTTTCCGTGTAGATTTAAGCAGCTTAAAATACCCGTAAAACGGCTCATTGATGGAGGGAAGGGGTGGGGGCAGAATAAACGCACCGTTGTCAGTCTAATGAGTACTGTTACGAACACAGGTGGCCTAAGCTCGAAAAAAATGACCATCGGCACTGTTGCGTAACGTTCAAAATATAAGGATTTGTGTGGGAGAAAAAAAAAACAATTGTTTCTGTACCCTACGAAAGGAGGAAAAACCGGCTTACCTTGCTTAAGTTGTGTGTTTCTTCTTTCCTGTGTGATTTCCGAGCCGATTTATGGCCATTTAGAGAGAGCAAACGGGTTCCAGTAACACCCATTAAATGGCCATAAATCGGCTCGGAAACCACACAGGAAAGAAGAAACACAACATAAGCAAGGTTAGCCGATTTTTATTGAAATCCTTTTTCGTTCGTAGGCTACAGAAACAATTTTTTTTCTCCCATATCCTTATATTTTGAACGTACGTAACAGTGCCGATTGTCATATTTCGAGCTTGGGCTACCTGTGCGTAAAATAAGGATCGTTACCTTCTTTACACCTTTTAGCAAGAGTGAAGCTAAAAGCACGCTCTTCTTGTGCCTCGCATCGCTCGCTGCATATTCGTGACCCTTCTCTTCTCGCGATTCTCAGAGGAAGAGCTTGTTGTTAAATGATGTGCTTGCTTACATGCTAACCGGTACAGAAAATGCGTTGGAAACCCCTGTAGGAATACTTTACTGCACATGTTGTCTTGAGCCCCGGGGGGAGCTACCCAAAGAAGTTTTATACGGGAGGACTCCGCCGAGAGATCCACTCCTTACCCTTTAGTATACCATTTCCTGAGAGAAAAGGTACCCCTTTCGTATACCTTCTATTGACAAATGGCACCCCTTTCACATACTTAGTTAAAAACTTTGCATCCCTTTTAACTGCTAAAATGCACTGACTTTTAAATTTGAATAAATCACAAACCAGAAAGTTTCTTCGACTTTTTCACAGTCGAGGAACGGTGCTACTGTTCAACAGGTTTTGATTTTAAAACTTGCCTTCGGGCCCGATAAGTTAGCGGGCCTTTCGAGAAACAGGCACCAGGGCCTAGAAAAGGTACCGAATTCCGAAAATAAGCCCCTCTATGTATAAGGCCCTCAGTGTTCCAGCCAGAACTTTCTGCGTGAGGGCCAAAGTGGCCCCTACAGCCCATTTTTTGGGGCCAGATATTTCAAGAAAGGGCCAATGTACCAGTATCTTTCTAATATGCAAAAGAGAAGAAACACTTGGAAAGTTAACGAAATGAAAATGGTAGTTTATTTGAAGCTGACATGGAGCATCCCTCTTTATACACAATAGAGGAAATCATCGGTAATAAAGCAAACAGTACGATCAGAATATATGCAATAAATCTAGTAAGTAATTTTTTTCATCTCATTTTCCACTTCACCGTCAAGATCTGCTTCCTTTCGCTTCTTCTGAACTGCTTCGCCTCCATCCACTTTTTCGTTAGTTACTGAGAAAAAACTTTCGATAGACCTCGAAAATGCGTTTGTCCGGTTCGTCCTTTTTCGAAACGCCATGATGGATACCCATCACCTCCTGCGATATTACAAAAGCCAAGTCGAGGCTCAGTGGTCTCCAGACCACTCACGGTAAATCAGGTAAACTCAAGAAGATTCATCGATTGATTTTCATGTTGTCTACAAAGGTACAGAGTCGTTGTTCTTTAGATTAAAAATTCTGTTTTATCGGAAAATTATTGTAGTTGAAGGAACAGAGACATTTTTAAGCCCAGGGAATTAAAGAAGGAAAGGGCCATAATGGCCTTTGAACGCTTTTGGTGGGGGCCGTCTCTCGATCTTTTGCGGGATTCACGCAATGGCGCACTCTGGCTGGAACACTGAGGTCCTCCAAATATAAGCCCCCTAAACTGGTAACGCAAAAAACCCTCCTTTAAATCGCCCCTCCAAATATAAGCCCTCCGGGGGCTTGTACATGGAAAATTGCCCTCAAATATACAAAGTAAAACAAAGCAAAAACGGTTAAGTTACTTCCAACTATAAAGCTAGCCCAATCGATTTAGAAACTCAAATTTCCCTCCGTAGATAAGCCACCTCAAAAATAAGCCCCCCAAAAAGGGCTTTTGAAAAATATAAGACCCGGGGCTTATTTTCGGAATTTTACGGTACCCCATTTGAAGAAGACACCCCGTATCGTCAATTATTACAATTACGCCCGTGGACTACCCTGCGAGCAGTGGTTTGTTAAGGCCGGACACTACGCTGCGAAGGGTAAGAAACCACTGCAAGCAACAATGATAAAAACTTTATAATAGTAAAAAAGATATCCTAAATAAAATACCACTGCAAACAACTGTTTGCTTCTTTGATCGAGCCGCCGTCCAGCGCCACGGACGAATAAATTAACTTTGGAAAGGTAAAACTTGTAATCAAGTTAAGGCTCTCGCGCATTTGCTTACGTTTGTATCTCTTGCCTAAACTCGAGCCTGCTGTAAAGCTAAGCTCTTTCAGTCTTTATCGCGATTATTGGTACCCGCTTTGTGAAATGTAGTCGAACCAAACTGGAGTTGAATTCCTATAGGGACGATATCCAGGCTCAGAAAGACAAATAAAATTTCGCCTTTGCTTGTTTAGGTTCTCCATAAAACACTAAACTGGACATTGTCAGTCCGTAGTCGTGCAAAAACGGCAAAGAAATGTACAAAAAGTGTGATGCACGTGCAAAGTTGTTGTATTGCTTTTTAAACCTACTGTTTTTTTTTTGGAAAGTCCCTTATTTTTCTTGCAAAACAGGGGAAAGTAATGTCATTTGACATTTTGACGTAGGCGTCACGTGGGCGCGTATGTTCGATGGAAAAGCAAACGGTTGCTCGCAATGGTTTCTCGCCCTTCGTAGCGTAGCGTCCGGTCTGGAGAAACCACGGCTCGTAGGGTACCCGTAGGCTTGTACGTACTGATGATGTTCCTCAATTTTTTGTTTTCTTGTCCAGTGGTCCAAGGACAAAGACAGATTTTATCGTGAAATGAGACAGACTCTCAGATACCGATGTCTTTTGTTTGAAATCAAGGAGTGTGACGACAACCTTAAATTTCTGCGGTAGGCTTAAAACGTTAACACCTTGAGCCCTAATATGGACATACAAATTCTCTAGACTGATCTGTATACATTCCCTTAGAGAATTAGTTTAGAAAATTTGTTTGAGATCAAAATATTTTTCCTTAAGTAATCATTTCATAAATTCTCCTTATCTTACCTCTTGAGTATGTATCGATATTGTTACGAGAAAATTGATGTTGGTCACTCTTGGGGCTTAAAGAGTTAATAGTAAAGGAACCAAGTGCTGTCAAGTATATAATCTAAGTACGTTCATAGTTACTGTATTTATTCGAATAAGCGCCTAACCTCGAATTAGCGCCCACCTCGAATAAGTGCCCATCCAAAAGGCAGAAAAGTTAATAAGCGCCCAGCCTCGAATAAGCACCCATCCCCACCCCATCCACTTGAGTGACAATGAGATTGAAATTGACATTGAATAAGTACTAAGAAGAGACTTCCCCGAGGAGGGAGTTTTCTTCAGAGTAATTTACAGAAATCTTGCTTTGTTACATCTTCGCATCTTGTTACTACCATTTGTTGTTTTGTTGCAAAATAAACATTCTACAAAAATTTAATAAGCGCCTAGGGCGGTTAATCGAGTAAATACGGAAATTAAAGTGGAATGGTTGGGAAAACCCTTTGTTATATCTTTTTGTTAGCTTTTTTGGACCTGACCGTGCACAACGTTCAATAGCATTCCTATCATTTTGAAGTTATTGACCAATGGAAACATTTCACTAATTTATTCAGGCATAATTTGTTAACAGAAAACAAAGGATTGTGCACCGTCAGGGAGCTTCCAACATAACCTACAGCACCATTGTTTTCAACTTTGATGTTTGCCGGGTTTCCTAACCAGCTCCTCTACTATGGTCCGTTTGAGTACTCGTGACGCTTCTAAACCCTCTCCTAATTACCACCTCTACCTTTATTACATGTGCAGTGTTTGAAGGCCGGGTTGCACCGGGCGACATTTCCCGGGGGAATATAATGCCCGGACAGGTTGCAGGGATATTGTTTTTGAATTTCTCTCGGACTCCACTACCTGTTGCGGACGGCCGAATTTGGTAAACAGAAAAGAGAATAAACAAAGTCGCATTAATTTCTCTGCGTTATTTTATATGGGTACCTTCCTTCACTATGAGGTAAAAGACTTTACAGACTGAATTTGTTATGTTTATTTATCATTATTGCAGGCCCAAAGTGGTTAAGCCACCTACAGGTGAGGACAGTGTTTATCTGAATTGTTATGTGATAAAAATTAAGAACGTTAGCTTTTTTTGCGCTTCGCTGTGAATAAGTCACAAAGCACAGTTACCCACTATGTGGCCTTTGTTCAGCCGTCCTATGCCGTCCCTTCACTCAAACAAAATTGGCAGGAGAGACTTTCTCCCCGATTTTGTTTGAGGGAAAGGGGCGCAGGACACAGACTAGTCACAATGAAACAGATGTATAAGAGCGTGTGCGACTCATCCAACGCCCTCTCCTTCCAGCTTGCTAGCTACTACTATTAATCCTGAGACATATTGTTTTTCATTTTCAACGTCTGGAGAAATTCAAGACCGACATTTGTGCTCTGACTGGACCTCTGGGCCTCCGGATTATAATTGCAGCGCTCTAACCACTCTGCCCGCCTTGCTACCTTCTCATTCACTGTAGGGTACGACACATTATTTTCACTAGAGCGATTTTCGTATGACCTTGAAATGAAAACGCGCGAACAAAACAGAAACAACAAACGAACGGAAATAGAGCGATTTGATTGGTTAATCGAACGGACACAGCCGAGAACTTTCTAGAAATTAACCGATACTTCGCTTTGACGTCATACTGCAACACGATTGGCCAAAAGGAACAATGCCTTCTCCATATTAGGGTTTTCTTTGGCGGGAAAACAAAGAGAACATGTTTTGATCTTTTCATCCATTGGCTGATAAAACTAATAACGAACACTTACCGAAACCATTTTTCAACGCCATACGAAAATCGCTCTATCCACTTTTCTGTAATCCTTTACAGCTCTTACTACCGCTGAAGCAATCGAGAAGAGCGCAGGTCAGTCGGATGCTGTTAGGCCTCACACTGTCGTGCAGTTCGGACAAATCTGCTCCAGAAAATGGACACAAGTTCACTACCTAAAGGTAGGTGTCACTTATTGTAATTTTTATTATCCTCATTTGTAAACATTTTAGGGGTATTAGGCGCTCTTTTGTTTCTGTACCTGGATCCACCACTGGTCGAAAAATTTGATCATTCGGGATGCACTTTATTGACAAGAATTTCAAGCAAACATTTTGATGTTTTTTGAGAATACACGAAGAAGTTAAAGTTAAATCTCGTCCTCGCAGTCGTCTTCGTCCTCGTCTTTGTCCTCGAATCTACTGAAACTGAGGTCTCTAATGTGCGTCCAGTGGTAACCGTTTCTGCGGAGTGTGTCGTTTTTCTTCTTTGGATGTCGTTTATTTTCAGTTACGATGTCCCTCATTTTCTTTGTTGTTACACACGAGCCGCGACGCTAGGAAAATGACTTCATGATTTCGTTTTATTCCAACTATTCTGCTCCTTGAAGCGGAGTGTCAAGAATATATCCCACTTCTCCCGGAACTGGAATAGCAGGTCAAACGAGCAGATATTTCGAATTGTTCTATGTCTTCCTATTCTAGAATAAGGTCAATTGAGCGTACTCTGTCGTAAAGAAATCAACTCATGCTGCTTGTTTTGTGGATCCCTTTGTTAACCCTAATTACCACCACCGTAAAAAGAGTTTCAAAAGGTGACGTCTCCAGTGTCAGTCCTTCGCCGTTATTGGCTCTGACGAAATACAAAAGACCGAAAAGACACTGAACAATACCACACAACGCAAACAAAATAACCAACTAACAGAAACACCAATTTTTTAACCCTTTCACTGCCAAGTTTAGCCAAAAGTAAGCTTCGACCAACTTTCCAAATTTTATTTTGTGAAATTTTGAAAAACAAGTAGCACCATGTGTAAGTACAGGCAGAGAGCTTTCATTTGAAAGGTTACATCATAGGATTTTGTCCGCAGACTCAAAAGTTAGAGTCACATTACAAAACTCGATCAAGCACTCTGGCAGTGAAAGGGTTAACTTAAAAAATATTAGAAAGACGATAGATTTTAAGCTCGGTGAAGAAAAGAGAAATGATGTGATCAACATGTCACGAGCACGGGACAGAGAAAAAATTCTGAGTCCCCGACAGAAATAGAACCTATGACCTTCTGTATACCGGTCTTATGCTCTCACTACTGAGCTACGAAGGACTCGTGACGAGCTGGACTATATACAAGGTTTCTCTGTCTTGTCCTCGTGGCATGTTGATCACATCATTTCTCACTTTTCACCCAGCTTTAAATTTACCATCTTTATTTATCACACACATGACGATTGTATTTTACCCAGCTTGCCACGAGTCCTCCCTAGCTCAGTGGTTAGAGCATCTGACCCGTGTCAAAAAGGTCATAAATTCAATTCCTGTCGGGCACTCAGATTTTTTCTCGTTCTCGTGCTCGTGCATGCATGTTGATCACATCATCGTCATTTCTCACCAACTTTTTAGTAGGTGGAGTCCTGTCTTGTCACCATTCAAATGAAACCTCTTCAGCAGTACTTTCACACGGTACTATTTACCTAGTATGTAGCCCTAACCTTTGAAACTGTGGATGAAATCTTATAGTGTTACCATTCAAATTTAACCTCTTCAGCAGTTCTTTCACATAGCACTATTATTTAGTATGTAGTCCTAACTTTTGAAACTTGGGATGAAATCCTATGTTGCTACCATTCAATGAAACCTCTCTGGTAGAACTATTGTATGGTGCTATTTATTTCTTAGGATTTCCCAAAAGACACATTTAATTTTTTTTAGTGGTTTTCCATTTTGGTCACTGTAAGCTTTAATTTAACCTTATCTATGCTCAGAAGTAGAGAAAAGCTGTTGCGGCCTTCGTTTTCTTGTCAGTTAACGCTTGTATTAGGAGACGCGCTAGGAGAAGAACAGTCAATTCCAGTCGTGAAACGCAAATTTTGTGCATTCGCTTTTTGCGGCTAACAATTAAGATGTTTCGATACAGTTTCTCGGAGACTATACTGATTTGAGTCATTTAGAACTTTTTTATTGAACAATTAATCTCGGCTATTGAAAATATAAGGTTTGATATATATTTATGTTTTATTTGAATTCAAACATACAGAATTTTTTACTTCTCACAGAGGGTTTTTGCTAAACACCACACTTTAAGTTCCTGGTGTCGGATTTTCAGGAGCAGGTGAAGATCGCGCGAAATTCGCATTAAAGCGATTTCAAAGTTTTTTTGTTTATTGTTGTCATAGTGATATCGATTTTACTAGAAACTGCATTTTGACAATTTTCAATTCATAGTCAATCACTGGTGAAAATCTTGTGGCGATCGGACCAGGATAAAATCAATTTTAAGGGGGTTGAAAAACATCGGTATAGTCTCCAAGAAACTCTATCGAAACACATTAACAAGTATCTAAGCGCTGAGTAGGCGTGTTGACAATGATGCCAAGGTTACTTGTCAACGACCAGTTAAGGCGCAACTCGTCGACTGATGCAAAACTGAAAATGAGACGAGTGAAAAATCCCTATCCGGCTTAGAGAATTGTCCAAAGTCTTTCCGACTCATTTCTTTTAACCAAGAGGACGTGATGGAGAAACTGCCTTTCTATAATTGGGGTAAAAACCCCTTTAGACTCGCTATTTTTACCCCCGTCAAGGTTTGAGCAAAGCATTTCAGAAAGGCATTTGATAGCCATGGCTTCTTTTGATATATTCTAAATTGATTCTGCTCTGCACGCGTAACAAATCAAGAGCCTCACTTGTTATTAGTGGAGCCAATTTCCTATGCCCTTTATCTTCGTGTGAATGTATTTAGCACGAAAGTGCCAATTGAGGACACCATTTTTACGTCTCTTTCTAGAGACGAGACGGCCATTTTACGTGGTGAAATGAGCCACGCGAAGGTCTAGCTTTTTGCAGGGCAAAGGCAGTAGTTTCATTTCTCAATTATTTTAAGACCTTGAGTATTGTTCCGGCCCCCCAAATCAAACCCACGACCTCCCGCTCTGTAGTCGAACTCTCTATCGACTGAGCTAATCCTGTTGCGAAGCTTAAAGAACAAACTTTTAAAGAAATCTTGGGAGTCATGCTCTAAAGTTTTCAAGTTTTATTAAGTACCCATTCCGCTAATGTTTAAGGGACGTTTCGTTTTTTTTTTGCACACTCCATGCTCCTCCTTGGTACTAGACTTCACCGGGTCGAGCTGTGAAGAGCAAATATAAAGAAATCGTTAATGTGTACGTAACGTCTTTGCTGAGCTACTCTAGCAATAGTCACATGTTACGTGAAGGGTAAAGTTATATGCACTTCTCGAAGAGCAATAAACATCACGATGGCAAAGAGACCTAGGTTTTATCTCGCGCGCGTATTCATAGACTACGGTTTGAAGAAGCCATTCCTCCCAGTCCTTACCACTGCGAAACGCTGCCTCCTGCTTGAAAGGCGCATGGCAGAGAAAAGACCCTAACACACGCTTAAATATTACTTGCGCAGTCTAATTTGTCTCTTGTGTCTACCCCTGAATTTGTTGTACGCAATAGAAAAGCGTTGAAAAATCCTTTACTTCTTTAAAATTTGCAAGCAATGGCGTGGCGCAACTTTCAATATTCAGTCAATCAACTTTAGTATTCAAATTTAACCGCTGTCCTAAAATATTCCCGGTCACTCGCTTGATAGCCGCTGGAAAAATGTTGCGTGCACCTGATGTTGCCCCAAATGTTGGAAGTTGAAGTTTTGTCGAGTCAAACCACGGCTTGGCCGATTATGTATTGTCCTTGTAAGGCATACACGAAATTCTTCCAAATGTTCACCGAGACAAGTGGCTTCTTTACCTCTTATTTGGCTACGAGCTTGATATGCCCAAACTGCAGGCAATTTTGTTCAGCAAAAAATAAATAAATAAAAAAATTAATAAAATAGTGATAATAAAAACACGGTATTTGTACTTGCCATCCCGCCGCGGAGGACTATGCAGTAAGTGCCTCTTCAAATGCCTGCTCGTCTTCAGCAAGTGCTGCGGCTGTTTGATTCGAAGATGCTGTAGTTGGTGCAGCAGTTGTCCCATTAGAAGACACTTCAGTTGGTTCAACAGTCGTTTCATTAGAAGGTGCTGTAGGTGGTGCTTTCGTGGGTAGTTTGCCTTCAAAACACCAGGGAACGTTAGGAACCGTACTTTCAACCCAGCAGCAGTCGTTCTCGACTTCACATTCGTAGCGTTGAATTCCAAAATAGCCACAGTCCTCTCGCTCTTCAGGCTTGATTCCGTAGCACTTGTTGTCTGCGAGAAAAAGCAAAAAAACGAGATTCGCCAACGCAAGAAATTAGATGCTTTTGCATATTTTATGATTGCAAAATGTAAGAATTGCCATAGGTAATTTTTTTAACGTAGCCGGCTGAAGTGTTCTTCAGTTTTTTCTCTTTTTATCGACTAAGATTAGTCGGCGGAAGTTGTTAAGTATTGGATCTCCTGTGATATTTTACCCCGCGTTTCGATTATAATTTGTCATAAATAAATTGCGCACAACGAGATCTCAGTTCCACTTCCCTTGTTTCCTCTTCAAAAACACTTCCCTTGTGGACAGTTAACTTCACACCTTCTCCAGCAGATGAATAACATCAGTACACTCCCTTACAAAACTTGCTGAAAATGCACAATCTCCACAACATCGCAACATAAGCTTGAGGAAAACAATAACACACAATACTAAAACAAGTAAAAAAAACCTACTCTTCCAAACAAAACTAAAAGAAGAACAATGATGATGATGCTTATCAGAACGGTTACGAAACCAAGGTAACTGCGTTTTGCTTCTCCTTGTTGACTCCGAATCGCTTCGTCTACACGCAACGCAAACGACTGTACCTTACCCTCGATCTTCCTGTTTCGAATCACTCTTGCTGCAATAGTCTCCAGTAATCGAAATCTCTTCGCTCTCAAACTTTATCCACATTTCTGACCGCAAAATGTTTTCCATGAAGGCATATAACTTTTGTAATCTTGACTTTCTTAAAGCTGATTTCGAGATATTTCGAACAACTTCCGGGGTCACTTCGGAAGCAAACTGCAAGTTTACGACCTTCTTCAGCGTCCCAAATCCTTTAATACTTTGCGCTCCGCCTCAAATATTTATTGAAGCCGAAAGAACTAGAAGTGATCTCGCGATATCTCCAACTCATTACAGCGTCACTATGTCAAATACCCACGAAACAAGCCGACAAGTAACAAACTTGCCTGCCGAATCTTTTCTCGTGCATCGTGCATAACTTATGGCTATTTTTCACATCTCATATTACCTTGCGTCGCAGTGGCGCAATCGGCTAATCCCTCAATTTAGAGTGTCATCCGATATGACGGGTCACACGTAAACCGGTTTAAACCCTAAGCAAGCCAAAATCATAATTCTTTCTTCCACGAATAAATTAAATAATAAATCAGAGAACTCGAAGTGATCTCGAGATATCCCGAAGTAATTCGGCCCTCACTTCGTCATATAGCCGATCCAGACCGAAGACCTTCGGACTTTGCGTGCCCAATCTTGTCCCAAAAAAAGCAACTTTGGGACATTCCTGGGCGTCGCGAATGCTTTACTTCGCGCTCCGCCGAAGTATCGAGAAGTAAAATACCTCACTTCTACTTGACGTCGTGCGTTGCTCAAAAACGTCTTTGCTTAAGCTCCCTAGTATGGCCGCCGTGACGTCATGTGAAAACGCCGTATAAGCGGAAGGTCGAAATCGAACCCTCTTTACCAAGCGCACGTCTATTAGGCCTGGGTTCGAAACTGTATCCTAGCAACATGCACCATTTCTTTAAATTTAGATTCTGTTGGCAGGGTGGCGAAAAGTGTTCTTAAGCTTAATGATACCCACCACTTAAGCTTTTTTCACATCGATATTGTACTTTTTTTCAGCTCCCAAGAATTGCCCTTTCGAAGCTCATTCCCAAAATGGCCACAATAAGATTTCTATCGTGAAGATGCCTCCAACACAAATTTTGTCTTCGCAACTTCCCGAAACTAGACAGCTTTAGATTCTAAGACGAGGACGACTACGAGAACGAGATTTCCTCAATACTACGGAGTGCGCGCGCGAACCAACGTCGTTTTGGCGGGAAAATGTGTTACCCATCGTTATTCTACAACGAGTTTTAGTGAGAATGAGTCGTAGTGGCGAAAACAAGTCATCAAATGTTAGGAATTTTATCATTTAGTGCCGATCGGAAGAGGGCTTAACCTCCTTCAACGGAAATAAGCGAGCTAGCTTTGGTGGTGAAAAAAAAAAAAGTACAATGAAGCTTTCCGGGGTGCTTATTTTTAAAGAACAGGGAAGAAAACTTAGAACTAAATTTTGACCTCGTAGTCGTCCTCGTCCTCGAATCTAAAGCTCTCTATTATTGTACCTAAGTCCCCCTCGACCACCCTGCCCCTCTCCCTTGCTATCACCACGAGTATTCCTTCTTCTACATTCTTTATTGTTGCTGTTAATTGGTTTAGCACTAACCTGTGGGATAGAAGCACCATAATGCGTACGCGTAATCCTCGTCCCAGCAACAATTTCTACCCTCACATGTCTCCTCATCAATGCCATACCACCCGCAGTCAGTACGGTCATCGGGATCAACAGAACATGTATCTAATTTTTCAAAGGCGAAATTGTGTTGTTGTTATAAGTGTCAAACGTTAGACTTCGAAACTGGAAAAATTGAAAAGAAGGCGAATACTGTTATAAAAAGCGAGTGTCTTACCTGCGAAAGTGTATCCTGTGAATGTAGAGCAGAACTTTTGTTAGTCTCTTTTTAAAAAGTCATAAACAGGTTTTGTTCCTTGCCTCTTAGTACTTACTTTTGGCAGGTTTTAATATTCGGTAAATTTTGCATCTGACTGAAAATCTCAATAACAGACACCCGCGCGTCTTTCAAAATTAGCTCCTGCCACAATCCAAAATGTTTTTGCGAAGCACAGTATGTTGCATCCAAACACTGCCAGCTCTTGAGAAAGAGTCCAGAAACGTCAAAGTAGGTAGGAAAATTCAGCACTGACTTAGTACACGGTTTCAGAATCGAGTGGAATGTCATTAAGGTGTTTCGATACAGTTTTTCAGAGACCATACCGATGTTTTTCAATCGCCTTAAGAGTGATTTTGTTCTTGCCCGATCGCTACAAACTTTTGACCAGTGATTGACTATGAATTGAGGTTTGTCAAAATGCAGTTTTTAGTAAAATCGATATCACTATGACAACAATAAACAAAAAACTTCAAATCGATAAAATCCGAATTTTGCGCGATCTAGATCTGCTACAGAAAAACTGATTCCAGGAGCTTATAGTGTGGTGTTTAGCAAATAACCTCCGTGAGAAGTAAAAAATTCTGTATGTTTGAATTCAAATAAAACGCAAATATATTTCAGACCTTACCATTTCAATAGCCGTGATAACCTGTTTAATGAAAAAAGTTTTAAATAATTCAAATTAATATTAAGTAGCGCCAGAAGGCTGCTTAATATCATATTTCAGTGTTGGGGAACTTTGGTGTATTTTCTTTCTTCCGATCCTGAAAACTAGGATGTTTTCTCACCACCTGTCTAAGTGCACTTTTACTCTAAATTTTGACTTTTAGCGGTTTTCCGAATACCTCTAAAACGGCTCGACAGAATTCCTTTTAAACCTCGTCACATAATCTTCATGATGTATATCGTAATGTCTCAAACTTTTATCAAGATTGATTTACTGTAACACCTTGAAAATTCAAGACGAACCTAGCCTACGAACCGGCCAAAAATAAGCCTTACAACATTCACTGTTTTGACGTTATGCTAATATTTCCAAATTAATGCCCACCATACATATCTCCATGGCCAGTACATTTTAATGTGAATATTGTCAATGTTTTTCATTCAAAATATTCAATAAAATTCATACTAAAGTGTACTAGCCATGGAAGTATATATGATGGGCATCAATTTTGAAAAATTGGCATAACGTCAAAACAGTGAATTTTTGGCCGGTTAGTAGGCTAGATTTCTCTTGAAATTTCAAGGCGTTACAGGGAATCAATCTTAATGAAAGTTTCAGACATTGTTATATACGTCATAAAGATTAGTTGACGAAGATTAAGAAGCATTCTGTAGAGCCGTTTTAGAGATATACAGAAAAGCGCTAAAAGTCACAATTTAGAATAAAGTTGTACTTGGACAGGTGGTGAGAAAACGGGTTAGTTTCCAGGATCGGAAGATAGAAAATACACCATAATTTCTGAAGCTACCCAAGATTAATGTGAGGTACTTAGAACTTTTTTATTAAACATTTTATCACGGCTACTGAAAATATAAGGTTTTAAATATATTTTTGTTTTATTTGAATTCAACCATACAGATTTTTTTGCTTCTCACGGAGGTTATTTGCTAAACACCACACTTTACGTTCCTGGAGTCGGATTTTTATTGGCAGGTCTAGATCGCGCAAAATTCGAAAATTCAAAATTTTATTGATTTCAAAGTTTTTTGTTTATTGTTGTCATAGTGATATCGATTTTACTAACAACTGCATTTTGAAAAACTTTAAGTCATAGTCAATCACTGGTGAAAATTTTAAAGCGATCGGATAAGAGCAAAATCACTCTTAACGCGATTGAAAAACATCGGTATGGCCTCCGAAAAACTGTATAGAAACACCTTAAATACTGCAGAATGAACAAAAAAGCCAAAAAGGTGCACGAATGGGCCAAACGGACGAAGATTACAGCGGATTGCTTCCAGAATAAATTGACAATAGCGCCCCCTTTTTATAAAGCTTTGTGATGTGAGATCAAGGTATATGATAGTGTGACATGCAATGCTCAAGAAACTTCTTTTCGGTTATGTGGCGGTGATTTGATCTGTGAAAGATGTTCTTATCACTAATTCATCTTTAAAGCTTGTACTAAATAACGATAGTATGTAGATATATGAGCAGGCCTAAAAGCGGAGCTGTACAGTCTCCCAAATTATAGCTCGCAATAAATTTTAGCCCATTACCGCCCAGCCAATTTTCAACTAAACTTATGCTAAAAATTCATATCCCGTGGGACTCAAGACACCGTTTTTTTGAATGACACTAAATCTAGATAACCACTGAAGACAGTAATGGTTTTAGCTATATTTCTTAACGCCATACATTTATTCTTTGTGAATAAATAATTATTATTCAATGTCAAAAGATGAACAGTAAAAATAGTGGTAAAATAGTTATCCACGGTGAATAAATACGTGGTATTTTTTCTCTTTTATTTCTAATGGCCAAACAGTTGATAAAAATGAGTTTTTAAAGCACGTTTAAGTTGTCTGCAAAGTGCCTTTCACACACGACTCGATGTTAAATGCACTTCTATTAAACAAAAGTAGAGAGCGGAACAATTAGTCACACCCAAATGAATAAGGTGACAAAATAAGCCCAAGTGTCTAGATATAGATTCAGAAGGCCAGTTGTTACTTTTCGAAGTTTCACAAGGCCTTTTTTTAAACCTTTTTTTTATTTTCTTTAGGTAATTAGAACCCCCTCCCCCAAACATCGGTTGTGCTACGCCTGTAATCTTAGTTCACGGAGCACCGAACGGCAGAATTCCATGCAAGTTAAACTACATTAGATATTTCAGCATCACCAGAAGAAATCAAGTACCGGTATTTTCTTTTAAACCGCTTCCACTCCCAGAAGAGGCTAGTCAAGAATTTGACCAATTTACCAAATTCCATTTTGGGTAATGATCAATAGCAAATAGCACCATGTTAAATTACTGCGGCAGAGAATTGATTTGATAACACCATGACTTTTTCTTTGCAGACTCTGGAGTATAAGGGTCGACAAAAGATGTTAATACAGGAAAAATCTATCTGTTTTCGTGAAGAGTGGGAGAGGTTGAAGTGAAAAAAGTACATCACTTTACGACATCCATTGAGCAACCCTTTCGTTAGCCCTTTCACGCTCAATTTGTCTTTTTTCCGCCAAGTTTTTACTACAGTTGATCTCCATCAAGCGGCCACCATAGGGGTAACGGCTAGTGGCTGCTTATTGGAGGTATGCCGCTGAATAAAGGCTCGTCAGAAGTTAACATAACCTTTAGCAGAAACTTCGATTTATTCTGAAACCAACACCTTTAGAGTTTTCCGGCAACTTTCACCCAAGAGACAGCTCTAATACTGAACAAATCTACTAGACTATCGTAACAAACAAGCACATTCTTTTCACAATACCCTGTTGATGTTCTTCCTACTTTGCACGAATCATACTACACAGTATAACTGTGCCGTAAACTTTATAATCGGACTAAGGCGGCAATGTCTGTAACTTAAACGTTACATTAGGGGTCCACAATTAGTCATCTGCTCCCTCTGACTGTATGTTTCTTCCGCCTACTGTATTCAAATGAAATCTCTTTGCCAAAACTTTTGCATGCTGCTATGCAATTCTCACGATTGTACAAATAGCAATTTGGAACTTATTTGCCAATTTTCGCTTTGCCTTCTTTACGATCTGAAAGGGTTAACCTTACCTATGCCCAAAAGTAGAAGCAGAACGGTTGTGACCTTCATTTTCCTGTCAGATAAAGCTTGGATCAGACACAGACACGTTATGGGATGGAAGCCTTCGTACAAACATTTATAATTAATTGGTTGGCGGTTGCATAAAAATTGATAACTATGGGTACCAAAGTGTGTAAGTGGCATCCATGTGATTGAAATTATCGAAATTTATGAAAAAAAAGAAAACAAGAACATAAATTCAAAGGGATATGAACGTTAGCGTCAAGTAAATAAGAAAACTCCTAGTTTTCTTTCGCATAAATTCAACAGTGGAATTAAGCTTTTAAGGTCATTTTGTAGGGATATTATGAAGTAATTTTCTTATTTCCCTATTTAATACATTTTGTGGTTGTTTAATCAGACTTAAGTAATTTTATGAAAGCATTTCTTATTTCTTTTCACAAAGTTCACCAACTTTCAAAGACTGGATCTGTCGATTTGTCAAATGCCTTTCTGAAATGTCATACGGTTTCCCGCCATTGCCCCTTAAGGCCACGTCGTCTGGGCAGAATGCCACTTTACATTTGAGTGTAATATTCACGCATACGCCTGCGGTATCCTTAATAACTTCGAAATGAAGAATAAAGGTTTTCGCAGCTTTCTTTTTCTCCATAGTTTATTTGTGAGTAAAAAAATGGGGTTCGAAAAAGAAGAAAGGGGTTCATCATATTTCCTGAGGAACTTGGAGCTAAACAGTTGCTATGCTTTGTCACACTTAATTATGCGTGAATAATGACTAAGTTTTTTAATGATTTTTAAAGCCATCATGATGGAATTTTGTGACAAGCCAAAGGAATGCCTGCGTTGGGGGCAGTATCCTTGTGGTTTTTTTTTTCATTTTATATTTAGCAAGATTCGCTCGGTTAGGATCAAGTACTGAATGAGCCTTTGTACAAACATTTGTAATAGATTTTTTAGCAGTTGCATAATAATTTGAAAACTATGGGTAAGAAAGTTTGTGATGTGGCATCCATGTGATAAAAATTATGGAAATTTATGAAAGAGAGTATACAAGAACACAAATTTAAAGGGATGTGAACGTTAGGGTGAAATAAACAAAAAACTCCCAGTTTTCTTTAGCCTGGGTACTGACGCACCCCTCCCGTCAAAAAAATCGGGGAGAGAGACGTCTGTGAATCGCCTAAATTACTCTGGACTCTTGTACAGTCGATGTACAGCACGTACGCAGTTATCACTGAGTTAGCTAGGCTCTAACTAGAATATGTAGCTAAAATGTCATTTATAACGAGTGTAATATGCTTTGGAGGATTCTAAAACGTACATTTTCTTCCGTCTTTTTTAGCTCATAAAGTCGGTCTGTGCCCTGTGCATCTATTTCCTGTGTTTTTTGGTTTTAACAGAATTTTAATCTCGGAAGCACTGTTTACATTTCCAATCTAGCGTTTTATGCAGGAGTTGATCCTTTCGATGATTTCGAGTAGGTTTCACATTAAAGGATCGTTCACTTCTCTTCAGCAAGAAATCGTAGCTCTACTTTGTCTAATTTTACGTCTGTACACAGGCTAGCCGAAAAACTCCCTCGCTGAAATTCAGATATAACATCTCTGATCAAGCGTAGCACATCCTAACCAAGCAGATCTTGCTAAATATAAAATGTAAATGTTTTCTGATGTTAGTTACAATCGAATAGGGGTATACGATAGAGACAAGGACCAAGGATGAATAGTTCTTTTCCTCAGAGTTAATCGATGGTTTAGTGCTGATATTTTTCGATCGATCGTATAAACACTTGACAACACCGCGTTTAACTGACTGAGGGTGGTGTGAGTCATAAGACAGGTACTGATCAGTGTGCGTAGGTTTTCTGTAAACACTTGCAGTGAGGCGTCCTTCTGAATCTCTTATGACCAATGTGTCAAGAAAGGAAATTGTGTGTTGAGTGTTGAGATGCTCTAGAAAATCTTCGACATCATTCCGTTTTAAGATGGTAAACGTATTGTCAACAGAACGTTTCCGAAATTAAATACATCGAAGGTTTATCTGAACCAGTTCGTCGTTGCCTGCAACGTCGTGGCGTACAATCTGTTTTCAAGTCCGACACAACACTAAAATCGCACTGAGTACGACCTAAGGATTCTGTTGATCCACGAAAACAAGATACAAAAGTGGATACGATTCCTTGTGAATGCGGCAAAGTATACATTGGCGAAACGGGAAGATGCATACATGAACGGATTAAGAGAACGAAAGGGATATACAGCTTTCACGAACTCAAACTTCGGCCGTTTCTGAACACGCCAATAAGACCGGGAATTATCTGCTCTGGGACGAAGTTAAGTTTATTGACCGAGATCCGCACTGGTACTCTCGTAGAGTTAAAGAGGCTATTCTCCTAAGACTTCACCCTAACAATATCAACGTGGACAGTAGAATTGAGATTGTACAAATAGTCCGACTCAGTAAATCGACACTATCCTCTGATGAAGACCTGCAGTGTGATATCAAAGTGACAATCGTGAGACAAACGATAAACTAAACCCTTTGTACACATTATCCACGATGATTAATATCTTTCATGATATTAATATATTTTTTTATATGTATGATAATTACCTTTTCTGACCTCGTAAGCATGTCCAAAATACAAAAGAATTATTTCTTTCAAAAGAGACCAGAAAGGCTCATTTATATACCTATGAAAGAATGAATAAATGGACCGCCATTATGAAAGAGGTTTGTCGAAACTTTAAGCGGGCTTTTCGACACGGATGCTAGGTCAAGTGTCTACGACCAATCGTAATGCAACTCATCGACGAATGCGAAAATGGAAATGTAACGAGTGAAAACTACACCCCAGAGACCTCCTGGTGTCGTAGGGAGACTGGGGAGAAGGAGAAAAGAATGTTCGCGGGGGGACGCTTCCCATCGACCCCCCCGCGCTTACTATGCTATTTCGGCCATTGGGTACCCAGTGGGAGCCTCTGCGGAGGAGAGAGAGCCCAAAGTCTCGTAAGATTGATCATTTTTGTACTCAAGAGGACCTGATGATGATACTTACTTCATAAAATTGGCTTTAAATCCTTTTCGACTCGTCCGTTACAGAGTATTAGGATGATTTAGCAACAGAACGGGAACGTCAGTTGACGTCGGCACGTGCAAATCAAACAACTGGCTTGACCAATGGCGGAGCGACAAACTGGGCACCGGAGGTCGAGTTTAGTCCTTTTAACGCGCCGTCGTCAAATGACGTTCCCGTTCTGTTGCTAAATCAGCCTATTGACTGAGCTGAACGTCAGAGTTTAGCTTTACAACCGCTGTCGAGTGTTATGCAACTTTCCATTGTTATGGGTGCCATAAATCGTCATATCCAACGTATTCTGTCGATTAAAGTTTCTTCTTTCCATGAAGGTGGATTCAAAACCCTTTTTTTAAAATGGGTTTTGAATGAAACTCGTAAAACAAGTTTCATATATGAGCTATGTACGGAATAAAATCCTAGTAGAAGGACGTACTAATATAATAAATCGTTTGTCAATTTTTTCTTAGGGTTATTTTCTCCTTCATCACTTAGCCATGATGGTCGGACGTGACGAGTTTGATACCTTTCTATTTAGTTATGTCCAGCATTACAGTGGGCAACTTGTCTCCTCTGAGGTAAGAACCGCCGTAAGATTTAGCTTAGTTGAGTTGTATTAAACGGTGCCAACAGAAATGTATGTAACAACTAGTTTCCACTTCGTCATTTTCCTGCAAGTTCCGGTAACCCTTTCAGCCCATGGGTGAATGATGGAGATCTAAAAGGTGATTCTACCGTTTGAGTTTGCAGACGAAATCGTTTGATGTTTCAACTGAATGAAACGAATTCTCTTCAGTAGTATTTTCACTTGATACTTTTTTAGCATGGTGAGAATTGAACTTTCTCAAACTCATTAATAATTTATAAAGAAAATACAAGCTAAATTAATGTTTAATGAGTATTTGGAAATCAGATGAGAAACTGCTCATTTTTGCATCCTTAATTTCTCCTTCTAAAATCATTTTGTTTGAGAAGTAATGTCAAGCATTCGACACAGTGTTTCACCACCAGATGAAACACCTCGAAGTTCGTCAAAAATACTCCGCTTCGCGTCGTATTTTCAACTCCCTTCTTGGTGTTTCATCTGGTGATGAAACACCGCGTCTTATGCTTGATGTATTACATGAAAATACAATGCATCCTATTTGACGCTAGTGATGGACAAAAATTTTTGGTGTTTAAATAGCCTTTAATATGTTTTTCAATAGACCTTATTCACGATAATCACCATCTTTACAAGTGCTCAAGGATTGATGTTACGTGGTTTCTCATAGATCGCGTTTCGTGGAGTCTTACAATAATTACGGCTTGCTTTGAGAATATCAACCGTCGTTGATGCATCCTAAAAAGGTCACAATGATCACCTCCACCCGCATTGCCATTGTCATCTTAACATTAAAAATTCTACACTTTATTTTTTCCAGAATGTATTCTCTCGACGGCGATTTCTTGCATTTGGGGATTTTATAAGTTGTTTTCCCCCGTGAGGAACCACGTTACATTGCATTTCCACCACTTGTAAAATCCTAAGCATCCTACTGATGCACAGTTACGACCTATAGATAATTCCAGCGACAAAAATTTGCTCTGTCTCCTTTGAATTAATCCATCCATTGTACTAAGGTTCACTCGTTGTGTCTCTTCTTCTCGGCAGGAATTCTTTGAATACTTTGTACAAAGTTTTCCCGACATTTCAAGGTGAGTGGAAAATTCCAATGACAAGGCTTAACTGGTGCCCTCCTAGAGGAACCGTAATTTGAAAGTCGTTGGTTGATTTACCTCCAAATATTGGCTAAAATAATATTCTACAATATGAAGCTACTTAAGCTAGGCATTCATCAGTTTCACATTGCCCATAATACACATTACTAACCTCTCTCCCTAAGATTTTGCTGAACCGTTGTAACTAATTTCTCCTGGGTAATAAAGTCGTCCTGACAGAAATTGAAGATAATGCTTATGCAAAAGTTTAGGGAGTAAACTATGTGTATTGTTGGCAATATGAAACTATGAATTTGAATTTTTTATTGAAGGTTGTATCATCGGTAGGCAAACTTTTTCTTCTATAGGAGCTATCGAACACAAACGAATCTCTTACAGACATGTTTTCAAATGAGCTCCGACGTTAAAGAATGTTTAAGTTAACTAAGATTAAGCACATTTTCTCTCAAATATCTTCACAAACTTCCTACTTTGAACGCCACACCTCACGTAATTGCTGTCCGAATTTGATGACAAAAGGTTTCACGTCTGATACTTAAGTAGAGTACGTTTTATATTTTTCCGTAGCTTGGCATAGCTTCGATGATAAGAACAGTGTTTTTCTTTTAATTACAGTGAGACCAAAAAGAAGTTCATTACTGAATGGCTTGAAAATGCCAGATTACCGAAAGTAAGTTTTCCTTCTGGTATTGTTTGTCTCTTCTAAAAGCGGTTATGTCATGCAGGCGGTATAGTCAAAGTTAGCCAATAGGAATTGGCCACTAGATTATTAAAGGGGAATATAAACTATCCTCTTAGTAGAGTGAAGAAACATTGAAATAAGACAGCATGTAAAATAATAATGAAACGTAATTGACCAAAAAGGCGCGGCCGATTGGACTAAAGTGAAAGAGGTAAACATTGATTGTGGTCGGGGCTGTTAGAAACGTTCAAAATGTCAGTTGTTGCTCTTTTTGTATGACTTTTTTTTCCCGATGATCTCACTGCAGTCTTTCCCATTTGGCATAAGTGGGTTTCTTCATTTTTTTAAGTATTGATTAGTTATGATTAATTATATGTGGGATTTTAGCCAATCAGAAACGGCGAAATATTTTGAATGAATAATAATGGCCTTTAAATGTATGGCTGGGTGTGCACCGGACTTATTATTTTCTTAATTTATCCATCACTAAGCGTACCACGAGGAACTCCAAAATGTTAGATTTTCCTTTGTACAAAACCGCCACAGGACAAAGAACCTACTATTTAAGAACAGTTAAACTTTGAAACTCAGTGGACCTTGCCCTCAAGTTGAAAACCACCTTAAAGGACTTCAAGCGTTGTCCAATGAACAAATAGACATACTTAGCTGAGGAACTGTAGACACTCACTGAAGCCATGTGGACATAAATTCAGTCAGTTATAGTATCTATAAATGAGATTTTTTCTTTATACGCAGTCGTTTCCGAAAAAGTTTGAAAGTCCTGACAATGAGCTGCTATCACAAGTGGAACTCGAGGTAAGAATTAACACGTTTAGTTAACAAATCGACCACAATTTTCGATGGTCTACACTCTTATAGACCATAGAAATGATGTCATAAAATGTTCAAAACTCAAGTGGAACCACGAGCCACAGGCCGGCGAGTGGTTTCACTGCAAAGTTTTGAACGTCTTATTTCTATGGTCTATGGTCTATGGTGTAGACCATGGAAAATTGTGGTCGATTTGTTTTTTACAACTTCATGTATTTTCAGTTTCCTGCGAAGTTTCTCGGAAAATGTTACATCATTTCCATGGTCTGTGGTCTCATGGACCATAGCTCTCGACCAGTCAGCGCGCGAGGATTCGCGCAGTTATTGTAAAACAATCCTTTCGGACTTAGGAGAGTTTTGAATCTTGTCTAAAAGTTGTCATCTGATGTTTGTAGTTTCAGATATGGAAGAAACAAGACACAATAATCAAACGAAACAAGACGCTGAGAGTGCGAAAGAGAAAAAAACCGCCAACAAGTACCTTGGTAAGTGCTTCACAAACGTCCCAAGTTTTGAGTCTGCATAATGGATAATGGTATAGATTTAGGTTGCATTCCTTTTGAACAATTTAAATCCGGATTTTGCGATCCGAAATTTGATTTTTCGTTCCATTAAGGACTAAACCAATCGAAGATTGCAATCTGAACGATCCACCTCCGGACTTGGATCTTTCATATTGGTATCTCAATCTGGTTTCAGATTTTTATTCCATTTAACAAAACTGCTTTCCGATTGCAAGAACGTGCTCTTTCATTGATAAACACAGTGGGTCAACGTTAGTTCGGGCAAAAATTATTTAAAGGCGGGCGAGGGCAGAGAAACCGCGAGGAGATTGGGCGGAATATTGAAAAACCGCCTGCACGGACGGGGGCTTTTTAAGTCGGTTCGCACGCCAGCGTACGGATCGTTCCGATTTTTCGAAATGTTCGCCTGTCAATCAAACATTTTGGTAATCCCATGGGAGAGTTTAGAGGGACTGAACAAATCACCTCCGAAAAACAAAATCACAAAGAAGTGTTGACCGGAGCGTCGTCGATCTTGAATATTTGACGGGAAAACAGGGCAATTGTATTGTTCAAAAACAGGAAATGGCCATTTACAGTCTTCTTCAAAGGAGAGATGTCATGGAAATTTTGTCAACAAGATTTATCCACTGGATGATCTTTACTGTCTTTGGATATGGCAAAGAAGAAATATCCTCATCGAAAACCTGTATGATCACAATTTCTCCTCTAAAAAGTACTATCGACGACCAGATATTGAAAATATGAGCCGTAAAGCAATGGTTATGACAGAAACAGTAAATTTCAGTTCTTTCGAACGTTCAGAAGATGCTTTGTTTCGGTGTTAGAGAATAACGCACTCCAGCGCAAAACATCGAACGGTATCCGCGATTGTGGTCGATGAAGAAGATCAGAGCAGAAGACGCACAGCGTAATTCTCAATCTTTTTGCTTTTTGTTCCAGCTTAACATAAAACTCAAAAATCTGAAGATTGTCTAATCGTAAAAAATACAACATCCTGCAAACAACCTTAAAAAGCCGGGTCCAGCGTCAAAACATTCACGGACAAAGCAGTGACAAAGAAAAAAAAACCAAGGCTCCTTGGTTTGTAGTAATGCTGAACGGCATTTTAGTCGGAAAAGAGAAAGAAACAAAAAAATATTTATTTAGCCGTAAAAAAAAACTTTTTAGGTTTTAAGAATTTTTAAAGAAATTTACTTTACTGTTGCATCTGAGATCAACAAATTCTAATTAGCGAAGTTAACATTTTATGAAATAATTACTCAATACGGATTAAACAAACCAACTCCGCTTTTTCTAAAAAATGTAAGATTTAGTGCAGCCTTTAAGATCTACTCAGTCAAGTTTAGAACTCAGTTTAGTCACCTATGCCGAGATAGCCAAAAGGAAAAACCTGTTTTGTTCAAGCAAACTCAATTCCGCCAAGGTCCACGTTTTACACTTATCTCTTTTTGTGTCGTGTTTAGGGTCAACACTTTATTTCTGATTTTGGGAAAACGGAAACCAAACAAGTTGTCAACAGGATAATCTTTGAGTTGAAGGGGCGGCAGTTGAAAAGGCCACGAATCTGAAAAGGCGGTTTTTTTTTCTGGTTGTTTTCGCCGCTGTTTGGTCGCGCGCGAATTTAGTTACGCCGCTCCTGCGCCCAGCTCGACAAAACCGCCATGCTACGCAGGCTACTTATTAGACTTCTTTGTTATATGTTTTTGCTAGCTTTTCTAGACTTGACCGGGTACAATGTTAAATAGTATTCCTATCATTTTAAACAATAGAAACATCGTAATAATTTATTCACTCACAATTTGCAATCAACAAACAAAGGATTGTGCACGGTTAGGGAGCTTCCAATATAAACTGCATCCCCGTTATTTTCATTTTTGATTTTTGTTGACTTTCATGACCAGTGCCCTAGTCTATTAACTATGGTCGTACTAACGGGATGGCATCATACGCCCTACCCTAGGTGCCATAGACTTTTCATGTCGGTTTCTTCAAGACTTGATAGTGACCCGCGCGCTTCGCCGCGCGTGGCCTTAATCAAGGAGCCAGGGTAGCTAGACACACATGCTCCGACTTACTGAGAGCCATCCTCGGTGACCCAGGGGCAATCAGTCGGGTCAGGAAAAACGAGCAAACGGCACGACGACAATTGGGCGCATCGAACAGGTTAATTGTGCCAATAAGCCTGGGTAATTAGAAATACAGCCTGAGTTTAGTTCTCAAGTATCAGTCGGCCTGATATTACGTAAAAACGGGGTGGTCGTATGACAGGTTCTAGTAGTGGTATATTCCAAATTCCCAAGGAAGTCTTATGTTTCAGATACGTTTAGGAACCCTGTGTGTATCTAAACTGGCTTAATACCCTTATCCGATTCTACAATGGCTTTCATTGCACCTTAAGTGTATCAGCATGCAATAACCTTTTTTTTTTCACTTGTTTCTCTTCTAAACATCAGGAACTTCCTGAGCAAGTTGTTTTGTTCCTGGAGAAGCTTTTGGAACGAGATACTATCTCCCACACAACTTTACGTCAGTTGGACAAGTGTTACAATTTCTCACGAGGCAATGCTGAGGTGTGTTGATTATACCTAGATGAGGGAACTACCCCTTGAACCCTTTTTAAAGGGTTAAGGATTAAGGGTTTGATCGTCATCAATTTTCTCCTTGTTTTATCTATGCTTCATTGAAAAGAGTCGTTACAAGAATCAAATAATTGATCACACTTGATGAATTTAATCGATACTTGAACAACCTCTCCCCGATACGTCTATAGGAAATGTATCAGGACAATGAAGAATTTAAATTTTGATATGCAGGTTTAAAGGACTGAAATAACGGGGGTGTTCGTGATACATTTTAGCTGGTAAAATTTGTAGATTGCTACCGGTAAGAGTGCTAAAATCTAAGATGACCGCCTTTGGAGTGGTCGAGGTACCTTTAGAGTAGAGATGGTGCCTTATGTCAATGCTAGTATACTAGCCCTTGTGGATGAAAATGAATTTGACTTTCGCCCGCAAAATGGTATCTTTTTTTCTGGTATCCATAATCTTCTCACAGCACCTTGGGCAAAATTTTCTATGAAAACCTATTGTTGGAAAGGACCATTCTAGCTTACACTCTAACTCACAATTCGAAGACTCCTCCACATTCCAATTGTTGTTAACACGGTCACTTCAAAAGGAGGTAAAGTCATTTTTTCCGACATTTGCCTCCTCTTTGCGAAGAAAATCTTGGGTGTAGAGCTTAAATTCGAGTTTGTTTTTTTTTGCAGATTCGACATCGATGGTGTGAACTCGTTGTGAAACACAAGTAAGAGTAGTTTACAGTTTGCTGTGGTTTACTGTAGAATAATGTCTTCTTGACTCCCAACCCCTCCTAGCCACAACCCGTTCTCACGAAAAGAGGCCATTTTAGGTTAACATCGTTCTGCAGCTGTATAAGCTAAGTATCAAACTAATAAAGTTTGAATGTCGCTTCGTTTTTACACAAGAGAGAAGAGTAACAAAGAGAAATCAAAAGGTATAAATAGTGCCATTCACATGGGAATAAGTTGAATCTGCTCCGTCACGCGCACTTATACTTGCATTAGTTGGCCCGGCTTCGTATTGTAATGGGTAAGACCACTTAACAGGTTCGTCAGATACTTGGACTATTTGTGGGCGAACTTCTATTTATTTATGTCCATATACAGCAGTTCCTTTTACTTTCTGCACCTACGTTGTAGCTACATGTGGTTAGCCACAATAACCAGAAACAAACCAACTCAAGACAAAGTTCAATGGATAAATAAAAAGCCAACGCTACCGTGTAGAAACTAAAGCCTTCCTCATTTCAGTAGCCTTTGGTCACTCGGGTCTTCTTTCGCTTGCTGCTCTCACGTGACTTCTCGCGACTCTTCCAAACGGAGAGCTTGCTCGCAGGCTACAGTTGAAAGTTTAAGTCGATATACAGCAGTTCCTTTTACTCTTTGAGCCTAGCTACACGTATAGTTAGCTGAAAATAACCACTAAAGTAGAAAACGCTCAATGGATCAATGAAAAACCAACGCTACATTACAGTGAATAAAGTTTTTCTCACTTTAGTAGCCTTTGGTCGCTTACCCTCTTGATACGTAAAAGTGTTTTCTTCCGCTTAACAATGGTTTGCCTTTAGTGATGATTATCATTGTCGAAACTAAAGCCTACGCAATTTTATATTTTTCATAAAGTACCCTAGATTTACGAGGTATTCTTAGAATAACCCTACTATCACCGCGTTGCAAAAAATTCAGTACTTTTTTGGTGTTTTATCTTCTTGTTACAGCTTATGTTTAAGCAAACGCGCAACTATTTTGTTGGCCGTATGACTGATTACAAAGCAGTGAAAAGTTACTTCTTCTTCAGGCAAAACGCTCCTCACTTTCTTTCTTGCTTGCTAGCTAATCAAGCGTAAGAAAGTAGATGGAATTTTAAAAATTCAAAATAAGAGAATCACGTCATCATTATCTAGAAATGAGGGAGTCCCCTTCTCGCTAGGCAATGTTTTGAAAGTACATGGAATTTAAAAAATAAAAAGACTCACTTTCTCAAGATTTCAAAGCAGCGATATAAAGATACAGTCGAACTTCTACTAAGTGCCACACCTCTACAACGGTCAGCCTTTTCACTCCCAAAATAATTCCAAAGTTAACCTTGCAAAATGAAAATAACCCGAGAAACTATTAGCACGATGTCAAAATACTGCAAAATTGGTTTCATTTGAATTGTCATACCAAAGGTTTTTGTCCACGATCTCAACAGTTGGAGTGCCTACAGAACAAATAGTGGTGAACAAACTGAGGTTTCATATAAATGGTTGGAACATAGGATTTCATCCACAGACTCAAACGTTAGAACACTGATATTACAAATGTAGAATTACCATGCGATGATCGTACTAAAGAGGTCATTAATTTGCCAGTGATTGGTGAAACTGTAGGATCTCGTTCATGGTTGTCAAAAATTGCGTCTCGCTTCGATTAAATCTGGGAGTAAAAAAGTTAAATACAGACTGACTGCAAGTATAACGCTTAGATTCGAAATGGAATATTAAACTGCTTAGCCAGAACTCTTAGTCGAGAATAGATAACATCCCAGTCGAGGTAAAACCCTTGCAAGTAACGCTTTGTTTGCTTGTTGATGATGAAAGAGGATCTACCATGTAGCACGCGGCTGTTGTTGAACGTTACAACTTCGCCGGGTGACATTTTATGCTCAATTTGATTGGCTGGATCTGCTATCATCTTGCCAATTGTCAGGTAGGCTTCATACAGTTGAATAGTTTTTTCTGGAGAAACATGCAGCCCGGAATCACGCGTCGGATTGTTGCAAGAGAATCGGACGATGTTTTCATTCTCGTCCAACCTACGAGAAGAATATTAACACAGGATCAAAACAATGGCCCTAAACATGCATTCATTAAACTCTTTGCCTCCTTTTTTTGGTAGCTGTCTTAAATGTCTTTTAGGCCTTTCTTCGTCGTTTAAAGTTTCGAAATCCTAAATGGAACCTACAGGCCGTCCACCGCCGGTGTGGACGTATTCTTGTAACAAGACGGCACGTCTACCTAAATCCTCTATAAAGCCCCTCCGGGGCTTAATTATTTCAAACACATTTCAGGGGGGAGGGGGGCTTATTTGAGAGAGGGGTTTATTTAATTTAACAAAGACTATGGTATCAGTTCTCCATAAAGAACTAGAATGCAAAGTGGAAAAGTTCAAGTACAATACGTTGGAAGTCATGCAGCCGAGGATCGAAAACAACTCCGAACTTCCAGCTAGTGAATAAACCATCCTAGATCAGTCCACATGAGGTTTTACAGTCGTGATTGATTAATACATTCTATCATTTATTAGTGAATAATAATAATAAGGGGGAGGGGACGGGGGCTTAAAAGAGATGGGGCGGGGGGGGTATTAACTTTCTTCCCTGAAAAGGGTGGGCCCATTAGAGAGGGACTTATTTGAGAAGGGGGGCTTAATAGAGGATTTACGGTATATGTATTGTTGTTGGCAGAGTGTAGACACACAATGACTAGTTTGCTGTTACAAAGCCCGAAAACGAGATCTTTTTTTTCCCTTCTGGACGTCGCCTTTGAATAATTCTGTGCTGGCACAGGTATTGTAAGACAAGTCTGTTTTTACTTATTGTCAAAAAGTTGTAGGATTTTTGAAACACTCACTCTATTATGTGCCTTGCGAATTTGGTGTGAAATTCGCCAAAGATGTCGATCCCTTTAGCAGTGAACGGAATGCGCGTGGTTGACAAGAGCTTAAACGCTTCCGGATCTTTTTCCTTCAGCTCCTCTGCTACATAGAATCCATCTACAAACTGATTGCCACCTCCTTCACTCAACACTTGCTCAATACAATGGAGAAGTTGAACCTAAACAAAGCATGGCATTTGCCACTTTAGAAACCAAAATGGAGCCAAAATGTGTACCGCAATTGATTCTGGGATCGTTACTTGGGACGCGTCAGGCAGCTATTGGCCAGTTTTTTTTCTCCTGTCCCTGGTTACAGTCCCAGAAGTCTTTGCGAAATTTTTCATTCTCGTTTCTGTAGTGGCGAATGTCTGTTCGTAACGTATCAAAGGAAGAGCTAAGCGTCTCCAAGGCAAACAACAAGAAAGCTGTTGATATTTTTCTTTTCTTGCCTTTCTTTATTTTTTGTTCCTTTCTTTTGTTTTTGTTGTTGTTGTTTTCCTTTTTGCCTAGGAATGTACTCCAGAAAATATAGAATAAAACTTGTTGCAACTTGTTTTGCAACATTGCTGCAAAACGAGTTGAATAGCGAGGTTGCGCGTTTTACCACCCACCTCAAAACTGTCTTGCAACCAACCTCGTTCCCAGGGTTCTCTCAGAGAGAGAACCTGGGAACGAGGTTGATGCAGAAAGTACAGAGTAGTTTTCACGTTTTGCAGCAAACTCTGTACATGTTTACTTGCCTTTTTGCAACAAGTAACGTAACTTCCGTGTATGGCGTGGCTCCCGTCTAATTTTACCGACCTTAAGTTTAGGTGGACTGCAACATAGAGAACGGTGACTTTGGCCGCGGCGGCTTGGGGAGGGACGACGTTCACTTGGCGAGAGAAACAAACTTTAAGTTTCAGTGGACTTGACGGTCGAAGACGTTTTTCTAACTTTCGGAAGGTTCGAGAGAATGAGTTCCCTGAAAGATCCGAGTGATTTTGGTCTACTTTTACATGATGGTGTCATATCAGATGAGGAATTCGTTCTCTTGTACAATGAAATCTAGTTGAGCGCTTTGTTACTCGAAAGAGAATGTTCGTCGCTTCATTGGGCCTATTTGCGATCTACGTATTGCCACATTTTCCCACGCTCCACAGTTCTTATGCTAACAACTGGTAATCGAGCTTACACAGTTCTGGGCTTGAAGCGATGGGATTCACTTGCAAGAATTTCTTTAGCAAGCTGAATATCGTGAACTTAAGTCCACTCCATATTCTTAAAATAAGAACAAATAATTAACACGATGAACAATGCGCGCGATAAACAAGCTTCGAGTTCCTTCATCCTGCTTTATCAAGAGGTTTATTTTGTCGAATAATGAACCTATGAACACGTAATTTTATTTTGGCCTATAACTTAAGCAGAAAAAATGAACTTAATAATTCGTGAATGAAGAAAAGGGTGGAAGCCGATGTTCACATGATGCGAGAATATTAGATGTGATAATTTTATCGCTGGGATTTCTAATCCTGCATTTGGACAAGTTCAGTGTGCTATATTCCATCATAAAATAGTGTTACATTAAGTAATTGAGAAAGGGTTACCATTTGAAGTAAACTAGACATTACAGGAACAGATTAAACCGATATTCTGTCAAAATAAAGATATTTTGAAGACAAAAACAGGAAAAGAAAACTCACGTTCTCGAGACACCGCCGCACTAAGCTTTCTCACCGTCGCGACGTGCAGTCGACGTAGGCTGGACGGCCGAGATATATGCAAATTAGCCCCAAATCGGGCAACTTTTATTTCCAGTTGCCGTCCTCCACCTTACCGTCCACCCTTACTTGAGGTCCGTTTTATACAATTAGATGTCAGTACTCACGCAACTTGCAACCGCCTGATTTGTTGCAAGACAGGTTTGAAGTTAGGTGATAAAACGCGCAACATCACTTTTCAAATCGTTTGGCAGCAATGTTGCAAAACAAGTTGCACGTTTTCTTTGTTGCGCGTTTTATCGTACACTGTAGCTTAAGTATTTTCCTTTGTATCTTTAACTTACCCCTGGTACGTAATCATGGTAAGGCATGTCAGTGTGTGGCGGTAGGAATAGTGAGGTATACGCCAGATTGTTGGCATTTAACTTTGTGTGCACTTCGAAGCACTCACTGCAAGTGAAATTCAGCAGTATTTCTTAGTATAATCTTTGACATCTTCCCGTAATATCATATACTGACAAGGGTGACCGTTAAGAGAGAATCGACTGTAATTAGGTAGCCTGCTAGAAGACCCTCGGAGGTGGGATTGTAGAGGGAAGGTTTCCACCGACTCCGTCTTCCCGCCCACCTCCCCCTGACAGCTTGCTCGCTGGCAGGTAATTGAATAAAATCAGGTGGTCTCACAGCTGTGATAACAGCATTCCTAAATCGTGGTCAGTTTGTTCTTTCCACATAAAAAACAATTTTATCAAGAAAAATATGTAGACAGAGTTTCGTGACGTCACGCGCCGTTGTTCCTCACTTGTTTGGACATAGCTCCGTTTTTATTGAATGCAAAAACAATCTCCACCCATGTTTGCCCTTAGTTGTCTTGACATTATAAATTCTTTTTTTATTGCGTTCAAAGTCGCTCTTACAACGAAAAAAGGTATTATCAGCAAAAGAGTATGTAAGGGAGTCGTGGATAACCGTTTGTTTACCTCTATTTCATTTCCATCTAGCATCCTACAATGGCAGCTACAGATTGTAAATTTGAAAAATCCTAATCCAAAACAAGTACTGCTCGTTGAGTCACAATGTTTAGTAGGCTTTTCTATGGAGCTTAGAGTTCACACTGCAATCCTTTTGGCTCATACTTTCTCCTGTATTTTGATTCAAAACAGATCCGGAGGTCTCTTGCATAAACAGTGCTCCGACAGTCCTAAAAATGTTTCATAATCTTTAGTAATTTTCAAATGTGATATGACTCCTTAAACAGGAAATAAAGAAAGTATTACCTAGGCCAGCTGTGAAGATGATATCAGACCTTTTCTATCGCAAGTCGAATGTTTTTTTTTTACCACACCTGTTTAGTGGTCAAGCTTATCAGTAACTGGCACCCACTGATGAACAGTGTAGTTTGAATTTGAAAAAAAAAGCCTTGAACACTTGTAAAAAAAAAGAAAAGGAAAGAAAAAGAGGGGAAGAAAATTAAAGTATATTTTCCATTTTTCCCTTCCAAAATGAACCAAAAGAATAGATTCAAGATATGATTCGTGTCATGATTAAATGTTAAGCCCCATGCAAACGGACGTAAAGTTTAAAACCGGTCAAACTTTTAGCTACGCCAACAATACTGGGAGTTGTTGCGTCCTTTTGCACGTAGCTATACCATTAGATATTTCCGCTCTCATCCCTCGGGGTCCACAGAGGATAAGTGGTAAATATTTCCTCCTCATTGTATCCAAAAGGGATGCAGAGTTTTGTTGTGTTAGGTTTGTTTTGTTTTTTTTTTTTCAAATCGCCCTTATAAATCTAAACATTATAAAAGCCTTCAAAACAGATCATCGTAAATATGTTTATCGACAGAAACTGAAATTTAATCTTTAACGCCTTGTTCAAAGCAAAGCAAAACTGGCAAACAAAATAATAAACAAGAGGCCGAATTTCTATCAATAAAAGTGTAGTTTGGAGAACCTTCTAGGTATTGGAACTGGTAGAAATATTGTAGCCAGCCCCCCTTTAAATTGTAGTTTTTGTGTCCGTCAGTCAAATGAGAGTGCCAATTGTGTTATATCACTGGTCGAAAAATTGGAAAGAAACAACAGTAAATGTATGTTTTACTGATGTGGGTATCGCTTATAAATTTCAAGCAGCTTTGTTGTATGTAATTTATTCATTTTTGTCAATCTTCTCTTGCTTAAGTCGGTCAGTATTGCCGTGTTTGATTGACCAAAATACCTGAATCGTAAATGTTCCTTAACTCTGGTTTTTAGATGTAACCGATTACCTAAGGGAAAACTGTAAATTGTTATGGTCACTCCATGAAAAACCGGCGTTTCTGAAAGTAAATTCCCATGGTGTGAGTGCAAAGTTGGAAGGTTTCCCCCGCTCGGCAAATAAACCAATGACATGTCCAGTTTCGATCTCGATTTTCCGTCTTTACACTTGATGTCCATTTTGTGGAAAAGAAATCGATAAATTATTAACTATTTCAATGCAACTGTGATTTTAATTTTTTTAAAGGGTCATTTTTCTTGTAGGCCAAATTGTCTTTTCATTGTAAGATGTCAACTTCAAGTTAGCTTTCGTTAACTCTTGAGGCACAAACTAGCAAATTTCGTAAAGCACTGGTTTTAAATCATTTGTGTTATCAATACTGTAAATACCATTTAATGAAATTGACAACATTTTAAAATTAATTTTGCCTCAGTCCAATGGTTTCAAGTGCCCTGCAAATGCAACTAAATCGTTCACCGGGTTTGATTCGCATACTTAGGTAAAGTCATTGGTTAACGAAAAAATAATTTACATACCCAAAGTTTGTCGTTTTTGTATACCCCACTCTTGCGCATAGTTGATTGCATTCGCCTGGTTGTCGCGGTGTATCTTTCAATAGCGCAATTCCTACACTATGAAGCGAGTGCAACCATTCGTACAATCTAAAGTCGTCTTCAATGACTTCTTGAAAACGGTAGCTTGGGATCTTGCCCTGGAGTTTATTGTTGTTCCAAACTCTTACTCCCTCTCTCTGAAGGGACGATCGCTCCATCGTCGTATTTGCCTGTTCGGTAGCTTGTCTGGAACGAAGCCACTGCGAGCTAAAGAGACTAACATGTTTGTCTGGCCAAGTGATGGAGATTTCTTCACCATTTTGTAAAACCTCGACTCTCTGGGGTTGAATGTCCATGTCTAGCTTGTTAAACGTGTCGTACGTTCGCTGGAGTGAAGATTCGTGGAAACACTCGGAACATTGGCAGTTGTCGCGGAGGAAAACGAAGGGAAACCGACTTACTGTGTCGTTGTTCCATGTCACATTAAGCATCCGAGATCCGCCTGCCTGCTGGACATTCTGCACATTTAGTTCTCTTGATCGAGAGGCGTTGTCATAGTTTGCTTTTAAGACAGAAAAATATGCCCTATTTAGCCCTTTGGGTCGACATCTGGAAATGTTACGAGCCAATCGGGAAAACATTGCAACTTGCAGTAAATATTCTGAACCGGTACAGCAGTCGTCTTAAGACTTGATATATGCTACAGCAACGCTAAGGTTAATATATTGTCGTTCTTCAGTGCCCGAAATGTAAAAATTAAAACGATTATGTCACCTTAGCTCGACAGTGCGTTCAAATCACGAGGGGTTTGAATACAAAATGTACCTGTCTTGTTTTGCTTTTACTTTTAACCCACGCACATGATTCTTTGCCACACAAGTTTTGACAACAAAGTCACTGTGTGGAAACAGGTTGAGCAAGATTATGAATAAACAAAAATAACTCCCGTAAATAGCTAATCGGCTACATGATTTATGGATGATTTGGCCAACAATTAGCAAGACCCTTTCGGATACAAGTAAGAAGACGCTCTCCGCTTCCTGTATTCATATCGATTTGAAGTGAGGAATACTAGACTACTAGATGAGAGATTTCAACAGTTTTTCGCTTTGTAATTGCCGTTGTTGTCTGTTTTTGGCGAAGAGCCTTGTGAAGGGCAATTGAAACCTGACATAACGTGATCCAGAAAGACCAGTTTGGCATTCAAGAGCCTCTTTGAAAAGGATCTTTTAAATATCCGAGCGGAAATTCAAAGCGATTTACTTAATATCTTTACAAGACATATTGACTTCCGCAACTGCTCAAAGTAGCTCAACACTTTCAATTTAGGTTCAATTTTTTTAAACTTCTTTGAGGCACTATGCAATAAAAAATTCATTCCAAAATCACCTGAAGTCAAGAAAATTAATTCGGGTCGCTGCAAGACAAATTCTGGCCCTTTGCCCTTTCTGCTTCGTTAAATTGCTGTTGTCACGAAGCTCAAGGTAAGGTTGAGGACATTGACGGTAACAAACCGTCCAAAAATAAACGTAGGCTTGTTTTAGTCGTGCCAAATCAAATTTAAAGCTTGCAGTAGTAACAATCAATCAAAGATTATCTAAAATCAAGAAAATTAATTTTAAGTAGGTTCCCGCAAGTAAACTTCTGGCTCATTTTTCCCGCTCTAATTCGTCAACTTCAAATTTCCGTTGTCACGTGAGATGCTCGGTAACTGGGCTGACTAGGCTTGCGGAACGAAACTTGTCTTGTGATTATCTGAAAAATATTCAGAGAAATTGCGTTTGTGTGCGCTGGTTGTGTCTTGCTCGAAATTCCCGAGGCAATGTGTAAGTAAACAAACCCCATCAACGACCAGAAAGAGAATGTTACATTTTGTAGGTAATGTTTGCTGCTAAACGAGGAGCGGGGACCGTGGAACGGGGAACGAAGAAATGAAAATGGGAACAAAGCAGGGAATGAAGTTACTAATGGAGCTCGGGTTCAACTATGGTTCTGTTCCCATCACCAAACGAGCAAATTCATACAAAGGGTATCCCTCCCGCTGCCGTATGTGTTTGCATGGCGACTTTGTTCTTGCTTACCGGTCAAAGTGTGTAATTCTGCGTACCCTACTCACCTGGGTTAGATTTCCCAGTTTCAAGTGACTTTTCTTGCGTCACGAAGAAACAAACAGGTTTTTTTTATGTGGTCTTGAGTAGATTCTTTGTAACTGGGTTTGAGTATTTGTCAAGAAAACATGGGGAAGTCTTTTTGGACTTAAAAGCGATCTTTATCTCAACTACTGACCAATCTAATTTCACCTAACACGAAAATGAATTAAATGCGAGCAATACGTCATAAGTTTGAGTGAACAGAGAGTAGAGTGTAGTACTATAAATAGGACTGTTGTTGACGGTGACCAACCTTCACTTGCATTAATTCATACTCTTTCTCTTGCAAACAAATGGCTTTCTAGACGAAACAGGGTATCTCCCGGGCTTTAAGTTTTCCTCGTGTGTCTTTTAGGTTTTCTCTCTGAATCCGATTGACTGCAAACAAAATAGCCTCGATCTCGAGAGACAAACTTGAAATCGAGGCAAATACGGTGATATACATACATGCATACCGCATTTATTGGATTAACCGCCCTGAGCACTTATTAAATAGAGGGCGCTTAGTAAATTTTCTCCATTTTCAACAAGAGTAGAATGTTTATTTTGCAACAAAACAATAAATGGTGCAGTGATAGCAAAACGCGAAGTTGTAACAAAGCAAGGTTTCTGTAAAATACTCTGAAGAAAACTCTGTCTTCGGAGTCTTATTCAATTTCAACGTCAATTTGGAAACTTCCAACATTCTCGTAGACAATGAATCTAAAGATTGTAAGCCAGTAAATAAATAATAATCAATACTACTCTCCTGCACTTAACTCCTTTTGAGTGGGAGGGGGAAGGGGGTGGGCACTTATTCGAGACTGGGCGCCTATTGACTTTTTGTGCCTTTAGGATGGACGGTTATTCGAGGTAGGTGCTTATTCGTGGCGATTAAATACGGTACATACATACA